CACGATTTGCATGGTGGATAGTTTTCGTTTTCATTAATTTAATTATTTTTTCTGTAGAATTATAAAGAAAGTCGAGAGTGAAAGACGAGCTTCAGTTAGATTGGTTCAATACGTGACATATCCACGGTAACTCGATCTAATCCTTTCTGCTGCTTTCTACTATTCTCCAACATTTGCTTGCTACCAGCATTAAAATATAAATAATGCAAAGAGTGCCGCCAAGAATAGTTTAAATTAGGGAAGGCAAAAGTCACTTCGTGACGGAGAGATTCTCCTGAATGACAAAAGTTTTTCTTATTTTATAAATAGACCGTGAATGATAAAATTTGGGATTCGCCAATATTTTGATAATATTATTGTTTGGTATTCGATTCCACATGATGATTGTTGTGATTATCGCGACCCTCGAAACAAAGGTACAGAAGGGAAAAAAGCGCCTTGCTGCCTTGCAAAACCGATCCACGTCAAGTAAACGCATCAACGTTGGAGGCAAACAAAAAAGCGGCGCGCCGGCAGCTGTCCTTCGCGGTACAAAAGACGTTGTTTTTCATGCGGGAGGCTGACGTACCCGCCGCGCACTTAGCCCAAAAAGCGCGCTCAAGCCGAGGAAGACAACTTGAATCCGGCTGCCAAATAAATGAGACAAGGGACTGTCTTGCGGAAAGCAGCCCCCCAGAAAGACGATATACAATGGTGGGCGCAAGCGGAGCAAACCGAGCGCGTCCGACGTTCGGAGATGGAGGGCACCACACACAGGTAGGCACGCAAAAAGTTTTTGTCGAAGGTAAATAGAGTAAGCGGTAGGAATACACAAGGATACACGATATATACACGACTGGCGTCGGAAGGCGGTCGATACCGTGATGTGTCCTGAGACGAAGACAAGAAAAGTGGATGGAAATGAATGGCAAACGGATGGCAACTGATGGGTAGAAGAAATGAGCACGATGTAAAGTGGATGTGTCGATTTGGATCTCGAGCTGCCAGTATCTAGCGTTTCGCCGCCCGCTCCCTTTTTAAGTCTCGAGTAGAAAGCAGCGGCGGCACCAGCAACCGGAGTAAGTAAAGATGCGAAAACTCTGCTTGCCGTTGTTGAGCGTCGCTGAACGCTTCTGACATATTGATCTAATTCAGATTGATTTTACATTCTCCGCGTTTTCTTTCCCATTCACGACTTTTTTGCCTGCTGGTTCTTATTCAATTTTCTGGTGAACAAGGACGCGAAAGACGCTTGTTTGGTTTTCCCTTGAAAAACGACGGGAATCCTGAGCGTGCTTGGTGTTAGGGCTGGAGCAAATCTTTGAAAGTGACGGAAAAACCAGCATGCTCTCCACCCTCGCCGTCACCCTTAGCACGTTTTCTACATATTCCGCATTCAATGAGGTTGCTTATCAGCACACGATGGATGAAATATTCGTCCGCCCGCAATTGTTTGCAACTTTAATTCTTTCAAAGAATATTTCACCGCAGCCCTTTTTTCCGGTTGTCAGGTTTTCTCGCCGTTCCACCCAACACAGCAGCGGTGGTTTAAGAACAATTCGGGTGAGATTAAAAATGTGGGTCTAATGCTGCGTTACGTTTAATTTATTTGTTTTTATTTCTGCTTTCCGTTTCTACCACATTCTGTCGACAAGTTTCGCGACAAACCCAAAACACCGCTTTCGCTTTACGAACCATTGATTTGTCAAATCCTATTCTGCTGGCGTTCGTCCAAGATTTAGGAAACGTAGAGCGCACTTTGTTCGCTTCTACCGACGCATCTGCTACGTTCTTTCGGCAGGCCCGCCCTTGTATCGTGCAAAATTGCAAAGAGACGGTAACCGCAATATTGTGCGACACATATCTGTTCGATGCCTGCGCCTTCGACAAACAGCGGCACGTCTGCGGAAGAAAAAACAAAGAAGGCGAACCAGCGACGACTTACGATGCCGCCCGCCGCAATATTTACCACTCAAATGTCTCGTAAATATCTACGCGACACACACCATGCGCGTTCGCCACAATACCGCCCACGCAGAGCACGAAATTCATGTAAAATCACAAAAAACAAGCGCACAGCATGGGTGCTTCCAAAAGATTTCATGAGAAAATAATGGTGTAAGGTACGAAATGTCGAGCAGCCTGTAAATATGATTTTAACACATTACTTAAAATAATAAATGTGGAGGCGCCGAATATGTTTTCGCACAAGCAGAAAGAACAACCGGAGAATTATTGGCGGTGCGACGGCGGCGATGACAAAACACGTCGAAATGACAACGAAGGACGAGAGACAGTTATTTACGATGGTAATAAAATCAAAATAATATGAAAAGAATTCATTATACACCAATGAAAATAGAAGCTGAGCCGCCCAGTCTCGTCAAGTAGCTGTACGCCGGACAAAATATAATTACGCCTGGGTTTTACGAGGCGAGCATGTTGAGCAGATGCTAAGTCGACGTTTGACGAACAAAAAAGGATGATGAATCGCAATGAGCCAAAATCGCAGGATCTCGAAAGTTGAGAAGTTAAGCGCCGGCGGAGTGGAGGAAATAAATTTTATATTGACGCAGGGATTTATTCATATTTTATTTAATTTCGTCGGAAGCTTTAGTCGCGATGGTGGCCGTCGCGCTCCAGCGTGCTCTCGCGATGGGATAATAAAATAAGGGAGCAATAAGCTTTTAAAATCGCAAATGTCTGGCGCCCTCGCGTCTCGTATCGCATGCGCTAAATCCATACATGTCAAAACCGATCGTCGCTGTCGGGCTTAGAGACGAGCGGAGAAGAGGATTCGCACACAGATGACTTTTTTCCAATCAAACTTTTTCAATATAGATCAATCAATTTCTAAAACTGACGCGCGGTTATATGAAGTCTATATGAGTTTTTAAGTGGTAGTGAGGTGAGTGTTTGTCGAGACAAAAATAAAACGGATGAACAAAAAACACAAAAAAAAAACAAAAATAATAACTACGAATTTCTGTTTTGCTCTAGAACTGTCTAGATTAGAATCTTTGTATTTTTGTGGTTTTGGAATTTTTACGAATATTAAAATAAGTTTTTTCACGATTTTGAGACACAAAAAGTGGCACTTTAAATACAGACGACCAAGGCCGTGACTAAAGTATTTTAGCCACGGGCTTTTGTCATGGGGTGGAGCTTGCGCCTGCGCATTTGCCCACGGTGCAAACCAATATTTATAACCTTACATTTCCTAGTAGTGTACGAGCGAATTTCGAAGATTAAAAATACGAAAGTTCAAATACAGAAACCCAAACGTGGAAATAAAGTGGAAGTAGAAAAAATTGCGTAAGCATCACGTGGCTAAACGTTATTAAACACTCGACTGATAAATCCCTTGTGACAAAAACTGCCGTTTAACCACTTGATACATAAAATACTATTTTTGAGGTATTCGAATTTTTAAGAACGTGAATGGGCAATGTGGATATTAGATGCGCTCTCTATATGTGCGCAAAGACGAGCGCAAGTAAAAACCGAAGAATTTTCACAATTGAAAGACAGTCGATATGATAATGCCGCCTATGCAGTGATGCAGCATATTAAACGACAAGGACGTGACGTGAACCCAAAAGCAACGTGCTGCACTGCAAACGGAAAATTGGAATTGTAACAATGACGCAACGCATTCGCACACCAAGAATGGTACGCATAGCATGCAATGCCATCTCCGCACCTGTGCGGTTTTAATATCTTTTCAATGATCTACTACTGTCGTTGTCGCCGGAACTGCCGGCGCAATGCGGTGCGGTAGAGTAAAACTCCTGGCGCACATCTTGCAACGCGTTTGAAATTAAAACTTCGGTGGTGAGCGATTGACTAATCAAAAATACAAACAAAAAATAAATGCAAATTCACGTCACATCGCTCCTGCCGTAAGTTGTGGGATTGAGGGATTTCTGGAAGTTGCCATTGCACGCAAACACCCTTTTGTTAAATTAATGCAAGCGCAATATTGATTTCCGGATGTAGTCGCACATAACTCAAGATTTGCTGGCAAGTCGACAGCGCCGATTTTATTTTATCCGCGCGTGCAGGCCCTTTGTGCGGCCTGTTTTAATATATTGGGGATCAAAAACAGGAACAATGACCACAAGCGCCCAGTGGAGGTCCGCATCGGGCATAATCCAAGCGTTAACACGTGCACCGATTATGCATAACAATTAGGTATAGATTGAAAACAGGTTCCGCAATTTGTTCGAAATTAAATCATGATTACAACGCCGCATCCTGAGGTGATTACGTCGATAAAATGCTGCCCGAAAGTCCATTAGTAGGTAGATAATAATTAGCACACCGGAGTAGTCGATGTATTCTACGTAAAATGTGACCGCAACGAAATTTGCTGACAGAATTATAGAATTATAGACGAATTGTTTACTGGGTAAATTATGCTGGTGAAAATAAAGCGTTCGTTGCATTTTTTTTTTCGTTGTTTGTTTTAAAGACGTCGTAATTTGAGCCTGCTGAATATCACATAACAGTTGTTGGCTGTTGGTGCATAATTGAAAAAATATATATAATACATAAAAATAGAGGCGCAATCATAAACGACAAGTTTTACGTTTAATTTGCCGGACGGACGAATGCGCCGGGCATGTCGAGCAAATTCCGAGAGCAAAAATAAACTAAATTTGCGCGTAAAACGAGTCATGACGACTTAATTACACCGACTTTTAGAACGTCTGTCACTTTTCTGCAGAAAAAAAAATAACACGCGCTGGGATGAATGCATAATAAGTACGAACGGCCGCTAGCGACGTTCACTTACAAGGCTTTTCATTTGTTGTTTACAAATACGTATTAACAGCATATTTTCTGCTTGAAATTAATAAATTATTTCACGCAGAAAACTATTATCATGAAAAAAAAAGATTTTTTTTTTAAATTAGTAAAAATGATTATTTTGAGAAAACATAGCAATGAAACTTGATTGATCTACAACGGGTGGTTAGGAACCTAAATGCTAGTAACAATTTTTCGTTTGGTTGCAGATTGTGGACGGAAACGCCAAGACGGACGTGTCCAATCGAAAAGAACCAGGCATCTTTTGTGGCGAGAGCGAGCAACCGCAGACGTTCATGTCCGAGACGTCGTTCGTGAAGGTCGTCTTCCATACTGACAACTTCACGGACCAGACCTACTTTAGCTTCGACACGCGTGCCGAACAACAACTCGTCGTCTATCTGCGCTATGGCCAACATCCCGAGCTGTATCCGAATCGGCGCGGCGAAGTCGTCCAGGGGTACGGCTAATCACGCCCGCCGATTGCGTGTGTTTTGTAATAATTCGATGCAAATTGATTTTCAGGTCGTACTGCGAGCGCATCTTCCGTGACTGCCGCCTTCAGACGTGCTACGTGCAGTCGCCGGCCTTTCCCGGCGTCTATCCGCGCAACCTTCACTGCCGCTACTACTTGAACACGCGTCTGCCCTTCATCAAGCTGTACATCGAGAACGAGGAGTTCAACATCGATGGGCAGCGCTGCGAAAACATCATGACGTGTCCCATGCGGCCGATATCGTCAGGTTCGTGCATACCGGCCAGCACCTTTTGCACCATCCCAACCCATGCCCCATCACGTTTAGAAACTCGACTGCAGCGCGTGAAGATTACAATTCCGCCACGACGCGTTTTATATTACCCGACCATAGCCGCCGCCTCGGCGTGTATAATACCACCTTATAGGACGGTAATGTAATAAAGACGAACCCAGTGTACGGGCGCGTTGTCGTCGCGCTACAGCCGGAGGAATATTTTATTCAAATTTCATTTCGCAAAATGCTTTTAAAACGTTCGCCCCCGTGTAACGTGCGCTTGGTGCGCGACGTCGCGCAATCGTGAATGTTTCATGTTGAAACGTGTCGGATTTATATGCGCAAAGTTCATCGCCGAGCGCAAACCGTCGAACCTGATCAGACGATTTGATTACGTAGGCGTTTTTCTGATAGCGACAAAGAAGCGCGGCGAGACTGGGACATCGTTTTGCGTTATGCTTTAAGCGAACGTTACACAGTTTCTCGCATTCATTTTTAAGCGCTTTTGTTTTGTCTCCGATTTATTACTGCTCTCATCCCGCAAAAACATTTGCGACTATTTTTTAATAATTTTTGCATTTATACATTTACCAAATGAATTAAATTACTGGAAATTTTTTGCATGAGTTTCTCGTTTTACTTAATCTTTCTCCGCGGCATTTTATGCGCGAAAAACCTTTATGATTTCATAATGAAAAAATCTGCCAAATTTCCCAATATTCTGAGAGTGTCAAGGGATTAGGCGAGGTTATAACACGCACAATATTCGCGGTGAAAGTACGCGGTGCTTTCGTTTTACGGGTTTTCCGGGCTTTATATGAACTCGCGTTAGGTGTGAATGTAGCAGCGCCCACATTGCGCCAACTTCATAATGAATTTAAAAATCGTATTCTATGAAACACGCATAATAACCGCCGGTCGAGTTGTGCGTTGGCCTATCCATTGTTTGTGGCAGCAGGAAATAAATTTATTGGAATTACAAGCGCGAATATGTAGCCCGCGGGCTAACGATTGCCGCGGCACTTCGCTGGTTCAAAGCGCGCAAAACATAAAAGAGACAAGCCTTCTATTATATTAAAAGAATCGCCAACACAACAGATTTTTTTTATATACTTCCACCGTAGCAAATTCAACTCAGCGAAATGTAACGCAATAAGAAAGTTTTTTCGTTTTCATTCGGCGCGGCGGCTTCTTTCTATCCCCTGGGCTGTTAACGCTTGCCCTCGTCGCGCGGTGCTCAATCTATGAAACAAATTGCGCTAATTAATAACTAGGATTTTTACATGGCGGAGATACTTCGGGCTGGTGTGCTGCCCGCCGCGCTATTCGTTCGCAGCATAACGAACGTTACTGATCGATCGGGCCTGAGCAACCGATGTGAACTAATTGAATTTTCATTATGGAATTTCATTAGTATTCAACTTACATGAATGGAAATTTTAATTGATTTTCATGTAGCCATTATGTGCGCCCGAACTCTTTGCACTCGAGCGCACAAGCGCGTGCGTGGTCTAGAAAAGTTGTTCGCAATTATTTCTTGATCAATCATTTTAAATTGCGGTTTTTCAAAGGCACACGCCCGCATTATGCATCGCTTAAAAAATACCCAACCCCCGATATTCGCTAACCGCGCTGTAATATGCAATATATCCTCCGGGGTATTGTTAATGCGTAATAAACGCTCCTCGTTAATGCAGCAAACAAGAACGGGCTCATCATCATTTCGCAAGAAATCAATTTGTGAACTGCAAGCAAACTAGAAAAAAAAACAGTTACAATGCCGACTCTGCGCGACCAGTCGAACAGTGGAATAACCGAGCGCTACGAGCGTAATTAAGTTAATTAAATTTTAAAACTTTTGATGACACAATATAACTTTCCGGCTTGCGAGATGGTTTAGCGTGTATACTTTCGTCGCATCTCACATACTCGGGACGTCTGATATCTTTGTTCGCTCAAGTGCACATGCTCACATGAAGTATTCAAACAAACACAAGCTGCGCCCAGGCAAATAAACGAATCTTTTGAGACACAGCAGCGATATGCCATCTTGCTCCTTACCACCACGTCTCGGTGTGCGGCTGCCACAGTGTTGTCCGGGCGTCGTTATTCCCGACTATTAGTTACTCTTGGCTACTAGTGTTTGTTCGCCGCGTTATCTGGCCGGCCGTTATCCGAAACATTAAGTGTACGTGTTCGGGCGATAAGAGTGCCTGCAAACTGAGGGCAATTCCTTCCACATGATGGGACCGCAGAGGGTGCTGCTGCATAAAAGCTTGATTTATATTTATGTACGTCCTGTGCCGCGCGCGCGCGCGCGCGCACAAAGGACGACACTGCTTTCCTCTTGCGGCGGCGGCGTTGTATACAACGGCGGACAATCGAACACATAGAAAAAATGTAAAATTGGATATCCGCAGGCTTTTCCTAGTGTAGTGCTTAATTCACTTTTGTGAATTCCGCTCGTCTGATGTATAGGAAATGATTTACCTACATGATTCGTACTTCGCAGGTCAAGAAAGCTGCCCATATGATTACATCAAGATATACGACGGCAAGAACGAGTTCAGCCCCGTTATCGGAACATTCTGCGGGATGGGCAAGTTTCCCTACTCTATAATCGGAACCTCGCAGGATTTATTCGTCGAATTCGTTTCTTCACCAGCAGGTAGTTTTTCTATTACGTTTTGCTTATTAAAAACAATACGCAGTGTAAGTATGGTGGCGCATCTTGTTCACAACATAAATATGAAATGATATCATGAAGAACATAAAAGTTTAGTGTCTACACTTGACTCCTCATAAAATGTCGCGTTTATTCGCATTTTTATTGCACAGCGAAGGACTCAATGTGAGTTGTGTCGGAATGAACACAAAAGCGCACCTTTTCATGTTTAATTGTTTAATATGTTATGCCCGTAACAATTCGTGAATATTTGTGCCAGATTGATAATTATGTGTCTTGTGTTTGCATTTTTTGCTAGGCCCACTGTTGAATACTGGTTTCCATTTCAACGTCGGCAATTGGCCGGGACACGTGGACACAGCCGGCAGTCGGAACGGCACGTGCGACTGGCTGCTATCGTCGGAGAGTCTTCGCGCGTCCGGCGACTCCGAGGGGATCTTCCTGTCCGTCGCGCATTGGTATCCGCCGCACACGAGCTGCACGTATTTGATGCAAGGCGAGGAGAGCGAGATCGTTCGTCTTTATTTCCCCAGGTAGCACGCCAGCCATTTGCTTCAATTTTCCATGCTTCAGATTCGCTCTTATTCGCTCGACGGCTCTTATCCTCATCCCCCCACTCATGCACAAACATCATCCTTCAGCAATACTTCAGAATTTCAATTATTTTCAATATTCCATTCTTTTACCCTTACGGATTCTTTTTGTTCTCGAACCGGTTGGTGACGGCATCATTTCAAAGTTTGCTTTTTTCTGTCACGTATTTTCTCTGCTTTCATCAGGCATACTCTCGTACACGTAGGAATAAGACCTAATGTTTTTCATATTTTGCAAGCGCCTCTGCGCGCTCGCTCACTTTCGAATTCCCATTGGTTTATTTCTCGTTTCATTGTGCCAACAACGCGCTGCGCTGTTTTTATTCCATGGAATTATTTATTTGCAATGTAATGCGCGCCTTTTCTTTCCGAATGCAGCTTTCGTATAAATCGAATCGAATCGCCGATCCAGCCGATCGATGGCGATTGCGGCGAATCCCTCACTTTGTACGATGCGCCGTGGCCGGATGATTCGAAAATCATCAAAACTTTTTGCGACACGTTCTCCAAGGCAATGGAGAAGCACGATTTCGTCTCGACTGGGAACGCACTTTTTGTGCGCTTTGAAAGCAAAACTGGCAGCTACAGCGGGTACGTAATTCCGCGCGCGATAATAATAAGGAAAAACTCTAAAGTTGCGTCAATATTTTCCCCGAATAGATCATCATTGTACTACTGGGCACATTACGACTTCTTCAACAATACGAAGCTTGGCGAACCGGTGCCGGGGAAACAGTGTGATGAAGTGTTTGCTTCGTGGAGAACCACCAAGGGCTGGCTGCGCTCGCCACTTAACACGCTCGTTTACAAGCAAGCACCTGCCGGTGAAGACGTGCAGTGCTTGTATCGCTTTGTAACTGATAAGCGACTGTACGCCCGCGTCATCGTCACCGTCTTCAACATCCATTTCAAGGTAAACCTGTACTTAACCAACGACACGACTCGTTACATTAATGCGTGTGCACTTTTAGGATCATCCCTACAATCCAGGTCTTTGTACCAATTGCCTGGAGGACCGTGTAGATAAACTAGTGATCTGGGAACCTCTTCCTCCCGGCGTAAACTCATCCCATCCAATGACGCCATTATCGAAAGCTGCACATAGCGGAGAAGTGACCTGCCTTTGCAACCGGCACATTGGCTCCACCACAATCATCTCCCGTGGTGAACAAATGAACCTTCAGCTAATTGTGGACAACGCGCATGCAGCGCTCAGTTATTTCAAACACACCTCGCCGCTTTTTGAGGCGAGCTACGAATTTGTCCATGGTCCACTCTGTGGCCCACCAATTGTCAATCCGACCACCGACGGTGAAATCCACTATCCGTATTATGAGGCAATTGGATATGTCGAGCCACCGAAAAGTATTCGTTGCATTTGGGAAATCAAAGTGAACAAAGAGCGCGACTTGTGGATGCATTTCGATCGCATCAAGTTTGCTTCAAAGCACTGCGATGATGGTGTGGTTGATATTTTCATCAAGGGCAAGGTTGATCCGTATTTGAGCATCTGTGGCGAGAATGTCTCTATGACCAAAGAACTGCCCATTCTGTCCGCTGCTGAGCTTAGCCCGGATGGGCATGATCCCAGCATCACAATACAGTTTGTTGGAAGGACGTCCCCAACGCGTGCGGCTTTCAAAATCGCATGGACCGAGTTGTTCCATCTGCCGCGGAATACGGACGGTAGTCTGATGAGCAGTCGGTTGACGGAGGGTGGAAGCGTGGATGATGGGGGGTGTGAATTTCAGTGCCCAGGTGAAGCAGGCCTATGCATACCAGCTCGCTTGGTTTGTAATGGCGTCATAAACTGTCCCAACGTTACTGCTCATTCAGGTATGTTGAAAATTTTTGTTTAACATTGATATAGAAATTGATTTTTGTGTTCTGTTATGGCAGGTAACATCATAAGCGACGAATCAGAGGAAATCTGCAAAGGCGATGCGATACCGGAGATCAATCTACTCTACGTTGCGGTTGGCATTATACCCGTCGTAGTGATGTTGTTCTGCATATGTTATTGCTTGTGTCGATGTTGCTGTAAATATTGTTGTGTGGACGATTAAAACAATGCAGCAGAATTGAAATGCTGATCGGTCAACGTATATAAGTAACATTGTTTAAGGAACGCGCGGATGTATCCATTAACAATTAATAAAAACGACAAACATGCAACTAATCAGGCAGTGAACGAACGCTTAAACAAAGTGAAATAACAAAAACTTTTAACTTACTAATAAATAAATGTAGCGCGCGTTTCAATCGCGTATAATGTGACTACAATTTATCCTTTTTACCAAAAAGAATATGAATAATGTTACAAATTTAAGGGTAAAGCGCTGCGTGCAAGTTAAAAAGTAATTTTAAACCAATGTAAACACGCCGCGGCGATCCTCGTCGATAAGATACAAAACACCCACCAAACTTCAATCCCGTTGAATGGACTAACGTTTTAATTAGAAATTTTAGTTAAATAAAAAAAAATCAAACACTCTAATCCTAAATAAAAAAAAAACTCTTGCTCCTAAGAACGAAGTTCATAATTGATTCGAATCATACTATTACGAATTACCCCTGGCTGATGTCGCCCCGTTGAAACTAATGTTTAATATGTGACTGATGACTGTTGAAAGTGGAATTATAATAAAGCAGGAGGCGAAAATTGCACGAGCAGAGATGCTCAGTTTTCACTAATCCTTTCACTTTACTTTTGGAACAATTGCGATCCTTTGTCATGACGTGTTGCACCTAAAATGCAATATCGGAACAATGTTTTCTTTCCTTGTATTGTATATACTAACTTCTATGCAATTCACGTACATATGTGATAAATATTACAATTGCAACAATAATAAAGTATTGTTTTGAAAAAATACCCGAGTATATACACGATGTAAATAAACCATGTTATTTGTGCAAAATTATTTTAAATTTTGAATTTGTTTTTTTAGGTTATCGTTTCAAATAGTATTGCCATTTTCCTACATTAAAAGGACTTGTGGCACGCGTCGTAAAACCCAATAATATTTTTTGCCACAAGTGCGAAACATGTTTAATTTGAAGAGTATGGTTTCACTATACATTACCGGAAAGCAACTCAACATTCTAACAAGAAATGTTTTGAATTCTGAACCGACCCGATAAGCTAAATGTTATGGACATTCTATATGGACACCGCTAATTGTTATTCTCAACAATTTTAAATCTACTTAATTGTAATCTACGTCTACTTAGTAATCAATATTCACCTCTTTAGCAAAGACTTTTGTTTTTTACTTTTGCTGCACTTTTCGAACTTTTTTAGTGTGAAATGCTTTATCTCTCTTTTCTTTTATATCACAGCATTTCAATGGCAATTGAGAAGTGAACTATATATGTATTACATTAAATGTTGATTTTTATCCTTAAATCTATGTTTACTTCGAATTTGCGCTCAGGAAAGCTCAGCTGAATTTGGCTATTTTGAATTAATTTGAAACGTATGGAGCGCCTCTACAGGAACAAATCAAAACTAAAGTTAGCAGCGTGATCGCATGTTCCAATCGTTTGCAAGTCAGTCTGTTGGTCAGCCATGTAGCAGGTAAACACTTGTTTTGTTTTGTTTTACGAGGGTATTCTGTTTTGTGGGGTTTACGAGCAATTTGTGGGAGACTCTAAATTAATTACGCGTAGATTGAGCACTTTCGCGTTGTTTTTCCGCGAAATACTAACTTTTACATGGGGAGCCGGCATTCAAAGCACTTAACCAAACCAAAGAATTTTAAACAAAATACATATAGTAATCACAGCATGGGTTCAACGTAAAAAACATATTTGTTTTGATAATGTTCAGGATCCAAGTTTCCAGGTTAATTTTTATATTGTTTTATTTCAAATTTGAAATATTGCCTTACAACCGTTACTATGAATTCAGGTTATAACAAAAAAAAATTAGTTTTCAAATGATAGATCACAATGCAAGATTTACATCAGATCATTTGCAGCATTATGGCTGATGAAAAATACTCTGAGCAGTTTGATGACAATGGAAATGAAACCGAAAGCGCCAGTAAACGGTTCAAAGCTAACAATTGTGAAGAAGTCACAGAGAACAAAATTGAGATAAGAGTTCAAAATACATCAAAAGCTCAGAAATGTGTCATCTGTAAACAGTATGAGGATCAAGTCATTTTATACAATGGACATCCAACCGATTCAGTTCCTGAGTATATTGCATTGACTGATGATGACCTAATTGCTGCTGGGGATGAGGATGCCATGGATAAGCAGGATGAACGTCCTAGTCATAAAGTAATTTTAATCCAATGAAACAATGTAGTAAGAAATATAACCATTTCCATATTTTAGATTACTTTATATAATGTTTATGATAAGCTGGGGCACTTGGTGCCAATAGACACTGGTTTAATTGAAGAGGAAGTCTTATTGTTTGTGTCTGGCTATGTGAAGCCAATTTATGATGAAGATGAGTCTGCTGAGACTGGAATACCAACTCATGATATTGGACCCATCACAGCCTGGTATTATTGCCATTCTGGATTTACTAGTGATGATCTGACTGTATCATTTGAAACGCCTTATGCTGAGTATTGCATGATGGCGCCATGTGAAACATACGCGCCTATAATGAAATCATTAAAGGAAAAAATTCAAATATCCAAGATTGTGATGGAATTCCTAATGTCTGAATCATTGCAACAGCCTACTTATGAAGATATCCTGCAGAAACTCCACACTTGCAAAGACGCGAATATGAATGAGGAGTGTTTACTTCGGAATGCGCAGTTTGTATGTGATCAGATCCTGCGCGTTGATCAGACGGCTGATGAGGATGATGCTACACTCTTGACTTTGCCATGTATTCGAAGTCTGATCAAAATCGCAGGAGTTTCTTTTGCCGGGCGAAAATGGAATCAAATGATTAATGTCAGTTTGCAACGGAGTGTGAAGAAGTCTTCGAAGGGTTCAGCCACCACAACGGTGTTAGTTCGAAAAGTATTGGAAAATTTCTTCACCAATCATATTGCGAATAATAACGATGAGATTAAGACTCCAAAACAGACCGGTTGTGGAACATGTGAGGCTTGCCAACAGTCTGACTGTGGCCATTGCCTTGCCTGTCGCGATATGCTTAAGTTTGGCGGGATAGGGTGGTCGAAACAACCTTGTAAAATGAGGTGGTGCCCAACTGAGGCTCTACAAGAAGCAGAAGACTGCGATACGTTCGATGCGGATGAGGACTCTGAAACACTCGCAGTAGACGAAGAGACGTTTTCTTGTTCGAAGAGAATTATTAACCAAGTTGAATGGATTGGTGATGCATTAAGTGAACAAAACGGCCGGACATATTATCAGTTCGCTACTGTTGGTAAGTTTATTTGAATCTTTTTGAAATTAATTCAAAAATTATTCTGTATTAAATAATTATAGGAAATGCGCAAATAACAACTGGAGACTATGTAATTCTAAATCCAGTCGTGCCAAACCACCCACTTCTTGTAGCCGAAGTTGTCTACATGTGGAATGATACCGAAAAAGGTCCAATGTTCCACGCGCATTTTTTCATCCGCGGATCGAACACGGTTTTGGGCGAAACAGCGGATCCCAGGGAGATTTTTGTGCATGACAGTTGCGACAATTGCCCTCTGGGCACAATTGTCCGTAAGGCCATCGTAGAGAAACGTTTACCAACCATTGATTGGGCCCTGATTGGTGGTGGCGACAGCCTATCACCTATATTGGAAGATGATGGGGAAACGTATTTCTTTTCAAAACGTTACAATGCAGAACACGCCAGATTTGAGGATTTGCGGTCAGCAGATTTTGGATCGGAATCAATTTCCCCGTGTGAAGCATGCACGTTAGTAAAGTTTAACTTATTACGTTAATTATTTCATAATAATTACTTTCACAGTGCCAATCATCAGAGGCGTTTATTTAATACTCCTAAGATGGAAGATAACTCTGTGATATACCATGGTGAAGAATACAAAGTAGGGAGCGCGGTGTACTTAACGCCCGGAGTGTTCAAATACTTGAAAATCTCGTTTGACACTGAGGACGATTGTTTATCAACAAAAAGCGACTTCGATAGTGCTTTATATCCGGAGTCTTACCGCAAGAACCATGAAAATATTAAAGCATCTAATTTGGGTGCAACTGAACCATTTGCTATTGCATTGATCGAGGCAATTTTTGAGGAACATTCCACTACGAATGAATCAAACATCAAACTCAGGGTTAAGAAGTTCTATAGACCTGAAAACACGCATAAAGGCGCGGCTTTAAATCGTCAGTGCGATCTGAACATGTTGTATTATAGCGAAGAAGGTACTTTATTTTTGTTGGATGATTCTTTTTAGTTTTTTTTTTTAATTTCATTTCTAGAGGATATAGTTGACTTCCTCGATGTACAAGGTAAATGCTTTATCACTTATGGTTATAACATAGAGGGTTCTCTGAACGAATGGACGACTGAAGGTCCTCACCGGTTTTATTTTCTCGAGAAATACGATTCGGAAACGTTGACCTTTGAGGATGTTCCGTCCAGCGCGATGAGAATGGGCCAGAGAGGTAAAGATTCGAGAAAACAGAAGAATAAAAGCAAGAAAGGGTCAGTCAAGTCGTTCGAAGTTGCGCCAAACTATAAAAATATGGAAGAGTTGTCTTGTTTGGACGTGTTTGCAGGATGTGGAGGCTTCTCCGAGGGATTGCTTCAGAGTGGAGTTGCTAAAATACGTTGGGCTGTAAGCGCTTTCAATTTGATTCGTATCAGTAATTCTATATCGGTTTGCGCATGTCTGAATATTCCATCTTTACGTTGACAAATTCATTCACTCGTATAAGCAAAAAAATGTTTTCAGATTGAAAAAGATGCTGCAGCTGCAAAAGCATATCAGGTAAATAATCCGGACGTGCACGTATTTACCACTGACAGTAATCAGTTCCTAATGGATGTGATGGACGGCGATGGCTTTGCCCAGGGCATGCCATTCAAAGGGGAAGTGCAATTATTAGTGGGCACGCCACCGTGCCAGGCATTCTCCGGAATGAATAAATTCAACGCTGGAGAGTTTGCGAATTTTCAACATTCTCATATTGCTTCGTATCTCTCGTACTGCGAGTATTACCGCCCGAATTATTTAATTCTCGACAATGTTGGGGATTTCGTTTTCTTTAAGAAAAGTCTTGTGTTAAAGTTGACTCTGAGGTGCTTATTGGCCATGGGTTATCAGGCGACTTTTGGTGTCATTCAGGCCGGACATTATGGGGTGCCACAAAGTCACAGAAGGTTGATTATATTTGCTGCCGCGCCGGGATACGAATTACCGAATTATCCCGAACCATGTCATGTATTGCGAAAGATGCAATGTGAATCGTCGGTCCAAGTTGGAGATCATCGATACACTAATGGTACACGTTGGATAGGCTCTGCGCCACTCAGACCAATCACGGTGTATGATGCATTGGCCGATCTGCCGGCAATTCAAAACGGTGCCAGCATGCGTATCCTACCTTATGACACGGATGCCATTACGCACTTTCAACGCCAGATGCGGAACGCCGGCGGCCAGTTAAACACGATCTCCGACCACATCTGCAAAAACATGCCACCCTTGGTCGAAGCACGCATGTCTTACATCCCGCTAGCACCCGGCAGCGATTGGCGTGACTTGCCGAACCTGGAGGTGCGTCTTAAAGATGGCTCCTACACCAATACACTGCACTACGCATACCATACTAAGCAACAAGCCAATTGTGAGACACCCAGAGGAGTGTGCATCTGTGCCACCGAGGAGGCCTGCTGCGATCCGTCCGATCAACAGTTGAATACATTGATACCGTGGTGTTTACCGCACACGGCGGATCGCCACAATCATTGGACGGGACTGTATGGACGCTTAGAGTGGGATGGAGTCTTTAGTACGACGGTGACTAATCCAGAACCTATGGGCAGGCAGGGTCGCGTCTTGCACCCAGAGCAGCATCGGGTTGTTAGTGTGAGGGAGTGTGCGAGGTCGCAGGGATTTCCAGACAAGTACGAGTTTGCGGGCAATATATTCGATAAGCATCGGCAGGTGGGAAATGCGATGCCACCGCCTGTAGGCGCGGCACTTGGCAGGGAGATTTTACAAGCGTGCCTTAATTCGAAGGTTTAAAGATTTGAAGTATGAATTATTTTATTTTGTTATATTAAACTGTTTGTACCGCTACGTGATACTGCAAGATGTGTCGAAACGCATGTTAGAAAAAAGTTGAGAAGTTTGGCACTTCGAAAATTGTCAGATTGTTGCAATTGTTTGTGTTAATTTACGGCAGCAAAGTTTTAAGTCCATTTTACCATTGTTCTACCACCAAAGTATTTATATCCATATCTCATGTAATGATTAAGTAAGTTTATACGAATACCAATGCTAGTTTAATTCGAAATAGTCAGTTTTGGATGGTGAGATGTATGTAATAATATTTAATATATTTTGTAATTCCTTGCTGGGAATTTTGCTTGAGCGTTGAAAATTTAAAGCAGTTTAAAATATTTAAATTGTGAAATAAGCAGTTAAGCCTTGGCCTTGTGCCACTAGATTTAAATGTTTCGCATGCGCAGTACGGACTTCCGGTGCTGGCACATCTGCGCATGCCGTCCTGTATCTTGCATTTACCGCACGCTCGAGTCACGCGCATCTAGCCCGGCCTTTGAGTTGCAAGCATCTCTTTAACATTTTAATCGTGCTGTTCAAATCTTGTGAATGTAAGCTATCATAAATATTAGTTCTTATTGATCATGCATGTTCATGTACATATGTATATATTTCTCATTTCATTAAACCGAAGGCGCACTGTTCCAAAAGTTACTATCACAAATGTGAACAGTTTACACACGCTATATAGCACAGGTAATTTTAAATTTAATTATTTTTAATGTATCCAATGTAAGCGCACCAACACGCACTTCTGAACAGGATTTGATTGCTATTTAATAGTAATTTTTATTGAATAAAACCTCGAATGGAACCAGCTTCAAGTTTAGATTCGAATTTCGGCAGAGAATTGGATCCTATAAAATAAAATATATAAATCTGAAGGCAAATTAAACTTAAAGCGCACAAATTTGTTAAAATTAGTTAACTTACTATCGGTACTGCTGTTTATATATTTGCGTACATCTGAAACAATGTCTGTATTGCTTTCTTCAAATGTTGTATTATAACCGCTCTGACTGGTGGTGGTCGTGATGGAAATTGTTTCTTCGGTAGTGTCAAGACGTACGGCTTCAATCCATTCTGACTCTGATAATGCCGATAGCACTGCACAGCGTTTAATGCGTTGACGCTTTGGTGTCTGGTACACCCATTCCGACGATGGTATCCTAGGCAGTGTCGGCGATTCCACTGTAGGAGTTTGATTGCACATCGGATCCAACTTTGTGTTTAATATTTTACATTTTTTGCTCTGTCTCTTTTTCGCTGGTTTTCTTGGTTTCTTATCCATCTTGCCATTGTTTCCATTCAGTTTTTCAATTTCCTTTAATAATCTGCTCACGCTAGCATTGATATGGCATTTGCTGGACTGCACTTCAGCTTCTAAGTGTTTGCTGAAGTCGTCACTAATCTGCGTAGATGATTCTCCCATTAGAAATTCAGATGCTGTTGCACTGCGAGTACGAATCGGTGAACGAGCTGAAATTAATCATGTCAGATTTTATTTTCATTTACACGAACTAATGTTGTAATTATGACTTACCATATTGCTGTTTGCTAGAATTTTGTTTTGTCCTGCTAAGGTACATCTGTTGCATTAGGAGAACGTAGAAACAAAATTAGTATTTAGTGCAGCATTTCAGGGACATAAACAAGTAACAAGCTCATGTGTGCTTTTTACCGAAGTTTGCATCAAAATATTATGAATTTGTGGAGTTTGAAATATATGAGTACGAGTGAAACTAGTCAATCTACAAAAAGTGAACACTGACTCACCGTCATAATTCGAACTTGAACAATCAAATTTGAAAAATCACTGTAATTGATTTCAACTAAAATTTTCAACCAACTTGAACTCACTTAAATAACAAAAGAAAACTTTTCTGACGTTACCATGGAAACAGTATAGGCAACTTATGGTGCGTTCTGTAGTGTCCTAGACGCTATCCCTTCTTTACTTCGTCACAATCTCTTGATTGTCATCAGGAGCACCAAGGACATCGAGCGAAACGAGGGAAGTTTGATTCTTGTTAAATATAAGCAGATGGCGCAGGTATCGGAAGTCGTTTTGTCGGCGAGCAATATTTTGCACACTTAGTCGGTGTTACGCTGTCGTGGTGTTTAGACGCGTTGTATTTGTTCAGTGCAATAAGCGAAAAGCTAACGATTTACTCCGTGTGAAACTGAAAGTTGCGTGACTTCGTCTACTACGCGCTTATGTGCCGACGACCGCCGGATTTTTTTCCCTGGGTATGAATTCCAAGTGGATTTATTTATTAAACTTGTTCATTTGTTATTTCGTGTAAATACACAACGTGTGTAGCGCGTGTGAACAGATCGTAAGTTCCAGCAGATAACTTGCGGAAACGTGTGCGTGCACGTTTATTTTTCATCGATAAATGAATAAAATAGCATGCAAGTAAGGTCAAGTAAAAATTATGTCTTTTTAATATTTCAGGTTCAATCGCATTTTTATTATTTATGTTTATAATTCAGTCAATACATGATAATTTAATCTTATAATTTGGTTCACGTTTATTCCTTGTTTTCACGAAGTCTAATTTTTGAATGTTTTAGGAATTTTCCACCAGAATCCGATATCGTAGAAGAACCATTCTTTTAGCAGATGGTAAGTATTAAATTTCTCTATTGTTTTCATCAATAAATTTCGTGATTATCTTACGAAATAACTCAAATAACCCTTCAAATTGCATTATTGTGTTGCGAAGGACTAATTTTTGATGGTTTTAGGGATTTTCCACCTGAGTCCGATATCGCAGGAGAACCATTCTTTCAGCAGATGGTAAGTATTAAATTTCTTTATTGTTTTCATCAATAAATTTTGTGATTATCTTACGAATTAACCCTTAAAATTGTATTTTGGTGTTGCAAAGGACTAATTTTTGATTGTTTTAGGGATTTTCTACTTGAGTCCGATATCGTAGAAGAAACATTCTTTCAGCAGATGGTAAGTATTAAATTTCTCTATACTTTTCATCTATAAATTTCGTAACTATCTTACGAAATAACCTTTAAAATTGCATTTTTGTGTTGCGAAGGACTAATTTTGGATGGTTTTAGGGATTTTTCACCTGATTCCGATATCGTAGAAGAACCATTTTTCAGCTGATGGTAAGTATTATATTTCTCTATCGTTTTCATCAATAAATTTAGTGATTATCTCACAAATTAACCCTTAAAATTGCATTTTTGTGTTGCGAAGGACTAATTTTTGATGGTTTTAGGGATTTTCCACCTGAGTCCGATATTGTAGAAGAACCATTCTTGCAGCAGATAGTAAGTATTACATTTCTCTATCGTTTTCATCAATAAATTTTGTGATTATCTTACGAATTAACCCTTAAAATTGTATTTTTGTGTTGCGAAGGACTAATTTTCTATTGTTTTAGGGATTTTCTACCTGAGTCCGATATTGTAGAAGAACCATTCTTTTAGCAGATAGTAAGTATTAAATGTCTCTATCGTTTTCATCAATAAATTTCGTGATTATCTCTCGAATTAACCCTTAAAATTGCATTTTTGTGTTGCGAAGGACAAATTTTTTATTGTTTTAGGGATTTTCCACCTGAGTCCGATATTGTAGAAGAACCATTCTTTCAGCAGGTAGTAAGTATTAAATTTCTCTATCGTTTTCATCAATAAATTTTGTGATTATCTCACGAATTAACCCTTAAAATTGCATTTTTGTGTTGAGGAGGACTAATTTCGCTTCGACCTTGGCTTGCGCAGCATACTGTGCGCTGCCATTTTAATCCTTCATCGCGGGTTACCGGCTCAAGCCAGTCAGTGGTGCGCAGTTGTTCGGTGTGCACGTGTTTTTATCTTCTCCGTCGATCTTCATCCCGACTGTTAGCAATTCTGTTGTTTTAATACTGTAGAAGCGTTTGATCATCGATTGTCATCGACTACTGACTAAATGATTTATTGTGTATCGAATCCAGAATTAAGAGTTCACCTCGTTCCCGTGTGAATGCCATCAGCCACCGACCGTCGGATCTCCTCCGTTGGGCTACTGATTCCAATTAGATTGATTGTTCAATCGTTAATTCGTTGGGATAAATCACGTGTTTTGCTCGTGTGGAATGGTTGCCAGGGCAAAGGTAATACAATAGAGTAGTAATATCAGTTCTTCATTGTGCGATTTAGAACTTCATGGATGGATCAACACAGAAGTATGTAACATCAGGTAAAAAATTTCCTTAGATAAACCTTGTTTTAAATTTTACAGATATATTTGCATTGATAATACATGTATATGGTTCAGTAAATAAAGGATCATTTAATCTTAATTTCTCATTCATATTTAACCCTTGCGTTCACTTGTCGTTTTCAGTTTTAGTTGTAGTTGCAGGCATATAAGGCATCTTAGGTGTGTGGAGCGTACACAGCACAACTGTTGCTTATGTTGTGTTGTTGTTTTTAAAAAGTTGAATAAAGTAGAAATATAAATAGAAGAATCAAATATAAATAATAAAAATACTCGGTGGTCGAATGGAGACGTGCACCTGCTGGCATGCCAGCAGACACGGATCGAATCTCGGGTATGGAAGGCATTTTTCTCAAATATAAAAATATCAGGTGAAATTTGGGTTGCATATATGAATTGTAACGAAATATAAGAGAAATTGAAATACATGTGGAGGCAATGAGAGAAGTAAGAAGGTAAATGGAGAACGGGAGGAGAACAGAGAAATGGAAATAGAAGAATGAGAGTAGTAGAGATTAGGAGAAAGTGGAAGGAAGAGAACAGAGAGTGGAGTATAGAGAAGAGGGAGGAGATAGAAGAAAGAGAACAGGGGAGAGAATCAGATTTTTCAATTTTTTGGGCACGTGTCGTTATAAGACAGTCACAGGTCGATCTCCCAGAGCGCCTCCGGCGCTCTGGTCGATCACCTACTGCTTCGATCCGTCCATCGCTCCCGGCCCATCCTACAGCTACGATGTCTCTGCGCTTCATCCCCGAAATACTCAGACATATCAACAATTTTTATGGTGGGGGATCATCCCCAGAGAGAGGGAACTCCTTATAAGGACATCCTTTTAAGGACTTGTAAAAATATTTCTAATTTTTAAGTCGCCTCAAGAGAGGGGACACTTAAAAATAATCTTACAAGTTCTGACCTGTAGCTGAAATGAAAGATGGAGTACACAACTCATACTAGATACCTTAACAATTTTTATAGTGGGGATCATTCCCTGAGAGAAGGAACTCTCTTAGAGACCTGTACCTGAAATGATAGAAGGGGTACATTCAAAGAATAAGACATAATATTTCTTAACATTTCTTTATTAATAAATACAATGTAAAATAATAAAAGTTTAGATTTTACAAGTCAACAAAATTCATGCCGACATATTCAAACAGGACTTGCGACCTGCATCATCGCGCACATACAGGCAAGCACCAAATTAAAAACACTAACACATGGGCAGTAGAAAATAACTATTTATCACGGAAAACTAATGTACAGGGTGTTACCAAACGAAAAATTCATACTTCCAAAGGAAACTTGCAACAATAAACTTAACACATTTTTTGCAGATTGGAAAGGGATATTCAGGGTGTTACAAAAAGATAATCTACAGTTCAAGAAAGAAAACAGTTGAAAACAAAAAAATGGTCAAGTATTGATGTGAAATTAATAAAAACAAATATATAGGGTGTTATCAAAATAAAATGACAATATTTAAAAAGAAATGGTTTGGTCAAGCAAAAGATATCAGAAAATTTAAGTAGTTACCTGTTTCTCCCGGGATGGCTTAAAAATAAAGAACGAGAAAGTAACAATGAAGAAGGTGACAATTAAATGCAACACTATTATAAATATTATTGCAATATTGAGATTATATATTCGACGCAATATCTAGACAAAGTGCCGGCCGACGGCACGCACACGCGGAAGGAAATATTAAAATCGCGTATCATATACATTTTACGGACAGTAACTAATTGTCAACCTACTAGACGTATCAATAGCGATCCACGCGATAAAAAAGTTGTTTATACACAAACCCCGATAAACGGGCTGAGATGGAATTGCAACATGATGTGTAAATATAATTCTGCACTCTTCTGCATGCATTCACAAATGTCCCTATAACTCACGTTACGGAATTATCTCGCAACAAATTCAAATACAGGGTGATAAAGAATTAAATTCTGCACCTGGGAAAATTATTCCGAAGTTATTGTGATAACGCGTTCGCGTGTTATACTAAAAAAACAACAATTCCTAGCGCAACGAGTTCTAGTGCGTATACACACAACTTTCAATATAACTCGAGTTTCGGAGTTTTCTTGCAATAAATTTCAATACAAAGAGATACAGAATTAAATTCTGCATCTGAAAAAATTATTCCGAACTTATTGTGACACCCCGTTCGCGTGTTATATCAGAAAACTATAACTCCTAGCGCAACGAGTACTAACTAGTGCGTATACACACAACTTTCAATATTACTCGCGTTACGGATTTTTCTCGCAATAAATTGCAATACAGGGAAATACAGAATTAAATTCTGCATCTTGAAAAATTATTCCGAACTTATTGTGACACCGCGATCGCGTGTTATGCTGAAAAAACTACAATTCCTAGCGCAACGAGTACTCCGTAGCACACACACACACACACAACTTTCAATATAACTCGCGTTACGGATACTTTTTGCAATAAATTTCGATTCAGGGAGATACAAAATTAAATTCTGCATCTGGAAAAATAATTTCGAACTTATTGTGACATCGCGTTCGCGTGTTATGTTAAAACAACTACAAATTAGCAAATTTAGCCCATTTTCTAGGTGATGGAAAATGGAAACAAATATACAGGGTGTTACAAAAAGAAAATTCAAAGTCAAATTCTAATAACAGTCAAAGCAAAATTTTCAGGGATGTGAAGAAAAACAATTATACAAGGTGTCACAAATTGAAAATTCAACCATCAAACGTACGAACGTTTGTAGCGCGAGCTGGTTCAAGACGACAAAAAAGTTGTTTATATACAAAGTTTGTATTACAAACCACGAAAAGCAGGTAGAAATGAACACCAAACAAATCTCAAACGCATTTAATATTTAGAACTATTGCCTACGGTATTAAAAGAGCGCAAACGGTTCAGTAATAACCAATAGTGATAATAAACAATGTCTAAAAGAAGTGAAAATTACGCGTGAGATTTCCGGGACCGGGCACTCTCATATAAAATAGTATAAATCAGAGGTAACAGAAAATTATTACAACTTGTATTGTCTACGAGCCAAACAGAAAGGTATCATGAGGCCAGCAGTGTAACTATAAGACGACAGAGTTAGTAAAATTGACCGAGAAAATTTAAAATGGAAATTTAATTATTACAAATAATTACATGAATAAAACTTGAAAAATCTTTAAAATTCCCAAATTTACCGTAGTCTCTCACACACCAAAAGGAATTCTTCAAATCTCTATAAAATCATCATTTTTATTCGAGGATTTTCGATAATGAATATCTTTTAAACTAAAACCGGTAGTGCGTTAAAAGCCATAAAAGCGACCAGTAAATTAAAGAATATGAAAGATTAGAAAACTCTCTATAAGGCTTAAATTAAAAATAATATAATTCTGTGGGGAAAAGGTCCAAAATCGTGACTAAAAAGTGAAAGTTTTACCGCTACCCTCATACGGTGCCCTGAACACAAGTCACTTCCTCCGCTACCTTTGTACGGTGCCCTGAATACGAGTCACTTCTACCGCTACCCTCATATGGTGCCCTGAACACCACGAGTCACTTCTACCACTGCCCTCTTTTAAACTAAAAGCGCAGGCGATCAAATTATGTGCAAGATAGGAAAATTCTCTATCAGGTAAAAATTAAAAATAATTATATTCCGTAGGGTATATGCGATCAAAACTAAATTGAAATATACTGCATGCGATATGAGCAGATGGCAACGCGACACAAAAAATGTTGTTTATACACAAACGTTGATAAATTAGAAATTTTTGGTTGATGCTAGTCTCATCTATGAATAATACAGTAAATAAAAACATACAAAATTTCAAAATTGTCCTAAAAATGAAAATGAAAAAGTCTCAGAGAGATGAAACAAGAATTGTCCTAAGCAAATTTTTGTTTATGAATTATTCTCGACCTCTCCTATTTTCACAATTTGAATATTTTATTTTATAAAGTTTATGAAGATGCCCTCTGGGCGAAACATGTTAAACTCAACAAAAAAAAAAAAAAAAAAAAAACCTGTAAATCCAAAAAATCACGTTGTAATTTTAATCAATAAATATTTTTATATTTATAAAAAATAACATGGATTACGTATTCACCAAAGAAAGTAATAAATTTTATAAAGAATTCTCCGAAGATTTAGAATCTTCAATCCAAAATAGTTGGAATTGAAGAAACAGAGACAAAAGGGGATAGGGATGGTTAGGACATGATTCCGCGGAATTGCATCTTCAAGTACAACTCTTGCGCTTTTGTAAGCTAAGGAAAAACTAAACAATTAATTTTGGGATGTATCTGCCGGGTACGCGACTATCTTATGTATTTGCAAGACGCGGTGGAACGCGATAAATCAAAACAATGTAAATACAAACTAATGGAGGACGCAGAAATTAAAACGAAATATATGATTGAATTATAAACTTACCAATGCAGAAGTCATGGAACTCCAAGGCACGGCCACTACTGTAAATAACAGAAGAAAACATAAGTTAAAACAAAAATATTTCAAACGATTCAGTAATATTATAATCACACAGCGGAGAAAATCAAACAATCTGTGCTGAGACACAATAAAAAGCAATAATCACTAAGAACACCGAAAGTAATACGAGTTACCGAATTAAATCCGAAGAAAGGAGAATTGCGACGACCGCGTGCGAACCATCCGTCGGATACGGCGAAACTAATTTTATTCCTGCAGCGTGAGCAAACGACACACGCGGCGCCATCACACGGTCGCGTATATAGTAAAAAACTATACACGAATATCGTACGCGAATCACCTGACAATAAGAGATAAGAACAAACCGGTCGAATTCGAGTGCGACGTGAGATCGCAAGGCGGTTTAGACACTACCACATACAAACATTGGGCATGTATGTTCGTCAATGAAATATAAATGTTTGTTTACCTTTTCTTAAGCGGTCAAATCGCATCAAGCACCAAGCACCCCCAATTTTTTTTTAAGAATTAAAATTTCATCTCTCAGATTTCCGTTTTAACTATCCTATCTTATAGAGAATAGTCCGTAGATTAAGACGCTGGGATCAGATCCTATTTATCTCTTTTAGTTTGCGAGATATTCGCGATTGAATAAAATGGACAAAAATTGAAAAATGTCACTTTTTAGCACTTTTAGTCTCGTTTTTCGACCTTTTACTGTTGGAAATATAATCATTTTATATTTTTATCTGATAGAGAATTTTCCAATCTTCCATAATCAGCAATCCGTTGGTTGCTATCGCTTTTATTAGAGAATAGTCCGTAGAATAGTCTCTGCTATTTGTTCCTATTTATCTCTTTTAGTTTACGCGATATTCGCAATTGTAAAAAAAAATCATGGTATATCGAGGTAGAAGTGCTCCAAACTAATGGAGGACGCAGAAATTAAAACGAAAAATATAATAAATTATAAACTTACCAATGCAGAACTCCTGGGACTCCAAGGCACGGCTAATACTGTAGGTAAATAAACAAAGAAAAAATAAGTTAAAACAAAAACATTTAAAACAATTTAGTAATATTATAATCACACAGCGGAGATAAACAAACAATATGTGCTGTTTAGTTAGAAGTATCGAGTACTTACAAGAGCACGATGGGTCATCCTTATGATGAATATCAAATCAACATGGGGGCGATACACTTAACCGGCATTTATGGAAAATAAACGCGCAAACAGTAAATAACATTACTATAGTCGATTGATGATCGAATATAATGCGAATTTGGTGAGTAGATGCCCGGACAAACAATACTAGTCGCGTAAAATATTGGATCAACCAGATACCGGCACGAAACTGGCTGCAACCTGTGCAAGCAACGACGCGACAGTTTATGATAAGAAAGCAATAGATGCGCATAGCCAGTGCGTCGATGACACGCGACCTTATGCGCGAATGCTTTGGCACGTTACCTGCGATCAAAACTAAACTAAGAAGCGCCAACATGCGGCGTGAGGGGATCGCATGCGTTGCATTCTCGCGGCCAATGCGATAAGAAAGTGTAGGTAAGTTGTGTTCAAAACAAACACAATTCTCGTGTCGAATGCTCGCGCTTGCTGATAACTATGAAAATAAACAATACATGTCTATTTTACACTTTTTGTTAATGCTAGTGCCATCTATAAATAGTGCTAATAGTAGTCCCGGAATTTGGATTTAAGAAATATCAAAAATTTAAAATCCGAACTATGTAATTCAGATTACGTATACTAAAAGATTGCCCGATTTTACACAAATTATTTTAGCGATATTTAATTCGATAGAACAAGACCGATTAAAGCTTAAAAGGAACGTTTCGCAGGTTCTTAATCTACCGACAATTCTCTATAAAAGGAGCTAGTTAAATTCGAAATCTAAGAGAAGAAAAAAAAATCATCCGCATGCGGTTCCCTAAATACTACCGCTACCCTGTTACGGTACACCGAATGAGACTCAACTATACAATTGCGATTAATTGCAATTTTAATAAATAAACAAAAAAATCAACGTTCTTGTCATATTCAAGTCAATAAACTTTTATAGTGCATATCTTTTAAACTAACAGCGATAGCGACCAACAGATTGAAAAATATGAAAGATTGAAAATTTCTCTATAAGATAAAAATGAAAAATAATTCTATTCTGTGGGGTCAAAGGTCCAAAAATATAACTAAGTGCTAAAATGTGCAATGTTCTGATTTTTGTCAAAAGATAAGAAATAACAATACAACCGCTTCGGTTGAAGTGACAACACATGCCATGCAATTTTAAGCAAATTTATGTATATAACAATCTATAAAACACTACGAAAATATGATCAATGTGGTTGAGAATATTATTTAATTTACTTACTGGTTAGTACTGTAAAATTTCCATCGTAAACGGCATCCGTCGGCAGCCCGATCACAAACAAATACTTGCATATTTGCATTCCGCGAACATCTTATAAGCGATAAATCATTAGCGAGACACAATAAAAAACAATAATCACTATGAACACCGAATGTAATACGAGTTACCGAATTAAATCCGAAGAAAGGAGAATTGCGACGACTGCGTGCGAACCATCCGTCGGATACGGCGAAACTAATTTTATTCCTGCAGCGTGAGCAAACGATACACGCGGCGCCATCACACGGTCGCGTATACAGTACAAATCTATACACGAATATCGTACGCGAATCACCTGACAATAAAAGATAAGAACAAACCGGTCGAATTGTAGCCCGACGTGAGATCGTAAAACTACACACAAATATTGGGCGTGTATTTGCGTCAATAAAATGAAAATTATTGTTTACCTTTTCTTACCTTGAAGTTGCATCAAAACAATTAACAATTAAATCTTAAATTGGCTAAAATAAAGTTGGAATATAATTGATCAGTTTGAATTCGTTTAGTCGTCCTTAAAATTGCAATCGTACACATATATTATATATATTTATATAGATATTATATATGGTGTTACACATACCGCTATTTAACCGTTAATTGTTTTCTGCCTTCTTTAATTTGAAACAAATGAAACGGTGAGCAGACAAAAGGGATTACCCGTCACATGTCATCCGGATTTGATGATCAGCGGTTCATATGCAACTAGATTTTTTTAAATATAGGTTCCGGAGTGGTATGTTTTGCTAAAATTGATTCGTGAATTAATTGTCGGCTGTGTTGATAGTTTATAGTAGGCAACGGGCCCCCCTCCGCGCAGTCACCGAATTGCATTAGAACACCATCAATTCATTGCTGCTGAGGCATTTTCCTCCTGCAGTGGTCGTGCAACCCTTTTGAAATAACCATGCGAGAGTGTGGATGACTACATATGAAATAAATAAACACATAAATAAAAAGACATATCGTTATCATAAAATATATTTTTCGCGTCTTACATATAAAATACACTAGGTTTGTTAAGTTTCGATAAAAGTTTACCTGAATGCTTGTTCGCTTATCGTCTTAAATTAATCATGGATCGTATTGTTTCTATTTGCACATTACAATAGTATTATAATATATTCGCTTAACTTATTAAAATAATGGTCATAATTGTATAAAAATTTAATTGAATTCGCTGCCTAATAACAACCAGTGGACAAAACCACCAATTTCTCAAATTTCACCAAAAATTGTTTGCTTTCTTTTTTTCCTTTCTGTAAAAACTCAGTCAAGTTCATCGCAATTGAGCTTCGTTCGCGTTCGTTGTTTCTATCATCGGATCATTATTGTGTTCAATAGTTGTAAGGTCCATAAGCTGATCCGGTAGTGTAGTATGGTCCAGCAAACTGCTGATGTGCCATTGGATAACCAGCGTAGGCATACTGCTGCTTTTGTGGGTACACTAAAAATCAAATGTTTATTAGAATTGGTCGGCATTGGGTCCATGGCGGGTTAGTAATAAGAACGATGAAGGACATGCGACATGCAGGGCATGCAAACACTAAAAGCCTAAAGCATTAAACAATCTTCTATAAGCAAGTTACAAGCATAGCCACAAATAAATTGATTAAGTTGTGATGAGAATTTGATGAGTATGTACAATAATGGAAGCAGCAGTTTTTGATGCATCGAGTGAGTGATCAGATAATTAAAAGTGGAGTACAAGCGTTTGTCATATAGCGTTACCGGGCATAAGGTACTGCATATTGATAGCCTCCTCGCGTTCTCGCTCGCCTCGCAGACAGATTGCGGCTCCCGAAAAGAGGATAGCAGCGACTAGAGACCATGCGACACCGACCCACGCCAGCATGTAGCTCCAATCGTAATTGATGCGTGTGTTAACGCGCAACACCTACGGATTAGTATCGAAAACATCTGTGTTAGTCTTAACTTGTTAAGACGGCGCATGTACCTGGCATTATGTATTGCATATTGTTCAACTGCTCCTGTCGCTTTTCGCTGTTCAAACAGCATGAGCCAAACAGGAACAGGAAGAACGAAAAGCATGAGGCGAACACGCCCAGCCAGCCGAGGATGAAGCTCCAGTCGTACGATATCTCCGTATTGTCCTGCAGTATCTGTATTGTGCACAAATATATTGATTCTTAATATTGCTTAATAATAACAACGGCTTCTATCTCAATTGGAAGACAATTCCTATACGACACATAAGCACAAAGTTTGATTTGCTACGCCATGTAATAATGTTGCAATATTTGGATCCGGAATGAAATCTGAAATGACAATTGCATGCAAAAAAAAATTACTTACATTGCTCCACTGTTGATAGAATTCCTCTCCGACCACTTTCTCCTTTTCAAAATATTCCACCCCATGCCACAAACCCATCGCACCAGCGCTCAGTAAACCTAAAATAAATCATAAAAAGAACATTAGTTTCCCATTGCAGACAAATGGAAATACACATATAAAAGCCACTGCTCAAGATATGTGGAGTGGCTAATTTACTAGCTAAATTTTAAAAAAATGCTTCATTGAGATTGATATTTACTTTCGATTAGGCATACTAAAAGATGACCATCCGCTTGCCTACCTCTACTCCTTGTAGGCCACAACTACCTGTAGAATGTAGATGTACTAAAATGTTGTGGTTGTGGTAGAAAACTAAGGTGAACGAACTGACAATTGCCGCGTGTCGGTGTGCCACATACAAGAATTGCGTGAACCGACAAAAAGAGGTACGATGTTATTGGATTCAGTACCTGAGACGCGTTGAAAGTCGAGCCCCTACCTGGCAAACACGACCAACACAACAATTCCCTCCGCAAACAAGAGCGCATCATAGGCGGCGATGGCGTCTGTGCACATGGTGGGTTCGTCATACTATCTGTATTTTACTCAACAATTCGTGTAGAAAGTTCTACGCGCGTCTTATTCACCGTCCCGTCCGTAACTTTTGTTTGATGGTTGAAGGTCCGCTGCATAAAGAAGCATTCTGCATTGGAGCTCAATATAATTATATTGGAAAACTTTCAGAAATCATTGGCTTGCGTTGCTCTTGCAGTCGTTTAGTTTGTAAAGTAGCATACGCCCAATGATTTCACTAGCGGTGGTCAGAACGTTCACCAAAGATTGCCACGACCTCATTTTGGATGGATTTTTCGCTTGATGTTCGATCAGTTGACATATTTTACGCGATTTAAATTTAATTGTAATTGTTAAACTTTTAATGATTCATTTATACGGAACAATAGAATGACGAGTTTGCACTTCTTGTGTCTTTATACTTACAAGCTAAAAGCATTAATATCGCAGTGGCTGTGATGTTTCCAGGCGATCGTCGCCAGCAACCTGCCACACCAGTGCAGAATGCGGAAAATATTGACAGGAATGCAATCACGAAGAGGGCAATCATCGAACGACTCATATCTAAAATTAAATTAAATTCATCATAAAACTAGTTAAACTTTAATTTAAATCAAGCTAAAAACAGTAATGTCTTCAAATATTAATTAAAAACAGTAATTTGTAAATTTAATTTGTTGTCATTATTATTCGGCATTAACGCACAAACTAAAAATCCACATGCCTCTGTTCCTGAATTATTGTAATAACTGTATTATAGAATGAAATGATTATATATTCTTCAAAAATTTTTGTGCATGGTGTAAAGTTACTCCTATTCGCTTTGCGTTTGTGCTGCACCTCTTTGCAAGAATTTTATCTCAAACTTTCGAAGTCCAACTTTCAACAAGCACAAAAAGTTTATTTTGTTTCTTTCCCTGCCCTAAAATTAATTTAAAATCTTAAGACTCGAAATAATAGAAGAAATTGCCGGAATTTGCTTATTATTCCCAAAATTTCTTATTAGCCCCATTTAACCTGGTTCTATAATACAGATCAAATGAATACCAACTGAAAATTAAACGTTTTTTTAATGACATTGAAAGGTATGTAATTCACGTGGCAGCATATGCTTCATTGAAGCGTATCGACTTGACTCGCAATTGCACTACTTTCTTAATCACCTATTAAAAGATAAAATACAGAATACTATCGATTATCATAATCGACAATAGCCTCTATATATGTTCTACATAAATAATAAAAACCAGTAACAATAAATATGTGTACAAATAGGTACAATTTTAGGAAGTTTGTGATACGTTACGCTAATGACAGTAATAATAAATGACACTAGCACTAAATGATTTATTTATATAAGGTATAATTTTGTAAATCATTATAAAGTTGCACTTACGCAATTTCGTCCACGCGTCGTCGGTGAAATCCCTGGTGTCGTTGTCTTCGTCGGATATGTAGTAATTGATGTTATTGCAATGCGTTTCCACTGGACTTAAATAGGTTTTCACTGAAAGCGAAAAAAAATTCTTAAACCATTTTATCGACTAAGAGTTTCGTTGATTAGACTGAATAATTGACCAGAATTTGATTATATAAAACGTACTACCAGTAGGGAAAGTACATATTTATATTTACAAATAAAATAAGTATGTTTATTTTCTTTTAAAATTATAAATAGATAAAAAAGATAATCCTAGCGAATAATAAAATGATGGCCTTTCGCTAAAATCACATGAAATGGCACGTATGCATCCAAAACTTACATAATATGTATTATATCATATATGCTTGATTATTTCCGTCGCAATGGTTATAACCAAAATTTGCTTAATTGTGAAAATAATTGAGCAAATAACAAAGAACACCTGCTGTTCTTTGCATTTTAACCAAATTCCTGTCATTTTCAAGTTTAGAATATGAAATGATGATGCGCAAATAAATATTTTTTAATTATATTATATTATAAACGTTATAAATGTGACCCGTTGCGTAGGAATGTGTAGTAATACAAAATTTAATGTAAATTCATTCATTCACGATGTCGTCTACCAAATACGACGGTATTAGTGAACCCAATGTACAAACAATGCCATTGCGTGACTGCGCCAAACTGCAAATTGAGTTGTTGAGGATGTACGACAAAGTTCCACTCGCATAACTTGAACTACAAGGAAATAGTTAATTGGTGCCGTAGCCATACAAAGAAATCGAGTGCTTGATTAAAATTTCCACTATCACTTGTTATGTTATTGTCGTCTGCATGACTTCGTTTCTAACACCAACGATTCAAACGTGTCGACTGTAACCAAACAGTTTCAAGCCATGACGCTTTGAACTCATTATCAAACACAAAAGGAGTTCCTATGTTTCTTGGTATGCATTTATGCAGCTTCGCTTGAAACAAATATTGAAATGTTTGAAACTGAAATGTGAAATGCGAGAAACTCAAAGGTGGCATTGAAAAGTTTATGTAGGGCGTTTATAGTTAATGTGAGACACACGTTGGTAAAGAACTGAAGATGTTCGTAGCTTCCGCATAATCGAGCTCACAGTCGTGAGAAATCAGACGAAGAGAGCTACAACGTCCAGTAATTTAAGCCAAAAAAGAGGGTCAGCTGCGGAATGAAAGATAATAAGCTGTAAACTTGTATAAAGCCTTATTTTGGCATTCTACAGGTTGTCTCAAAGGTCGTAAAGTATGTGCCGGCGACTTAAAATATTCAAGGTCAAAGGTTTTTAATGCCATCTGCATTTATTATGAAAATTATATTGGACAACATTGATGCCGAACATCTTATATATTCGTTTTATATACTCAACCATTTTGAGATAGAGGGTGGAGAGCACGTCGCTCTTTGCGGTATAAGGCAAGTTCAACCCTAAATGCCGGAAAATAAAACGCTGTATGAAGGCATTTTAATCACATTTAAACCACATCGACATAAAATTTTCTACAAAACAGTTCGAAAACAAAATGTTGAAACTATTGCTTTCTATTTTGCAACACAGAGTATCTAGATGAAAGTCAAATCACCTTTCTAAGTGCTTATATTATCACACATGCTAATCAATTTTCCACGTTATTAATCCCAAATTAATAATATTTACACATTGGATTCGCAAATTGACGTTAATTGCGACTTGAAGATTCAAGTGCTGAGATACAGTGGATGTACTCTTATTGTTTGTTATGAAATCATTCAAGGCTACAAATAGCAAGTGTTGTAATGCGTGGACCATGCAGTTTTTGAAATGCAAATCAACAAACAGTGAGTAAGCTGGTATTTATAGTAACGGTATGCCAAGGTGTGAATTATGAATTTCACTAACCGTCTATCCGATCGACAATTCGGTCAGACCGATCTTTGTTGTCATATTTCGTGACATAATTACTTATAAAAGCATGATATAAAATAATATATGAAATTTTAAATTAATTTGATTTAGGGTAAACCTTATTCGTTATTAAGACGCTGTGACTCATCAAATTTATTGGCAAGTACTCCTTGCTACTTCGTACGTTATGGCATAAGAGCAGGAAAGCTGAACATCCCCTTCCCCCTCTTTTACTTCTTGTTGTGACTAATCATCGTAGCGCGCATCACATAACAGCGACCTACCCGCACCACTTTTTGCGGGTCACCCGCAGGTATAAAAGGGTAGCGCGCAGCGACCACGATGCTCAGTCGTGCCTGAGTCTTCCACCTGTCCAGTCGCAGGTCTATAGGGTCTCCTCTCCTCTCTTAGGCTTATGCGTAATGCGGTCCTGGTGGTTTAAATAGATCGAGCGGATCTCAAGTGATATTATTATTGTACAGATATCTTCAGACGTAATTATATACGCAGAAGAAGGTCGCGCAAATCGTAGTCCAGAAGCAAAAGTGTTTACAAATTGTGATATTCGCTATTAAAACGATGGTTATTATCCTGCTTCTGAACTACCTTAATTTATATTCTAAACAGCGTGCGTATTTTTTTCTTTAATATTGAAAACCTAATGTACAACCATTCGGTAATTACATGGATAATTATCTAACTAGAGTCATGTTTGATTTCGATGTGATGGTAACTTGTAATTTGGATGTAATCTAAAGCGCTCATGCCAATCCGTCTTTGTTCTTGTTCAAGCAGGTTGTATCGGTGTAAATCTCGATTTGTGTTTATTGGTACATATTACTTTAACAATCATAATCGGTTAAATTATAATTTTAAATTCGACACGTTAGGAAACCTTGTATAGTGATTGGATCGAAAAAGTTTCCGTTCAGTATGAATAGCCTTTGACACCGCGCCTCAAAACAAAGCTAATTGTATTCCAAAATGGTCAACAACATCTGCTTCCCAGCACTTCTTTTTTCAGGTTTGCCTACTTCAAGTTCAGCTAGACAGCACACGCCAGAAGGAAATTTAAATTAAAAATGTGACATTCAATTTTAGTCATATTCTTTGTTAACCATAATAATTATAAAAGAGCCAAAGTTTTCACAAGCTTCTCAGACTGAATATAAAAGAAGTATTACGATAAAGCTAAAAAAAAACAGGTATGATATAAAACATAATATGTAACATTTGGATTTATGAAATATTGCGGGAGTATCCAAAAAGTGTTTTAACATACGCAATTATGAGACTATAGCACAAAGTACGACATAAGTTGCAGAGGTATGAATTAAACTACCTACACATTCCCAACATCTCCCTACTTTTATCAAAAGTAATAAAACTAGTAAGTATCTAAAGAATGCATTCAAAGCTGCGTTACAGCAAGAACTACCGAAGACTTGAATCTGTGCGTTAACAACAAGAAACAGCAAGAAGCTTTCGTTCGATTGATTACACCGTAGTGCATAATGACCAAAAAATTTCGTGATGAGCAAAAACTATAACCAGATATGCAAATATTCATATTTCGATTTTGTTGTAGGCCAGTAATTAGAATTTAAAAAATAGAGGCCGGAAGGTTCGAATTGTTGTGTGCCACGTCAGGTATTCGAGTGGTTTGCCAGCGACGGGAATCATTGACACACCCAAATACCAACACAACTGCTTATTCATTCATTCCTGCATTTGCAACTACGCAATGGCGACAGCCAATGAATGCTGTATGAACCTCTGCGCCAACTTGTAATTATTTACTTATTTAAATTCCAGACTTTGTTTATTGTTACACAATTTCGTTTTGCTACTTTCAGAAACTAATGATCACCAAAACATTATGAGCATGCATTACTTTTAATTAATTGACTTTTGACTATTGATGAATAATATTTGGATGAACGTAGACATCATGTTCTTGTTTTTGAGTTAAGCTCAAATACTTTACTTCACATTGCATAATTAATAATTAATTTCACTTGAACACAATGAAACGAAATTGAAACCTTAATAAACCTCTGGAAAAATCTGTTTTTATTTCCTTATGAGTGAGTTTCCAGCAAATGCAAGAATGTGAATGGGCATACGTTGTTTTTATCTCTTTCAATTGCCAGGTAAAGATACCAGGTAAGTACCTTTTTCCGAAGTAAGTATAAACCACACCTTTAAATATTTAACATTTGACCACGCCGATACTAATTTCATGTGGTGTGTAATAACGATAAAACCTTATCATTCGGTCCTTTCAGAATAACCTTGAACACTTGTTTTTCTCGAAGTTCCATGAATGGTCTGGGGCAACAACCATAAAATAAAATATCGTGCCAAAACCGAGTTGTCCGTTATATGTGTAAAAGAATACGTTCTGGCAATTAAATTTCATTCATTCCATTGCATTCTGACTAAGGCATTGAGAATTTTGCAACGCGGCACTTGCGTGCGACTTGATTTAGATTCTAGTTTGGGATTTTATAATACCAACGTATTCACTTGTTTCTATTTTATTGCATTTGATTTATGGCTGGTCGTGTTTCAATATAATAGACATATTTACTTGTTTCGCCGAACCGAATAAAGTGTGAAATAAAATTTGAATAAACTTTTACAATTACCTGTTGGTGGGCGTTCCTTCGGGTAGCATATTCGAAATAATCCCTTAGTCCTCGTGAAGTAATAATACTTCGAGTTCACGCTCTCCAGCAGGGCTTGGCTCTGCGCATCAGAGTGTTTGCTCAAATAATTCTGCAATATAAAATAAAAAATAACATTTTAGTTGAAATTAGATTGAAATTGAAATTAGACTAAAACAAAACAACAGTAAACACGTTGAACGCGTAACGGATGGACTCCATTTTCAAAATAACCTGTAGGCCCTAAGCGAATTCTCCCCGCCACATCAATACCAGCATGCAGTATAGCATAAAGTTGCAATTCAGTTCAGTTACAATTTAAGTAATATTGCATGTTATAGGCATGTAAATATATTATATCCTTAAGAACAGTTTATGGAATATGCATGTAGCGCTACATTACTGTTACGAAAAACCTGCTCAATGTCAGAAGTCCAGCCGCTCGTTTGCGTGCATATTTTAAATACCCAGCGTTAAATGCAAGATTCGAAAACGGTTTCAAGATGTCAAGGGCGATTGTTCGTGTTCTTCGCACGTTTGACCCCATCACTTTTTAAAGCAGACGTACAACAATGGAAGCTGCTGCAACAACAGCGATGATGATCGTTCATGAAAAGCAGCAATCAAAAGTGACAGAAATGTTGAAAATCATTCCAGATTTCAACTTTCCCAACTTTTCGAGGCTGACATTCTCAATGCTTTTTATATTAGTTCAATAGTTCAATACAATGTATTGTGAATTTCATTCATTATGATCAATTAATGTATTTTAATTTGCATTATTAGTGAGTTTAAACTAAAATAAACTTAAAAACTTCATTTCATTTTCGACGTAGTTACAATTTATGTTACTACATCTCAGTGAACACCATTTACTCACAGCTTAAACAGATATCTGCCAAAATTAAACTTTGAGGAATGCGTGAATGAAATATACCTATATATAATTACATTATTCGCAAAATCTGTAGCTAATTTGCGGATAAGACTACATTTACAGAAAAAATTCGTTGCCCAGTCCGTCGTCGAAAATAATTATACCCTGTCGGGCGTAAAGAAGTTTCACTTTAAAACTCCAAACGACTTCGACCTGTATCAATGCAATGCTTGAAAACGGAAGTTAATGGCATGTGAGACAAGAAAAATGTTCCGCGTCACCAAAATGACCCACACTTTGCTTCATTGTGCCGTGATCGAATTCATGCGTTTGGTATGTGTAACATTTTGTAGCAGAGAATTTACGGCAAGTGGCACCTGTTTAAGCCAAGGGAAGCAAGCGAGCATTGTACCCTCACATTTTTGTATAATTTCGTGAGAAGAGGCAGCAACCGCCACATTAGCATTATTCGTACGGTTTAACAATAACTGCATGTGAAAGCAGCGCTGTTAAGAAACTCGTAGCTATTGCTATAAAATGTTTACTGATATAAATTACACTTATTATGTTTTGTCGTACCGGCTAACCCGATTTTCGATTTCTGTCATCGCTCTAATTGAGAAGAAATTTTATAATAATTTTGAAACTTGCTACTAAGTATATGTCCTATTATAGAGTTAAATTGCAATATGGCAACTGCTAAGCTGCGTGCGTGTATATACAATACATATATTTGTGCGTGCGTGCGTGTGTTGCATTCACATTAATCACGACCGTTAGATGCCAAGTTAGTTTGCTACGTATCTAGACATTTTAGCGCTGTTCTTCCGGCCTTCTGACCCGAATCGCACGCGGCAATATATTTCTTTCAAATTTAGCACGCGCCTTAATTCCTGGTCAGTTTTGAACCTAAGTACGAAAAATTCTAGATTGATAAACGCGCCATGTTCAACCCAAGTAGAATTCAATTGCTTTCTTTCAACTTGAAGGCATGATAATTCTTAATAATTCAATCCCAACAAAAACGTCCACCTCCCATCATAGACGAACGATCCGCGTTCGTCTGCCGGCTTTCTTTTCTGAGCTGACACACAAATAATTAACATAGTTTCCGATTCGAACTTGGCGCGTTTTCACTTCCAATTCAACCGCAAGTCCAAAACACATACATCGAATTCTTGCATCTACATCCAACGATGCAAAGATCAACTTTATATATTAAATACGGATTAATTACAGAGAGCAGTGGTATGAATATGTATTATTACGAGTTTCATATTGATTGTCAATTGCTCAACCTTCAATGACAAAAATGAGGAACCTCGTGCTGTGCGCACCGCCGTAACAGGTAGGTATTTATCGTCTTTGCATATCCAGCGTTAGAAATTCGCGCTGCATCGGCGCAGTGTAAACTATTTAGAAAGTTGTCCGCATGTCGCGACTTAACGCATTTTGAAACAGACCGTCCTGGGTAAAAAACACTACCAACTACAAACAACGAACTATGCACAATCTACACTATATATCGAAAGAAATAACAAGCAAACAAAAACATAACTTGGAGTCGTGAATTGTTAATTAAGTTTTTTTTTATTTGAGTCAATTGAAATTCAGTTCCATGATTGCTAACGGACTGCATATTACCGCGGCGTAATTAATAGCAGTTAGCACATTACATTGGAATGCAATTACCTGCCGATGGCTTCTCCCTCCCGCATTGACACATTCTGTTTGGCTTTACAACGAAACAGTTTGAAAACATAATTCACATTGGTTTTGAATTAAATTTTAAAAAAAGGCCAAGTTATATTTTTTCAAAGAAGAGGATGATGCCAAGGATGCCTGCACGCGATTGCACATCAAATACGCGAGACGAAGGAGACGGCAAAAGCTAGCGGGACAGTCAAGGCTTCTCGCATATTTTCGCTTTGCAACGCGTAATTATTAATTTCCTTCAACTGATGAATAATACATTGAAACAGTGACGTAGTAACGTAGACAAGTAAAAATAATTCTATGGATGACACCACCGAATGGTACCCGTGCTATCTACGCCACTGCATTTTAAATGCTTAGTAGGTTTTCTCCGCATAACACCTATTAGGTCATTAAAAATCGTGCGTCCTAGGCCGCCATTTACGGCAACTTCGATTTGTGCTTGAAATGACGTCGCTGTTAAAAGATGTGTAAAATGCAAGGAGAAGCCAAAGAACAGCTATTCGACTCATTAATATGCCGCGGTCGGGCATGAGCATTGAGCATGAAGCGCGTGTGGACATGGGCGATGGCCGCGTCAGACTTAAGCAAAGTTGAAATCAACTGAAGACACAGCTCGGTGAGCCAGAAGCCGAGAATTGCTGTAACTGTTGCTGGTATTTGCTTTGCAGTCACTGAGCAACTCTCCTTCTGGCTTTCGGCTTTGGAACTTTGTGTGTTTACCTGAATATTAGTCCTTTTCACTTCAATGTAGAGCCAGTTGTCGGTGGCAAATGCGATGGTGAGCAGCGCAACCGCAATGATGGACGTGATGGTCGCCAAGCTGAGCGTGACCGCCGAACAAGGCATCTTCGCTGCTGAGATGTAAATTCGAAACTCGGATCAAACTCTCCTCTATTCTACTGCGATTCCACTCTATAGCGTGCGCGTACACCACACAGGTTGATAAACAGGCGGTGTGATATGTAGTACACTTCAACAGCAGCAACTTTGTAAGCGCAGCACGTTCTTAGATCCGTCCCGATTTACCGGAGTTGCTGCACTTTCAGTCGGGCGCGTTATCAAATGGGTACTAACATTGGTTTTACTAACTATTGCTGCATACTTCGATTGAACAATCAAACTATACTAGAAGGTGCGCAGAACAGAGGCAGGTTTTTGCGAAACGCGGTACAGACGCGTCGAGTTCTGCCGGACCGCGAGACTATGGCTGACTAACTCCGGGCAAAGAATTTACTCCGGACTCCGGAGGCCATCGAAGAACCTGTCTACCTCTCGCTACCTCCACTTTTCTTCGTACCGCTCGGCGAGCCCGACCGTTCGTTCGTCCTTCCCCGCTCCTCGCTCGACACGACGTCTAGTCCGGTTTTATTAATTTCCCATTTATTGCTACTGCGGTGACGGTTATGCGCATCTCCGCATCATCGCATCACCATCGCGTGCATGCATGTATTCATTTAAAACCATCGGCATTATAAGATATATTTGCTTTATTAATCAACATCGGTATCATTTCCAACAATATTTTTAATTTATCACCGTTTTCGAGTATTTGCGAGAGAGAGTTAAGATAACCTTGGTTGCATTGTGACGTAAAATTTTAAATATATATGTGCTTGCAAACAAGTGCATGCTCACTCGTATAAACGATCACTATGCGCGGATTTCTCCGAATTGACTTGGCAGGCCGGCATTGTCCCTGAGGTCAATCAACAAATATATTGCAATGTTTTTGATTCGGGCGCGACGTAAAATATCACCATCACAGGAAACAAGATCAATGCGAAATTGCGGACATGCGAGTGCATTTCTTGAGCATGCATGAAAATTGCAAGTTATATTATTATCGTTAGCTACACAAAGACCTAACTCGCTGCGTGATTCCGCAGCACCTCCTTGAACCTGTCGAGACATGCGCGCAAACTAAGCTTGAGACCCTTGCTGACCGGCAGCAGAGGAAACTCGGGCTCCTTTTCGTGTACGCCGTCAATCCAAGCTCCCAGGCGTTGAATCATCTTGTGGCCGTGCTCGCGAAAATGCTTGTAAATCTCCGACCGGAATATCTCGTGCGGACTTTCCAACATGTCGGTCATGGACAGCACGAGACGCAACAGCACCAGTTCGTTGTATGTGCGAGAGTTTTCGTAGCCCTGCTGCGAGTTACACTGCTTCTCATAGCCGGCCTCGTTGTAGTACGGCTCAGCGACAAGAATGAGCCCCTGAATGCTGACAATGAGCTGTAAAAGAGTGCTTTTTGGGCCCCATACCTCTGTGCCGCGACCCATCCACGTGCCTAGCAATGAAACGCACACGCGTCCATTGGGATACAGGTTGGGGTTAAGGCGTTCTGTGTTATAGCTGATGTAACAACATTGGGGCGGGGACCGCGGATACTCCGGGCTCAATTGCAGGTCAAAAATAAACAAACCGTCCTCATAAGGAGTATTGTTGGGACCGCGAATCATTACGGAGTAGAGGTCTGTGCGGTTGGCAAACGCGTAAACCCACACGCCGGGCGGTAAAGACTCCCTTAATAGCATTGCTTCGTTCATTACAGCGCGATAGAAACATTGGTTGGCTACGGGTTGGATCTCCGTGCGGTAGAAGCGATGACTGTGCGGCGCTTCTTCAAGAACTTCGAACAAGTTGCTCATGTTTTCAGCACCTTTCACAACACACGGCTTGGTTGGTGCCAGGATTATTTCCAGAGCTGATGACTCGAGACTTTGCGATGTCTCGAACATCGCCTCCACATTGCAATCCGCCGGCTTGGGTGTCGTGAAACTAATACTCGTGAATGAATCGTCCGATGTAGGGGGTGCGCTTCGGATGGGCGTCGACGTGGCGGGTGTTGCAATCTCCGAGGACTTGGTGAATACGGAAAAGACCTGACTGCCGCCCATACGGCTGATCATTTCGGCAAGGGACAGATCCATACGACACTTAAGCATTGACAGCAGTTCGATACACAGACTTGTATTCGATTGGACATTTGTACCTTCGTCCGTTGTTGTGGGGGTCGAAGGTTCTACAATAGGATATTATTGATGATAAACAGGAATAGAAAATATAACAATATTTACCTTCATTGAGCTCGTTTGATTCGTTTACACAATCCTTTTGCAGATGGCACTCGAGTTTTAGCACCTTGTTGAGATTGTCCATCTCGGCAGCCTTCAGTTCATCAAGATTGTTTATATGGCACTTACTATGTATCGCGATGCCAGCTTCCTTTGCCTTCTCCTTAATTTTATAAAGCAGAGCTTGGTAGTGCCTGCTTCTAATGCTAAAAAAGTGTGTGTCAAGAAGCTTATCCAAATAAGTGGAGTTCTCGTAAACAGTGAGCAAATTTTTTAAAACCTAAAAGAAAATATCATTACCATCAGGACTGTATGACAATTACCCAATATCCTACCGATATATTTTCATCTGCACTATATTCCCGAGTTAACATGGCATCCCGAAGATACGTAATCCGCCCGCGCATTAACTCTAGCCGTGATACCAGCACGTGCCACGTTGGCTCCGTTAAAGTACAACCAGGACTAATATCAAAGCTCTCCGTCTCCCACGACATTTGCAAACTATTGTCCAACTCAAGAGAATCCTCGCTGTCCGTATCATGGGACATGTTCTCAGGCAACATACCGATGTGCGTTGGCCAGCAGTCTTCCTCCGTGCCATCCATCCACTTCACTTTCACGAACCCGTCCGGAAACGAATCAATCACAGTCCCTAGGTTGCCTGTACACGCTTTCATGCGATACACTATGCTGCTCGGCCGGAATACAAATGTCGGATGCCGTTTGATGTCATATACGCTGTGCTCTTCCTGATGGGAGAATATTGGCGTGTCCTCACAGGGGCTGTATATGAACCACTTGACTTGTGCAGTGCGTTCAAGGCACTCTACATTTTGTACGACTCCGTACATATCTCGGGTTTCAAAGGCACGAATCACCCACTCACCGGGAAAAAATTCGTGATCGTCCAGCGAGATGGAGTAGTACAGCTGGGTGGTGGGAACATCCGGTTCCATCGTACCGTCCTGCCAGATAATGGTGGCGTACGCTTCGGTGCACATAGCCTGTACCTCAACGGGATGGCCCAACGTCATTTTTTTCGGTTTCCGTTTCGGGGGCGACTCTTCGTCTTCTTCATCGGTGGTCCAATCGGTGTCCTCCTCATCTTTGGTGCTATTACGTAGAAACCGGATGTGACGCCAAGCGCGTACACCCTGAGTTCCATAAACAAATAAGTTGATTCGAAATTTCTCTTTCTTACACTTTTTCTGAATGACATTGTCTGGACGGTACTTGGCGGATTGCTTTGCAAACCAATTGCTTTTTACCAGGACGGTGTCTTCCGACGTGATTGTCACGCAGCGCGGATCGTTGAACGCTGGCACTGTCTCGTCCAGAGTTTGTAATACTTTTATACTGTAACAAACACAACAAACTAATTCACTACTATCCGAAAACTATGGGGAAACCCGAGACTTACTGCGAAAAGTCTTCTTCGGGTACGTCGTACAAGAAGCTGTTTTGGCCGCGAATAGGATGGACATGTATAGTTACCACGATAGGAGTAATCTTCTGCACCATGAAGAGATGACGCTTATGAGCAGCCAGCTTTATTGTCTTGGTTTTCTTTATCCATCTGGCGTATTTCAAATGCGCTGGTACTATGCTCTGTCAAAAAGAAAAATTGATAAAAACTGCCTTATTCCGCATTTTGGAGCAGAAGCAGCCTTATCCAAAACCAATTGATATCAACTTTAAAACAATACAAAGCAAAATACACGGAAAGTACGACGATAACCAAGCATACCTTAATATTGCCTACACTGAAGTCTTCTAGGTACATGCCGGAGTCCGAAGCAAAAATACGAGTTCGACTACTAGGCGCCATTGGATCTTCCGGCACAATCTCAATTACCGAACCATCACGACTGGTCAGTCTTACAACGTATTCACAGTTCTGAAAAATATGCATCTTGTGTAGTTTTCAGGAAGTTTTCATAACATACGAATATGTTAACAATCTCAAAAGAAAAAAAAACGAAAATATTTTCATAATTAAAAAAATATGGAGGAAAAGTTTAGAGGACCATCAAGATTTGAAAAATAGCAGTGCTTGACTTGAAGTTAAATAAAACTGGGCATGTTCAGGTTTAAAATGAATCAATTCTTACATATACACGTCCAATGCGCAATCCAACGCAAACAGGTGCGCCAACCTGAAGGGGATGCAGGTACATTAAGCGCGTGTGGGCAACATTCTCGACCACGGAATTGCAACCCACAATTTTTACCACCGAACGCCGCTTGATACTGCGGCAGTAACCACGTTGCGTCTCCTTTCCGTTCTCCAGGCGGCGCACAATGTCACCATCCAAGACATTCCGGCTAAGCAGCTTCACACGATTCTGCTTTATCACCTGCTCCCGCCCGACGGTACCTCTTAGCCAGTGCACTTCCATTTGGCCTTTGAGCAGCCCTTGGGAATCGTCAGAGTCCGAGGACTCGTATGTGTCCATCACAACGCCAAACGTGATAATTCCACGCTTGTCGAACCGGTAGACGATGTCATGGCTGTAGAACTCCTTCACACATTCCGTCATCCTTGTGTAGGCACCCCAGCGAAGCGAGCGAATTTCTTGGACCCTTCACACCGATCATGCACGCGGTACGCTCTCTGTGTACACTGGACCACGCCGGAAACGAATTTAATTAAATGCGCAGGATCTGCCCGCAGCGTGACTTCACGATGCGCGCAGGAAGCAAAACCGCTTCACGAACCTGATGCCGCGCGAACTTTTCAAGCTGCCATCGTGTTGATATTAAAAAACGAAAAATTTCGACGTTTACAAAAGGGGATAATATGTAAAAACTAACACCACTACGCATCAATTCGATGCATTAATTTGACATTGAATAGAAAATTAAAAACCGCTGCTATTCAACGGCTTTTTATCGATTGGCACCGGCAATGTGACAGCGCGCGCCACTATTGATTTGAATTTTCCGTTGCCCAGAAAACTGTTTTTAGCGCGCCCTGGTGGCTTGAACCCTCAGGTACAAATGAATGCGTATTTTTAATTACGGATCTGTAATTACAATTAAATAAGATATTCATAGCGTCGATTACAAAGTAGAAAATTCATTTGTTTCATATTTTTTGGTATATCTTCCTAATAAATAATGAATCTCAAACAGTAATCTAGACATTGTTAAATAAGACAAATTATGGTTTTGTTTAACTGGATTTTCCTTGGAATTTCTTTCAAAATATTTACCGTCTAATATAATGTTTTCTCATCAAACAGAAAATAAGGATTTGCTCTTTAAATTTAATGCTCAGTTTTCATCACCAAGGTTCCATTAATAACCTAAGAGGTACAGCATGTATTTCTTCCAAAATTTTATTGCCAGTGAATGAGTTGGTTATATTTCATTTTATAAAACAACGCAAGCGTACGTATATGCAGCTTTTTAGCACTGACGGAATGTAACATAATGATCAACTTATGGCGCACATTCTATGGCGATTATGACCTATTCAAATTTAATCAGTTATTAATTGTTTTGATTACTTTATCAACGATGAACTCTTTGCACACAGCAAACGCGCGGACTACTAGGTTGCATTATTTTGGTAAGTAAATAAAGCGCGCGAGTGCGATATTTTAATATTTATCACTCTTCTCACAGCCATACACATATACACAAACCCATCCACACGCATACACACAGAACGAAATCAAACAATCTGTATTCGCTTAACTAGATCAAACATTATGACAAACGTGATATCAATAAGAGTTTACTCTTTGGTAACCCACCGACTAGTAATTGATTTAGTAGAAATGAAAGATTCGTCATTAAATTGTAGATAGTCAGTGATCTCACCTAGTAGAGTATCACAGGTTTGGTGAGCGACATATGAGGGTCGAGCACATCTAAAGTAAAAATTTCCAGTCGAGTGTTGTGATGTCTAACTAGGTAGTATCTAACAAGCGTAACAAACGCGACTATGTGGTAACTTGGTTCTCCTTGTAGAAATCGCCTCGGATCGAGCTGCTAGCGTCTGCTGGCGGCGCCTCCGCGTCCGGCGACCGCTTATCGCTGTGGGCACCGTGCACGCCGACCGGAATTGTGTAGGTGATGCCGTATGGCCGCAAGTGGTAGATGAGATACTCCAATACGTACATCTGGTTAGGGCTTACGTAATGGAATGATATCGCGTTATCGCTGCAGCAATCCATGCCCTGCAAATGTTTGCCCAACAATAAATCAATGTAAAACTCGCATTTCGCAACGCCCCGCACACATGCTGGAAACTATGTGCAGCGGTTGTGTAACAGGTATGATGTAAAAAAATATAGTTCGCAAAAATATGTGAAAGTGTGAGACAATCACTTATGATGCGGGTAATCTCACCTCATGTGAGTCATAGTAAATGTACTTCCAGTACCAGAAGGACTTCGGTGAGTGCCCTGGAATAAGGTGGTGCTCGGGCACAAAAGGAAAGAAGCGGCCCCGACCTTGTGCATCTCGTGAGTCGCCTGCCTCTACTCCAACTGCTTCTAAACACTTTCCAATCTCTACGTCCTCGGAACCGCTATTACTCTGCTTACACAGAGTTGCATTTGGCAGAGCTACCTATATAAAAAATATTTTGTTAAAAAATAAGAAAATTGTTATAAAGTGCTGTTGCACTTACGTTGACGAAACGTTTCAAAGCATTTTTGCTCAGTACATAACCAGCACCGCCACTCATATACCCCTGCTTTACGTATGGCTTGAAACGACACCCAAAGTATATGGGCCGATCCTTGTCGTATGGCTTCAGCATGTAGCGCAAGTTCTCCACGACAACATAAGTGTCATCGTCAGCCTTGAGGAACCAGTCGGCTTTGTCGTGGTAGTGCAGATATACGTATTTAAAAGCCTCCTTAGTCTTACCCCAAAGATTATCTCGCCCCTCGGAAACGGGCAAAGCAACGCTTGGCAGCGAAGAATCTATAACATGCGTGGTTGTAATTCTGCAAGTTTCACCTAGCATCGTCTTACCTTCTGTGGAACTCATAAAAAGCAAGTGATTGCAGCGCTTGCCCCAGGTATTCTTCACGTGTCGCGCCTTCTTTTCGTGATTAGCAGGGCCGGTCATAACCCAACACAACACGCGCACTTCTTCAGCGAGTTGCTGCGCCACGGAGGCGTCTTCATCGTCGTGATTGTGCGTGCCCGGATCCACCTCGGGGCCCTGGAGATGAGCGATTTGGTGGCTGTAGTGAGGGTCGCCATAGTGCATCATGTAGCCAAGATCCGGTGATGTGAGCATAGTGTACGTCAGTGCGAATCCGATGAACATGCCGGCAATCAGCGGCGCCAGCGTGTAGCGTTTAACCACAGGCCTAAAACAACGTCATACAAATCTGGTCAAGTACCTCTGTTATTATAATCAACGCATTGTCAAGTTAAATATTTGACGATTATACTTCTACACAATTACACATATCATTGGAAAAATAGTAATGTTAACACATATTTCGATTTGTGGAATTCGCCGGAGTGTGAATAGGTGCCGCTTTGTGTGGACATTGGGTGCGAGACAATAATAAAATGCTGTATCAAGAAATCGGTAAAGATACGCGTTTTATTGTCACTATCAACATTGCATGCGGTATCACAGTAATACAATCAGCAATAAATGCAGAAAAAATACCGAAACCTACTAACATAGTATTCTTAGCAAACATACTCTCTTATCTTATGCACTCTATGAAATATGTGGCTTGCAATTGGGTATTTGCATGAACCGATGTAATGTGCAACATGTCTAAAGAAAAGTTAGCTTCGGATATGTACTCAGAATTATAGACACAATGGTGACTGTTTAATCACTTTTCTACGTCATGGAGTGATGGAGTTAGACATCTGTTACTGAAGACGGGAGAAACATATTTAACTCAACAAAGACAGTTTCACTACACGATTAAAAAAAAGCAATTAAACATTAAACATCTTTAAAAATTTCCTGGTATTATCAAAATGTTACACTACCCTATTTTGTTTTTTTTGCAGGCGTTTTCTGGACCTTTAAGAAACGAAAAATAGACATTCAAGGTTACATAAATTCCCTAAAAATGTATATATGTGAAACCATCACACACAAAAAAAGTTACATAAAAATATGTAATCTCTAAATAAAACGTATCAATAGCTAGTTGTCCGGTACCCAATTAATTCCGCAAACTGCCAACGACTGTCCTTGTGATTTGTTTATTATTTGTCGCTTGTTGATCATCACTCCGATTTTCACGTGACGCATTTGACTGACTTCTTCTAACTATGTCGTCAAATCGTCCTTCTTTATGGCCACAGCGACTTATTTTATAGAGAAAGGAATTTCCTCGATTTCGTCACAGGGCAAATTATGAAAAGTGCATGCTCAAAAATATGAAGTAACTGCCTGTGGCGCGCTGCTAATTGCCCCCGCTACGCCACTGGTAACTAAAAATTTGTATATTGCTACTCTATTTTTTTATGCAATTTAACATTTTGTTCAGAAACGGATGCACATTTATTTTGAATTCAAGTGGGATTATTATAGATTCATAAATTGTTGTGTTACCGCAGCTGACTAATATTATAAAATAACAATTGGCAAATGAGCAGCACATATTTGTGCGACGAATACATATCGTTTCTACACGTAATAAAATTGAAGGTATTATTGATAAATGTGGGCAATGTCGTGTGTTAAAATCGGATTGTCACAGCTACTGCTTTTTTACACGCAAACAAACACGTCGTTCAGTAAAGCAATACATGAGCAAAAATATGCTTGTGCATGGGCAATAAAAAGTGATTTTATTGTTTTGAATACTAATTCCAAATAGTTTTGCAGTAAACTCAAATAAAAAAACTGAAAAACGGTAGAATTGAGTTAGAGACGAACATTTCAGCATGTTTCTCATAATATAAGGGTAGTTTAAAGTACATAGTTTGATTAATTTTTAACTAATCAACTGCAAATTGTGAGACAAACACCATATTATTACATTAAAAAGAAAAACCGGACCTATTTATTTGTCTTTGCAATTTTAAATCAACTATAAAGGTTGATCGGGGCGAATAAAAGAAAATCAAAGCCAAAAGCACAATTACCATATTTATAAAAAGAGTTAGTACTTCAAGCAAATATAATTTAATACCTATTACATATAAATCGGATGCATGACTTTTACCATGAAGTGATTACAGATAGAAGAGTTGGTATTGTAATAAAGGTTATATTTCTATCGATAATTAATGGACTTCCAGATACTGTTTAACATGCATTACACTTTTGATACAACTCATATTGCTCATATTGTTGTATGATGGAATTACATGCATCAGGTTGCACTATCAACGAATTGATTTCATTACTGTTTCGCTGCACGTTAATAATAACTATGTATGTACGCAATTGAGCTGATACAAAACAAGGTTACTAAATTACAGTGAACTTAGTATTAAAATAAACAAAGGAATGCAAATTTGAATAGAAATGATAACGTAGCAAACACCACGAAGTAATGCACGATTCACCAGTAAAGTGCGCGTGAAATTTTAAATTAGCCAATAAGAAATGACAAATCGTTCCGATTGCAACATATAAACAAAGATAATTGAAGAGAAAAAATTGCAAACCTGTTCATTGTGGTCCAGAGCAGAAAATTCCTCATTAACGCCGCTGGTAGGATTCTTCTAGCGCGAATTTGTTTAATTTTTCTTGCGCCGAATAATGCCGATTGGTCCTTGGCTCATTATTATTAGTAGGTTCGCACTGCGTCAATTAGCCTGAGTGACCCAACGAGCCGCACTTTCCGGACATCATCCATGAAGGTTTACTTCGCCGGGAACACAATGGCACACAGCTCGACTAGCGAAGACTGTTACGGCTGATGGTTATGTTTTCCGTTGTCACTAGCCCTCTCTAAATTCAGTTTAGAATTTCACGCCGTTGCGCTACACGGCTACGCGACAACGCTCTTTGCGATTGCGACAAGCGAGGCAAAACCGTTTCACTCACCGCACTCAACGCGGCGAATAATTTCCTCCGACAGCGTATGGCCAGGAATCGCTCACGGCACAGAGTTGGTTTGGAGGGACTGTTGACAAACTTGCGTGTAGATTTGGTTGCCTACCAGACGGTGCGAACTTTACTTGTTTCAAATGTTTGTAAATGTTTACTGGAAAATGTTTGCAACTTTTTCAGTTTGCTCACATTTTTAAGGCTTACAAGTTTCTGTCATTTCATTGCTTTCATTTATTATCCAGATGAAAATCTTCGTTATGAGCTTTCCTACTTTTCCGCCGTGTGGCTCAAATTGCATCATTCCGATACTTTGTTTTAGCGCGAATATCTTGCCACTTCCTTCCGAGGTTCAGCCACAGGACCCATGTATAGAAGGAATTAGCGTGGTACCCTTATATTTAATAGAGATAGAGTCATCCTCAATTTGCCACTTGATAAGAGTTAACGGCTATTTCTAGCGATGAACACGTTGACTTTGAACTATGATTCGGAACGTTGCAAAAATTCTTGCCAAATTTTCTTCTCCATCTATTACAAATGCCGCAGATCGTTCCTAGACCCCATAGAACAGTGAGAAGAGCAGAGCCGGACCTCTTGAACAATAAAAGCAAATTAAAAAATATTTTAAAAAATGCAGCGTTTTTAATTTCAAAATCTATTATAGTTATTTGAAAATACACAAATATTACATGTACAAAGATTGATAAATTAAAATTTCTCCTTATGTAACTGGTTAAAAATACAATGAACATGAACGAACAAACATCCAGCCAATGCCATCGGCATTAAAGAACGAAAAATGCGGTTTTGTGAGAAAATGCAAAAATAAGCCGATGGGAAACGCATTGGTATTCGATGGTCAGCAACGTCACTCTTCTCTCCGTCACAAGTACAAACATAGGCCTTCGTATGCTTTTAACGCTGCCAAATCGCAACTGCGAATTGCATTTGACTACTAATTTGCACTGATTCGTTTGCTTGCCATCGTCAGGGAGTGTTGGGGGAGGTGATCCATTCGGAACGTGCCTCCGTTTAATTCCCAAGTAATTAGTTAATTATTATAATAGCTACCTACCTAAAGTTATAATTTGTTTCTTTTTATATGTATAATATATAATATATCTTTAAATGTATATTTCTGTATTGTGTCGCTAATGTTTCGCAAAGAAAAGTATTGACATCCATCCATCGGTTTACATAGCTAGCTTTGTTCATTTCAAATGTATCCACACATATGTATGCAAACATCATACATATTGCACTTGTGTCCAATACGTATGCGTGGCTTCTGTTATATTATAAATTTATTCAAATATTTCAAATATGCATTTCACGTTAAACGTACATAAGAGTAATGGTAGTAAAAAATATGTTCTGTATTTACATACACGTATGTATATAAATATATATATATAGCAGTATATATATAGATATACATAATCATTTAATAGTCTTATATCAATTCGAATCCTCATATCGTCGTAGTGTGTGTATGTGTGTGTGTGTACATTAGATCACCTCAATATCAAAAACGGTATGAATATAAACATCGCCAAATCTTAAGTGTAAACGTAAAGATTGTATGTTCATTAGTCATGCTCCCAAATGACGCAAACCTTTTTATGAAAAATAGTTCAGTCGGTTGTTTTGTGTATGCTTATAAAATACGTTGATGAACTGCAATGCTGCACATACCATGAACGTAGGTGCGAAAATTTTCAATTTTAACCAAATTGCAGCAAACCATAGAAAACTAAATCACATTTTTGTTCCAATTAAATAAAACCATAGAAAAATATATCTTTGATAATTTACAATTTGCTTCCAAGCAGTAATATCTACGCCCGAATATACTTTCTTCTGTTCTCCTATCAAACCTCAAACGTTTAACATCGTCACTTGCACCTTCGCGCGCGCACGAATTTAAGATTGCTTTCGATTTGCATCACCTCATATAGATGCGTCACATATTTTGGTTTCGGTATGAAAATATGAGTATAATATAAAATTCGTACAAAGATTAGGTATCTTCCAAAAAGTTGTCAATCTTCAGATTTTTGATATGTTCGTTCAGTGTTGCATCATGTTTGTTTGCTACTCGTCTTAGAATCGATTGTGCAGTCAAGTAAGCGCAGCACGTTTGAGTTCAATGAAGACGCTACGAACGACAAATTCGAGCAGTTTGAAAGAGAGAGAGAGAAGAAAGAAAGGGTGTTTGCATAACAGCACCCCCTTTCATATGCTTCTAATTTAGTCTCCTGAAGTGAGTAGTGGCAAATATCTATTTTCAAGACCTAATTGACTGCTTTCTTTAAAATACATATTTCATATTTCACATTAAACACATGTACACAAGCAACTTGAACACCAACCATACAACTTTGAATATTTCTCGCGTGTTCCATCTTTAAGAGTATTAATAAGTGCCTCAAAAACGACCAAAGAATATAAAAATATATTCCAGTGCATCAGCAACGATGCGTAATGTGAAAGTAGTCAAGCTTGAGAAATTGTATTTTGCTTGGACGAAACACGAACGAATTCGACAAAGCGTAGTAATTTAATTATAATATCGCAGAACTATTAATATTTGAATGAATCCTATTCATTTTCTTTTTGTTGTTGATGCAAGCTGATAGAAATTGAGAATATGCAATGATAATATGGAATTGTAAGAGATCATTAAATAATTCATTCCATAGTCGACGAACTTTGAAGTAATTCCTATCGCAATTTTGCCTATCTTCACAGATAGATGTCACATGAAAAATGCCTCTTGTATAATTTGAATCTTTTTCGCTTGAAAATTAACCGAATTCCAGGCTACATGCTGAATTAGACAAATTCGACGGTATGTAATATGCTTATGCGGTGCAGCAAATAAACAAGAACGCGGATGTTCTAAAGATTTAATACACACCGAATAGTCTTGAATGCCAAGTAAAATAATAACAGTTATATCTTGTCTTACCAAGAATTTAAAAAAAATGCATCTTTATACGATGCACACATTAGAAATTTACATAAACCTACTTATCTCATATTAAAATCTTCTCTTCGTCTCTGCAAATTTGTGTATGAAATTTGTTAAATTGTATGCAATAATATCCGTGTTCATATACGACGCGCTAAACTTTAGCCCTTACTTCCAGAATGATGCGCACCTCGCCATCGTAATAATGTAATACTGACGGAAATTTTATTGTTACCATATTATTGCGAATTTCGATCTTCCCATGCGCCCTCCACAGATTCAATTGCATACAGACCTAAAGCCCTAAGGTTCAGATGTTGTTGCCCATTATGAGCGTCTGGCAATAGGGGCATTCGTTCTGAGTCACCGCGCAGGTCTGGCACAGCACAAAATGATTACAATTTAGCGTTACAGTCCGATTTCTCTCTTCGCATACCATGCACTTGGACGCGGTCTCGCGATACAATACCTCGTCGACCTCTTCGAGGTCCTGGCGCAGCTGTGCCTGAATACCCTTGAGCACGGTGAGAGATAGCTTGCTCAGCTCCGACACCTTCCTAATACTGTGCAGATGCGGACCGCCCTGCAGGCAGTCGTAGTCATTCTTGAGCGCGTTGTACTGTTGTATTGTCTGCGCAAGCTTCGCCTCCGTCAGCTCCTGCTTGCGTTTCGACTCTTCAGTTTCGCGCTGCCATGCTTCGCAGGCGGCACGCGCCTGTTGCAAACGATCCTCCCAGTTGGTGATCTGCATGCGCGACGTGGATATTTCGTCGCGCAGACGCGCCAGCTCTAGATTAGCCATGCTCGGCGACATACTAAAGTTGTGATTCCGTGAGTTTGGTGAGATATTCTGCGGCTGGAAGTCGAAGAAGTTCGTGAACGAGTTGATCTTGGAGGCGCTACTGCTGAGCGGCAACGCGGTGTGATTGAGGAAAGAGTCCATGCTGGCACTGGGCGAGTAGTGGTTGGAGCCGAGGAACGATGAATGAATCAAAGGGCTATTTGGGCTGAATGTATGACGTGCGGCTCCCGGAATGTTGACTGGTGCAGAGCTGCCCAGCAGGCCGGACGATGCCAGGCCCACCGAGATCGAATTCGACACCGATTGCGGCTCGTCTAGATCCAGATTTAAAGAGTCGTCTAAATGCAAGTCGTCGAGTGCGGTGCCCACGAGGCTATCGACATTTTCATTATTGAAGTAGTTACCAATGTTGCCGTATGCCAGACAGAGGTTCTGTTTCTTCTGCTCGCGTTCAATAGCGTCTACAAACAACACAATGCTACATATGTTAACTGATCAAGAAGAAACCTGCGACGCGCGCTTACCCAATGCTGTATCGCTGTCGATTGTAAGCAACTGTTTGGTGAAATCTGCGGTGCCGACGGCGGCGCGATTGTAGGGTGTTTGGGTGTGCTTAAGCTGGGCGCCGGGTGCGCGATTGTGCGAGCTGTTCGAGCCGATTGACGAGGTCGACGCTGATTCGGACACTTCGCTGCTCCCGTTCTGCAAAGCGGCCTTACCGTTCCCATTTCCATCTTCCATATTATTAAACAGCAAACAACTTACGCTACTGTCGCTGCTCTTTTCCTTCTCGGTGATCGCGTTCGCAACCAGGTCAACCAGTTTCGTACCGCCGTCCAGCGGTCCATTCTCGCGCGATGCGGTCATCTCCTCTGTAACGAAAGCTGCATTTTATCTATAGTACGTCATGCTGGCGGTGAATTTTCGCAAGAGGATATTTTATTGGATGATTTCGGAATAAATGTAAAGCGCGTGTTTTTTTGTTTTAATGAAAACTCTTACGTTCAACGTGAGCAAACGCGCAGAAAACACCGCGTGGACAGTATCCGGCCTGCTGAACGTCGTTGCACTTGGTACTTTTGTAGATCTCCGGATGGAACTGTTGCTCTGTGCGAGTGTGACAATAGCTACACTGGTCGCCGGCTTCGCAATTGCCCGGCTCGCCCCATTCTTCCCCGTGTTTCACACTCGGGCATGGGGTCGATCTGAAATCACCTGTATATCAACAAACTGCTGCAATAATGAGACGCATGTACTTCATACCTATACTTATATTTCCTGGGACTACGACGCTTGTCCTTGCTATTATGATACTGAGGACACGCGTATCCTTGGCGGCACAACCTTGGAGGTCTTTTGCAGGAATCGGTCTTATAGTTTGATAACACGTGGTTGGTATCTAAACGAAAACACATCGATGAATACAAAATTGTAAAATGTGAGCTTTGTGGTACCAACCTTGCCACTTGGGATCTTCATTCATCAAGTTGCGTTCCTTGTCCAATGCATTGGGACCATTCGAGGCGCACCCGTCAGGTTCGGGGGTCTCCAGCGCCTGGATTTCTTTGATATCATATACGGGAGGCCGATGGTCCTGGCTGCCGTGCGCAAAGGCACAATGCAGGCCATTCTTAGCGCAAAAGCCGCGACTGTCCGTATCATGTACGCACATGCAGGTCTTGTAGTATCTCAAATGGTAACGACGCTCGGTATCCCCCGCAGTGCGATGTAAGTATGGGCAGCTTAAAATTTTAAAAATAGAAGAAAATATCAATTAGTGCGAAAACAGTATTTCGCCAAAATGCGCTTAGGTAACTAAAGTATAATAGGCGTAATGATTACATGTGAAAAACTGTCCGATCATTTTCGGAAAAAGATCTCGTTTACAAAACAATTCCGTGGAAATTGTATTTTTGTGATTTCGCAAAACATTCGATGCGTTCTGTGATTACAAAATTCGATTTGAACCAAATTTATTCGGGTTACACGTGACTGGGGTGGTAATAAATGCGTGCTTTGTGTTCCATGGCTCAACTTTCAGGTTTTGTGCATTCCTGTTACAATTATCCTCTGCCCACTGTGTCTATTAACAGAATTCCATATAATCGGAAAAAACAACGCAATTTTTATAAATTTTGTCTCTTCAATCTCCCGCGCGATGTGATCAGATAACATTTTCTAACGACATTTTTAATTAACACACAGAGGAATTTAGTCAATTTCATAAATTTGTAGCTTGCAGTTTTGTTTGAATACTGCTGAATGGCGATTAGCTCGTTCCCTGTGAGATTGGCAAAGTCTAATGCAACGCTTTTCATTAACAGGAGATAATATTCAAGGCTCTTGTTTGGTAGCATAAATTGATATCATGCAGATAGCTGCAGAGAAGTATTCCGACCATGTCCGCTTTTATTATTTAATCGCGACTAGTAAAAATGTGCGTAGTCTAAAATTTGAATCCTAAAAGCATCGTTGAAAATAATTAGATAAAAATGACCAACGCTCCTGGCCAGATCCTTTATCAGTAATCTCATTTTTTTGTACAATGTAAGATTTTTTTAATCTACACTCCACAACCTACCCTAATTACTAACACAAAAATGATTAATTTTGAACAAAACATTAGTAATTTAATGACATTTATGTTAGATTTGAATAAGTTATTACTAGGTAATGTGATGGTGCACAAGATTTCTGACCAAAATTATCAATCGTAATTGAATAATTTATATTTCGTAAAATATTAATCCGCATTAAACACATACACAATTAGCCTAAATATTTGATATCTGATGTTCTTAGAAAGATTGGATTGTAGTTGGTACGTGGCTAATGTAAAAATAAATAACTTATCTCAAATATTTCAAGATAACGCAGTTATCGCAATAAAAATTAGCACCAACACTCACCGAGATATTCTCACCCAGATCAGTTACATCATGAGAACCCACCAATCGAGGTGCGACATTTGTACCAAATGCAGTTAAGCACTAAATTATTAATCTCAAATAATGATCCTATTCAATATTAGATAGTGCGCATCAGGTGATAGTGCGATTGAATTTCAATCATTCATAACACTATTATGTAGATATTTGCAGATTGAATCAATATGCATTTTGAAATATTATTTTAATTATCACAAAGTCGATATTTCAAGTTCTTTGCACACTAATCAGCCATTAATGACCAATTATTTAGTAATGCCCAAGTAAACACAACAGAAGTGACTAATAAGTATAAAGTAGAAAACATGGCATGCATGAAAATGATTGGTAACCAAACTAAACAAACTACACAGTTTATGTATCACTTACAACTCATATCATTGATAAAACTTTGTTTACTATTAAAGTAACAATTAATCACATTGAAACGTTGATTAGTGTGCATTGCTAGAACTTGCTTACACTAGAATAGTAAAAACGCATATCTCAAAATACAGGAAAAATTACCCAAACAAAACGAACATGGTCAGGTAGAAAACACATCAATCTGCATTATTTTATGCACGAGATGTTTATCTAGGCGACTTGTGGGTGTTACAAGGCATGATCAGACGGAACAATACAATGTATTGAAGATGAAATATAAATCGCCAGAATCAAATGCAGATCGATGGCGGTTTAAACACGAATTATGCAATTTTACGATACGCGATTTCTTTTGTTGTGCTAAAGAGTTAGAGAGGAATGTAGGGTTATGTGCGTTGTATTACGCATTGTTTGGCCTCTTTGTGCACGCGGGGCATATGGAAAATCAGACACGCATTGATCGTCCGCGAATGAAAACAGCGCTGCGAATCCGCGACGCATTTTGCCGTCGTGAATCCCTGGTGCACCCTCAACTCTAACAAAACAATGCGAATGTACTTACTCGTCACCATCAGGACAGATCCCCGTGGTCTCATCGTATTTTGTGCAGTAGTTATCGGCGCTATAGTTGAAGGTACCATCGCGTCGGCGTACGGGCCGACGACGTCTTTGGTTCATGAAATGCCAATTGAAACATGTGAACGGCCGATGTTGGGTGCACTTGTGCTGCAAGAAGAGCGGGCATTGCTCCACGCGAAACTCTTTCAGATAGCTGGAAAACAAGACGGCGTTAGTGAGTGCCTTCGGCATGAGGAGCACGGGCGTGAGACGCTGTCACCGGTTCCGCAGATGTATCAAACGCCAAATGTACTTACGAGTAGTGATTCGGTTTTTCCGTTTGGGCTGTCAACAAAGGTTTTGCCTCTGACGGCATTTTGCAATCACTGGCGCGCAGGAACAACGCGCAGGGCACGCTCACAAAGGACCAATTATTCAGCGCTCGCGCGCGTCATGTGACCGCAGCGCGTTGTGCTGTGCACGCGTTTCAAGGACGGCAATGTTTTGGTCGAAATGCGAGACGTCGGACGACAGGGAGTATGCACCTGCACGAACCACTATTTGCATTAGCGCGCGCAACGTCGCAAGACGCACTTGATGGCACCTGATGGATTATTGTCGACGAGAAATTGATGCTCGGTGCGTTTGCTTCGAACTGCTGCACCGAGGAGAATTGAAGGTAGACGACGCGGGCTAGAGGCGAGACACAAAACAACGCCGAGAACGATTCGCGGGCTGTCTTATTACGGCGGCGCTAGAGTCGCGTAGCGAACGACGATGCGCGAACTAGCACGACCGTACGCTGTTTGAACATTCTGAATGGCTGCAAGCGGAGATTAGCGCACACGAAGGCGGCGCGCACAGGCGCACGACGAGCTAGGCACCACTGCATGCACCATTCGCTACGCAGCATCATGCGTCTAGGCTCGCACAGCGTTATCGGCTGTTGCACCCAGACTGGCGCGAACTGTGTTTGGAAAAATGACCCACCGAATATGTTCGATATTTTTGAGTAAAGAATAAATACTAGAGTTATCCCGATTCTCAAAACGATCATTGCTTTTGCCGGCGTGTTAGGGACTGTTTGTTTACATTTGCAAAAGTAGCCAAACAGGCTTATGGATTCATTGGACTTCTAAATATCCAATAATGTGCCTTGCTGTGGCTAACAAAGAACAACAAGTCCAGTCGTCCACTATGTTGAACCGTTTAGAGTAGCGGCCCCGAAAGGAGAGTCAGAAAGTCAGAAAGGAGAGATTTGGATTTTTTAATATCACGATTTACCACTTTTGAAATTTAATAACTTGAAACCTAATAAACTCATAGATTATCTCATTAATAATAACACGTTTTTTAATTATATTCATTAATTATATTGAACATTTAAAATAAGTTGCTTTATTATTCTAGTCGCAATATAATGTCAACCATGTCAATTCTTTATAAATACTGGGCAAACAGTTGTTTTTTACCGGCTATTAGACAACTAATCGCAATTAAATTGATGTTGAGTTATAATAATAGGTAATAACTAAACATCGGATTAAATACACTAGGAAACTGTTGAAATATGCATACCCATCTTATTTACTGGACACGTCTGGTCTTTACAACATGCTAAGTAAGTTTTTACTTGCACAAAGCTTCGATAAGCTTTCAAAAAGTCAAAGACGTCTCTGAAAATGCACTAATGCACCGTATTCACATTCAACTTCAAAGTCGTACAATGGTCATCGGTACTACCTATACTGAAATGAGATTTCGAGTAGAGACACATTTAAAATGCATTTGAAAATTCTCCATATCAAGGTATTCGTTAAGAATTGTGAGGAAGTAAAACAGAATTCTTTTAAGTTGAAAATTCATACAGCAGCGTATAAAAAGAAAAATAATTAGGATTTGAATATGTGCAGAAAAAAAATTCCCAATAGGACAATAGGGTCCCAATAGGATTAACAATTTCGCATAGAAATTTAATATTTTGTGTAATTTTACACACTGTTGTTTTGATAAACATAAATTACACACAGAAAACAAGTATACTAGAGTTCGGAGAGACACAGTTGAACTTGTTTCCTGAAATGTTTGAATTTTGAATGTAATGCACAATGGATTGAAACACAAAACTGCAGATTAGTGAGACAATTGACAAGTGATTCTGATTTAAATTCCAAGCATTATGTAAATATTTACGTGATTAATCAAATCTAAACATTGCGTCGAAATGCAAAGCCGAAATCGACAGGAAAATAGGTATTGAATGACAAATTATCGACTAATATAAAAGAGTTGGTAAAGTAGGTAAACATAAATATTACGAATGCGAATTCCTGAAATTGTTTTCTATAAGGGCCCATCAATTAGAAATTTGCCGCCTTGGAATACAATATGTAATATGTATATCCATATAGCACATTTTATTATTAAAATAAAATAACATTTGTACTCCCGATAAGTTTTGCTGTAGGTACTCTGCAACTACGCCAAGGCGATGTTTCTGAAAAGTTTGTATAGGTAGATGATATATTTTCGCGAAACGGGAAAAGAGGTAGGTAATCACGTCAACTAGAAAATATCAGAAGTCGTTACCGAATGGAAAGAAATGATCAAATCCTGACCCGCAGAATGTGATTGCGGTGCGCACTTTTCCGCGAATTCGACATTATACTCGTCTTCTTTTCATTATATTTTCTACAACTTCTTTTTTCTATGTAATACGTAGTAAACTAAACATTCAAACAAGTTGTTTATTTAATTTTTTTGTTTGCCTTCAACTTAAATCATAATTAAAATTCTAAAAAGTCTAAAAGTTGGTGAAAAACTGATTTGCTGGCTAAGGAATCTAAGGACATAGTATGAGAAGGATACAAAAGTACAACGCACAAGTAAAGAACTTCAGAACATGAATTTGACGAAAGCAAAAAAAAAAAAACACAATAATTTACTTGTGTTTGTTCAATTAAATACTATTTGTGTTTTAATATGCAACCCAATTATATTTTATTCAACATGTTTAACTTAAAATTAATGTAACAATAACTAAATGTATTGTTTACATTTAAATTTCTTAGTCGTTAAATTTGAGCCACTTTGCAAATCGATCCTCAATGAGCCTTCTAAGAAATAAATACTAAATGATAACACGTTTAATTGTAACGAAGCGTTGTAAATGAAACGCTGATTAAAGTAAGTGGCCTTATCTATTACCAGTTCCGATTAAATTTGATAGCTATAGTCGAGTTTAAACATACGTTGACAAAAGTATGAAAAAGAGTAAAGAAGTAAAGAATTAAAGATAATTTCATTCATATTACTTTGAAATAGTTGCCAAAATTCGTCAAATATTTGGTTTTAAATAAATGTACATATTGATATTTAAAATTGTGACATGTGAATACATTATTTCAATAATGTCTCAATAATTTGTCTTCATTTGCGTGTCAGTGTGAAAGTAGATACACTGGCTAATATTAATTGATAAACACAAACAATGCATAAATCTACTGACAACTAACCAATGGGTTTTATATATCGTATTTCTTTTAGTTTGGATCTCTCAAACAAATGCGGCAGCCCAAAGCGCAGCTCTGGAAAATCAATGAAAATTTTCCATACGCGCCATCTAGCGATGATTAAAACCACTATTCACTTTTGCGCATCTTAACCTTTATTGCGTAGTTAGGTAATATCCAAATAAAATGTTAAAACTTAACTATATACAATAATTTATGTGTTGAAAACTTAAAAATAACTATTAAGAGCATATCTCCCAATTTCGGTGCGGTATCAAATCCGTACCGGCTGCATTTGGTACTTTTTGCGAAGCGGACACCGCATTGTATATGTATCAATGACGTATTTGTTCTATAAATAACGCGTAGATTTTACAAATGTCATATAACGCTTATCACACCCAAAGTATACCATCAATTGCAAAGATTCATGTAAATTGTTTTGGATATCAAATTGGAAAATTGACAAAATTTGCGATTTTGTTCATTCAGGCACGCACAGATTTTTGAAATGGTGTAGTGTGCGACCGGCCGAGGCCCACGGACCAATCGCGTGGCTTGTTATTTCTACCAATCACACGCACGCTTTCCCGACCGTATGTCGGCCATCATGGAAATCGTCATTTCGCTGTCGTTCGTCGTGTGCTACAGTTCGTCTCTTTGTTAGTGCATTTACCCAGCGATTATATTGAAAAGGTATGTTTTTTGCATCTCTAAGCTACTATCGACATATCGATACCTTGATAATGCATGCACTAGTTCAATAATGGCGGTCGTACACATTTTGCACGATACATGGCGTCAGAGTGATTGCTCGCCAGGTGCAATAGTACAATGCAGGCGATAGCGAAGCTGAGCCGCCATTATGTTTGTTTTGTTTGATCGTGTCTATTCACCCACAACGAAATCGCACAAATCGCTCAGCTCGATGTCTTCGGTACATTCGAAATAACTGACGTTGATAACTAGAATGCACATGTATGATCCAGGCAACTGTTTGCGCCAAAAACAGTTTGCCGCCTTTTTTGTCTTCATGCAGTTAATTGTTCGTGTATTCTAGAACGGTGCTGCAATATGGCTCGTACCAAGCAGACAGCGCGTAAATCAACAGGAGGAAAAGCTCCTCGTAAACAGTTGGCGACCAAAGCGGCGCGTAAATCCGCACCGTCAACTGGAGGCGTCAAGAAACCCCATCGTTATCGTCCGGGTACTGTCGCTCTGCGTGAGATCCGTCGTTACCAGAAATCCACTGAGTTACTCATCCGTAAACTGCCCTTCCAACGTCTTGTCAGAGAGATCGCCCAGGACTTCAAGACTGATCTTCGCTTCCAGTCAGCTGCTATTGGCGCACTTCAGGTAACAACATTCGTTTTGTTTTTTTTATAAAATCATACTAATTTTTATTTTTTTGATTCTGTTTCCAGGAAGCCAGTGAGGCTTACCTGGTGGGCTTGTTCGAAGACACGAACTTGTGCGCCATTCACGCCAAGCGTGTCACTATCATGCCGAAGGACATCCAATTGGCCAGGCGCATCCGAGGAGAACGCGCTTAAGGCGTCTCGACGGTTCTCGTCCATCGCGTATCTTTACATTTGAATACTTATCATAACTTCATAGGAAAACAAGCAAACCTTGCCCTCAAATTCATCATAGCATTTTGTGTCCCATCATCTACACGTTCACACTTGTTCTCATTACTTTCGTGGAAAATTCGTGTCTATAATCTACATGATAACACAGTAAACTTGTAACTTTGGTAATAGTTTTTTTGATACATGTAATCGTACATACTTCTATAATAATCCGACGGCGTGGTGTTGATTCCAATTGCGGGAGCAGCACGTAGAAATCATGCAAATTGCTAGAGTACATGTGAAGGCATACGCCCGAAACATTTCGAGAGGGTTTGAGATTCGTAGAAAATAGGGTAGATCTTATATTTGTCACGCATCTAGCATAAAATTTATTTCAATTTAGTGTACTTGCGAGGGCGTCGTCGCACACCTCGAACATGTAATTATTATTAACATTTCTTAATTAGCACTTAAGTTGTATTATTTAGCACTTCAAAAAACACGACAACCACGTACGCCCTACACTAGATTTAAATTGCGTCGCTTGCCAAGTGTGGCGGCCGTTGTTCAAACGCGTACTTGGATATACATTATTCTGTATTTTGTTCTTTGAGTGTCAATATGGTATGATAAATTCTGAAATGCGATTTCAGTGAATATGTTCAGTTTGGTTCAGAAATCATTTCGGTGTTATTTTGTAAATGTATTCATTATTACATAAAAAAAAATTAACGACTAAGTTTGTCATCTCATCGTCATACTAATGTTTTTTGTAATTCATCATCATCTTAAAATACAGTGATTCAAAGAATTCTTGCTTTCTACTTTTTTATATTTCAGCAAATTCAACTCTAAACAAAGGTTTAGTTCCTATTTTTGGGTATATTTAAACATTTTCTATCGATTTAACGATGCTTCTTGAATTCTGTTAGCTCTTTTGGTGCGATTTGATGCAATAGTTAAAATGCAAAGTGCACACCAACGCATTTCTTATTTCAAAATTAATAAGAAATGCTTTACGGGTGACGTTATTAATTCCATTATGCCGATAAGATGTATTAATCGCTCGTTAATACAGTGTAGTTGCCAATACTCTGCACTTACTATCTTCGCGGAAATTCCAATTTTATAGAAAACGATTTTATGAATTTTAGTCTAAAATTGTAGAAAAATCATACCAAAAAAAGCTTATTAAGTGAGAACTGCACATGCAAAGTTGAGGCACTGCCCAGTGTCTTAAATACAAATAGAAACACAATGTATTTACATCCACAAATCTTCATTAATATTGTTTAATCTCATACTCCTTACAATTTTACATCATATGTTGCAATAAATATATCACCCTCATATATTTGCAAAAAGCAGACAATAATAAATCTTCATCCCCAAATGATAACTCAGTATCTACAATTCTACTTGTTACCTGAATGGTTAGCATCATTTTTTATCCTTGGCTAATTCAGACAATCGAGCTTCAAGCTCTACTGTACTTAAACCCAGGGATTTATTGTGTTCCAAAGAGGCATGCAATTGATACTCCTCCAGACCACTGATCCGACTGTACAAGGTTCTCTCCAACTCCTTGTCAATGTGATTCTCCTCCCTCAGGACACAGAAGTAAACTAGGAACACAAACAGGCTCCCAAGAATGACATAGGGTTCATACCAGAGTCTAGCCAATGTAACACCCGTGCGCGAGGATTTTGCCGTCCATTTATATGCTGGTGAACCTGTGTATTTAATAGGTGCATCGTCTTGGCTGTCATCTTGATCATTTGAGATGTTTTTGGTCGTAACTGAGCGCGATGAGGGTATTTTGTGCTGAGAGAGTAACCTAAAAGATACCTTATAAACACCGATGCTAAATTGTTTATTTTTAATGTTTTTAATATTACCTGGCGGGGTAAATGTAGGTTTTGTTGATGATATTGGTAGTGAGGCGCCCTAGACTATTCATTTTTAATTTATTAAATTGATTCACGGTTTGAAATTTCCCAGAGAAGATCGACCAGGTTATGTGTGCAGTCAGGGACGCATGTCGAGAATTCAAATCTACTATTAGTTCAAATTCCTGTCTACCAAAATTCGATGAAAACACATCGAATGGTCCCAAACTTTTTCTTTTATGTTTGTTTTTAAGGCAGATCATGTAAAATCATTTATGCGATTGATTCGTATCCCTACTTGGGTTTTTCGTAGTCTAATTAAATTGTCCTGGACAAATAAATCAAACGTTTCGTTCTGGGGGTTGATTCCAGAAGACTTTTAATTGTTTGGTAGTTTAATCAAATCAGTGTACCATTGTACTGCAAATTGTCTTATCACCGGTAAACGTTTCCTCCAGAATCTCATTTTCTCGTCACTCTTCTCCGGCACCAGTCGTTTTACTCGTATATTTTTAAATCTTACATACTAGGAGTGTGCGAACAAAGTTCGAAGTTTTAAAATACAAAAACCTAAACGGGGAAAAAGAGTAGAAGAACAATATACATACTATTATACTTACCATTTATGCTGTTTGCAGGAGAGAAGAAAATCGAAACAAATCGAGTCGTTTATAAATGACATACTTTCTTTCTTTGGAAGATACTATGTATATAAAGTGTTATAACCTAATAAATCAATATATAAAACAATCACTATTAAAAATACATAATATACAATATAATATCGTTGAATATCGTGTTCTTAAACAATTCGTTTTCTTCTCAGTAATTGGCTGCGTTCCGTTCTGTTTAATAACGAGGCTGGCCGTGCAGGGGCTGAACAAGCGCCGAATCATCTTGAGGTATAAAAGATCACAACCCTCTACAGTCTACGACGATCACACACTTATATAATGATTATTAACATGTTGTCTTGTCTACTTTTGATTGACTGGATTGCTTCAACGATTTGTGAGTTGATAAATGCGGGCGGTGTTCAGCCCGCGCGCGCCGACGAATCGAATTTCTATTCTGAGCACATTTCAAAGATTAAAGAAGAAAACGTCATCAAATCACAGAAACGTAAAATAAAATCAAAAAAATAATAAACAGAAACAAAACAGAACAACGTAACAATTACACGCATACATATACAAAATACTCACATCACTTAATGATTACCTGCCTGCTCACTAACGAACTGCAACGACTAATTAATACGCCGCAATACATTGCGCCTAATACTTAATATTCGATTATTTGTTTGAGTCAGTAGAGAATTGTTCATTTTGTTCATTTGTTTTCGCTCAATTCGTCTTTCGCGCTTTGTCGATCGATAAAGACGTCAAAAACTGGTGTAAATCTCGTACGAAATCGAAGCATTCGATTTTATATAGAAAATAGAAAATTGTATACTTACTTAGTTATTGTTCTTGTCATACCTTCGCATTTGTATTATTGTGTGTATTATTTGGCAATCTATGAGTTGATTTTTAAACTTTTTCGTTAGGTTGATTTTTAAACTTTTTCTTTTAAACTGGCACCCATTGACTTTTGCTGTGCACGGAATCGACGGCTGTCAAAACTTGTGTACTCATGTAAGTAACATTCACGCCTGCTGGTATAACAGCTGCAATAAAACATTTCAATACAATTCTTGCACCTAAAATACGATAAGTCAACTTACCAGTGATGAGATGTCGGTATTCCGCCTCTAATTTCTGGCAGTGTTCGTACATTTCCTTGGCAGCCTTGCCGGACAGCTTATCTAAGGAGAAACGGGTGTCTTTAATCTCCTTGATGTGTTTCGTGCTTTTAAACTTGATTAACAAGACGATAGGGTAGATCTGGTGGCGATGCAGCTTTTCAACGCACGATATCGGTATGTCAATCATACAATGTTGTTGCTAGGATAAGAAAACAAAAAAATCTGTAAAAATTTTCTCTCGGTGATAATTTATTCATTTATGACTCACCGAGATGCAAATTTGCTTGATTGCCGACACAGTCGTACACTCGAAATAGTTCCCCTTGCGCTTGTAGTCAATAATAAGGTTTTCGGCAATCTCCTGCTCCAGTTGGGCTTGATTCTGACGGATTTCAATGACGCACTTGCGGAATTTATCCGGGAAGTCAGCAATGAGCTTCTCCACGACACATTCGGCCAGTGGACCCAGAACTAGTACCGGCCGAAATTCTGGACCTATAATTGATAATCATAAATATGTTGCATAGTAATTTAAGCTGAAATCAATTTACAGTCAAGTCTTTCAACGCGTTGGTAGGAGCACAGCGACAGATCTTCCATTGTCCCATTGTCTGAATACCATCCCGAGGAGACATTACTAAAGGACGCTAGTTCTTTCGAGTCTCGTGATCCACTACGCTGATGCTTCTTGCGTCGGAAGAAACTGCGCCGCGCTGATGTTGACCCGCGTGACTCTAAATCACCGCTACTGCGGCGCAGCATCAATTGTTCTTCAACTCTGCACATAAAACAATCAAATATGAACACAAAACTCATAAAATCAAACATGTTTAACACATACTTGTATTTCGAAGGAATAATCCCCCATTGCATAGAGGGATTTCCCTCGCTATCCAGTTTCCAGGCTAACCAATGGCCTGGATTACCTCTGAACATGGTATTATCAACGTAGAGGATGTCATCCTTGTTGAAGTACAATTGATCGTTGTCTGTCAAGTCGCTGCCGCTCCGATCAAATCCACAACGCACATATAAAGAATCTCCCGGCTTGTCTTTGATTTCATTGTAGCGATCAATGCGATAGTGTGCGAAAACTGTGACTTTGTCAGCCGGTTTCGCTAAAATATAGGCAGCCTCTTCCGCAGTCAACACTCTCAGATCAGCCCCGTTGTATTCAAGAATCTGATCGCCTGTCCGCAACCCCGCATGCTCAGCAAGAGAATCCCTCTGTACTGAATGTATAAATATCCCGACTGCATTACCACCGACGAGGGAAATACCCAAATTGGAAGTTTTGTGCGTTTCAATATACAAGCAGCGCGGTTCATCTTCGGTGGACACAGTCGATTTTGCTTTGCTGCTGCGTGAAGTGCTCTGCCTCTGCTGTGAATCACGATTGGTCTGTTGCAGACTCCTTTGATTAGTGTTACTGCTACTGAGACTAAGACTCTTTCGGTTTTCTTTCGGAGAGTTACACGGAGTAGGTTCAGCACTACTACTGCAAGAATTATCCTCCGAACCAGATCCCTCTTCAATCTCAACGAATTTATCTGGTGAGTGCACCAGCATTGTGATGGAATTCCCGCATTGGCGCAATACATTCGCGGCGAGATCATAGGTGGCATTGCGCATATTAATTCCGCACACTTCCAACAATTGATCACCGATTTGCAGACCTACGCGACTCGCCAGGCTGTTCTCGTCCACTCTGGATACAAAAATACCACCACTGTCCGGGCAGTTGATCTGTATCCCAAGCGGTTCGTTGGATTTATCAATGTAAACCTTGCGCAACTCACCGGAGAGTTGTTTCTGCGACCAGCCGTACTCCGGCACATTGCTGCGTTTGAGAATCTCTACGTTAAAGATCGGCGACGGGCTGCCACGCTCCGAGGTGCGTTCAATCGATCCGGTACTGATCTTGCCTGTGGAGTTCTTCGAGTTAACCGACGGATTGCTCGGTATGCGAAAGCGCTGGTTCTCCTTACCTTTACGCGGAAACGTGCCGACATTCGGCAGCTCAAACCCACCGGGAGTATAATACTCCCGCGAGTCACGTATCTCACGATCTAGTTGCGAGTGCTGCGAGGCAATCGTGTTCATACCCAACATTGGCCGCTTTTGGTGTACTTCCGCCGACAGTGAATGTCCATGATAATGAATCGGATTATAAGCGGGTAGTTCATATCCGCCAACGCTTTCTCTTGAGTGACTGCTGTTGTTGCTATTGGTACTCGCCATATTCAAATGGGGATGTGGATGGGGATGAAATGGGAAAGGCACGCGCGGTGCGAACAACGGTGACTGCAAACGGACCTGATGCACCTGCATAGCTATATCGTGATGTAGCAAACTCTCTCGCTCCGAATCCGAGCTGTACTTCGGCTGCTTACTGACATGCGGCATGTAAGGCGACGTGTGATAGTACTTGATGTCTTTGTCACCGATGCGCGGCTTGATCGGCGGGTTGAAATCCAGAGAATCATCGCTTTTCATATTGATCGATAATCGATTGTGGCGTAGTTTCTCGTAGGAGTCGTTGCCGAAGCCGCTGATTACGCTAGAGTGCCGATTCGAGGCGCGCGGCAGCGGCATCTGGCTGTGATTCGACGATTCGTTCGAGATGTTCGACATGGCGGACATTGTCGAACGATTACTATTGATAATCGTGCTGTTGGTGTTGCGTAGTTGCGCCGAATTGGGCACACCGACTGACGAATCGAAGAGATAATCTTCACCGTCGGTGTTGCTAATGAGTAGTGACAATGGTGGACGTTGTTTGGTACGGTTAGTAATTGTACCAACATTTGACGCGGTACCCAAAATGGTTGCCCTGGTCTTCGGCCAAGTGCCACCGTTCTTCTCCTGCAGGGAACTTTCCTTACTGCGATGTTTTGGGCGTTTAAACGTTGAAGAATTATTCGGCTGGCCGTGTGTATCAATGATACTATCCAATTCAGCGATAACTTTCTCATGCTCATAGTTACCATTCAGACTCATATCTTCCGCGTGCCCTTGACGTTTTTTATCCTCCAGGGTCCGATTGCGGTCCTTTGAATGTCTACGCCCGCGGACAAGATCGAACTTTTCACGCAACCACGCATGACTTTTCTCTTGCGCCGATTTCGCACGATTGTGATCGACTGTCAGTCGGCTAGAATTGTTACAAGTATGGCCACCGCTCGAATTCGACGATGGATACGAACTCGGTTGACTATAATAATGCAAATCGTCCGTTTGCGAACTACGATTCTCTTTTTTATACCGCTGTACCGGAATAAACACATTCGTATTCTCTGTATCTAAGTAAGACATCTTTAAAGTTGTGATCGTAATCGAATCATTGCGTTCGTTCAAAATACGCATGGCGTCATGAATCGCATCGCAGCCATCCATGGATTTATGATTAACTCGCAGGACACGATCGCCTACGACAAGACTGGTATCCTTTCCAGCCAAACCACCCTCACATATTTTACTGATATAAACGCCCGACTCAAGCATGATACCGTGACTTAACCCAGGTGGAAGTTTAGCGGTGTGCACCCAACGCGCAACTTTCGCTGGCGTTTGCGGAGTATTCGGAGAAGTAGGCAGTGAGGAATTATTACTGCTTACGCCAGACCAATTATTTCTACGCCGGCGACGTACGAGAAGATGTACAATCGGCGCACTAGACCGTATCGTATCCATAACAATACGTTTCGTCATATTTTTCGTGCAATCCAAGTTATTCACTCGAACAATACAATCATTTATCCGTAATTTTCCGTCCGCTACAGTTCCCTTCGCGACGTCAGTCACGTAAACATCGTGATTCGGATACTGCGCGTCTTCTATACCGCCACCAAGATCAAAACCGATGTCTTTCTCGATTGACATACCAGTTAAATCCATTTCCAGCGTCTCTGTCTCCCATTCCTGCATGTCGCTGTCAATGGCGCTGTCATGCGAGTGATTATGCGCAAGAAAACCTTGATTCAAATTCGACTCTTTCTCCATGTGCATCTCGAGCGTCTCCTTCAACGTCTTCACTTCTTTCAATAATTCATTGCGTTGCTTTTTAATCGCATCGGACTCCCGCAGAGATTCAGCGAGTTCGGAAACAGCACGATCGCGTTCCTTGCGCATTTTGTCGCATAGTGTCCGGATGCTTTCGCGCTCCAACACTATTTTATCGCGTTCGGAGAAAGCCCAGTCACGCCGGCCTTTACTCACATCAGCCTCTTGCAGAGCTTCGGTGAGCTCAAGTTGTGTTTTGTCTAAACTCTTACGCAGACTTTCGAGTTCCTGATTAGCCTGGTCCAGGTTATCGAGACGCTGGCGTTGTGAGAAGTTAGCTACCTGGATTTCTTTGCGCATGGAATTCTCGCCCTGCGCGTAGTTGCAATTGAGTGGCGATTTCAGCACGTTGTCTTCCTTGGTTGTGTACTCGCCGAACTTTTCGCGCAGATCGTTGCATTCCTTGAGCGCCTTGTCACGATCATGCAGCGCTGACGCAATCTCACGCCGGAGTGATTCTAGCTGATTGTTTAAACCCTGCTTTTCTTCAAGGAGATCTTTATTGTCGGACTCGAGCAGCTTGTTTTTGCGCTTCGCCTGTGATAAGTCATCCGAGAGGCGCTCCATTTCCTTGTGCACAGTGTCTCTAAAAAAATTGCGTTAGTTTCACAAATACAACATCAATTCATAATCAGTAAAGACAAGAAACATCGTTTTAGTATTAGCAAGAGTAAGATCAAGCATTAATTATTAAATTACATAGTAATCATGCATGGATCACCTTTTACACATGTTTTTACACGACCTTCAATTGACTCTGTATTTAATATCATGCATTATTTATTCTCTGAGTTTGTTTTTCAAATAAAGTATTTAATTTCAGTGGAAATAAACTTAAATAAAAACCTATACCTTTCCGACATAATCAGATTGTATTCCGTCATTGTCGCATTGCGCTCTTCTGTGAGCCGCTGCACTTCCTTGTTGGCCTTCTGGCGGAAAGTCAGCGCCTGTTTGACTTCCTTAACAGCATCGTCATACTTCTGCTGTGAGATCTGCAACGCCTCGCGGAACTTATTGCAATCTCGAATTAATTTATCCATCTGACTGTACGCCTTCGTTATTTGTTGTTTCAAGCCCGAAACTTCACGCAACTGCAATGTATTACAATATTTTGTTATTTATGTACATATAGCATGAATGTTTTGAGGAACTTACAGAAGTATTGCGCTCTTGATTAACTTCTTCGTATTGCTTGCTGATGCGTTTCGTCTCGTCCTGCGCCATTTCCAACTTGAGTAGTGTCTGCGCGTGCGATTCGTCCAGCTCCTCATAGCACTTGCGCAAGTTGTCGAAGTCGATCACCTGGCCGGAGTCCATCTTGGCGTGATGCCGGTAGTAGTCAAGCTCCTTCATCGCGTGCGCAAGACGCGCGCGCAGCGTGATCGACTCCGAGTTGGCTTTGTCCAGCTGCTGCTTCAGCGCTTCGTTCTCGCGGTCGCGAGACGAGCCCGAATTCAGCGAGTAGTTGCGTGAGAGTGTGCCTGCAGTTGATTATTTCATGATGAATATGAAAGGCAAAACAAACGAAGAAACAAAACACTTACTGTTTCCAGGTGCGATATCGTTGTTCGTTGCCATCATTCGACTGCAGGCGAGCGCGCAGATCCAAGCAGGCGCATAGAAAAAAGAGAAAGTCGTTTCATAACAATGTACAAAGAGAATCGCAACAATCGCAAGAACAAAACTGGTGCGCTAATTAGCGCTGTGCGATTGTTACTCGGGTGGAAATTAACGACCGCAGGTAAATAAACAAGCTGTGTTTATTTATTAGCCCCCCGGACCCGAGCCTGCGTTACCATAGATACACGTCCAGAACGAAGGCGCAAAGGCATTCGTCACCGCCGACCGCCGGTGGATGGAAATTTGTACTCACCGGAAGACGAAGCGGCGTGTCACAAATGAGCGATGACGGCGTAAATAAACATAATCCGCGAGGGCGAGGAATCGTCAAACTCCACTCTGTTTCTACGAGTACATTTCGTCCACCATGTTGATTCGTTGACTTCTCAGCCTGACCGCAAGCGATCGTAGTGGTAAATGTCAAATTTACGTCAATCATAAATCTAAAATAAATTTCAACTTTGATTTGTTTTATATTGATTAAAATATCATCAATACTTACAAATAATTATTCGTGCATGTTTTAATGTTGTTGTAAGAATTGTTTATTTATTTATGTGTCATTTGTGTCAGTTTAAAACGTGGAGCGCTGTCAGACGGGAGTAGATGGCGCTGACAGCTTAAACGCATGCGTAGATTGCGTTGTAATCCAACAGGTATTCGCCGTAGCCGCAATCGCCGTTCGGCCGCGATTGTTGTTATGTGTCGTTGCGTTGTGTTCTTGTTCTGTTGACATTAATTTGTTCATATCGCCGCTTCGCGAGTTTTAAATTAGTTTAATGCGCCGCTAGCCGTCGCCGCCCGCCGCCGCAAATCAACGATTCGAAAGAGGTGAGTGTTGCTGTCCGCGGCGATCGGCATTTGTTTCTTTTTTTGCGCGCGGTCAACACCGCGTTTTGCATACGTATATCTCCGAGGAGGTACATATTTGCATGACTAATCCAGCGGTATGCTGTTGTATCCAGGTGCGACCCGGCGCGAGAGGATGCCGACCCCGCTAGCGCACATGGAGCAGAACAGCAATGAGATTAAGGCGAAGATCGCCTACAACAGTGAGATCCTCATCATCTACATCGACCAGAACATCACGCTGGACCAGCTGTGCGCGGAGATGCGGCAGATTTGTCGCTTCGGCTCCGACCAGGTGTTCACCATGAAGTGGGTGGATGAAGAAGGCGATCCGTGCACAATCTCCACACAGATTGAACTGCGTGAAGCCCTACGACTGTACGAAATAAATCGTGATTCGGAGCTTACTATTCATGGTATGTTGTAGTTTTGCGAGTATTAATAGAGTATAAGATTAGTATAATTTGGTCAAGTACACTTGAAGGTATTCCGCCTACGCGCTTTTCGAAGGGTTATGTCGGTTGCCGTGGAGACAGCGGGTTTGTTTACGTCGCGAAGGTAGATGCCGGCGCCCTCTGGGCGGCGGGCGGCGGGGTATCGATTTTCGCATTCGGGCCCCCGGAACGTCAGCGGCGGTAGTGTGGCGAGCGTGTCGTGCGAACCGTCGGGGCGTCGCGACGCTGACTAGCAATCGCTGAGTGCGCGCCAGACGCATCGAGACAATCACGCAATCGGACGCTTCCAAGTCGCGCGAGTTGAAGCCGCCCGTCGGCGTCGGGGCGCCGTTTTTTTAGCGAATTTCTATGGTTTCGCGAGCACGACAACGCCTACCCGCGCCGAAATAATGTGGAATTGATCCGCGCGTCTGCAACCGCGACCCTCGACGCACAGAAGAGTTCCTCGTCGCTTCCCCAGCCCTCCACCACCACCACCCTACACCACCTCCACCCTTCCAAACTTCCACAATCCTCTAAATCCTCCGAGTGATCGGATATAAGATAAAATGGCCTGGGGATATTGGAGCGCGACCACGCTGGGCGACCGCGGGCGTTCGCCGCGTCGCAACCAGCAGAACGGCAACGCCACACAGCCCCAGGGCGGCGGCGGAGGCGGCGGCGGCGGCGGCAGCAATGATCGTGGTGCTGCTTCCTCGGAGCGCACCGAACGCCCCGAACGGCATGCTGCCAGTCACAGTAGCAACTCCAGTAATGGATCCAGCGCTTCTACCAGTGCGGCGCTGCTCGACGAACTCGCTGCCCAACAGCAGCAGCAGCATCATCCGCACTATCAGCCGCCGCTGCCGCCACCGCACCAGCAGCAGATGGCGTCGGCGGCGGCACATCATCAGCCACCGCTGCCGCCGCCGCATGCGGTCCACCAGCACCATCAGGCGTACGCGCCCGGCGCGCATCACTCCCAATTGCCGCACGCCTCCTACCACCACCATCACGACACCACCTCCGGCTCCGAATTCGACCTGGAGCCGAATCTCTCGCGCCGCCCATCGCTGGATCTCAGCATTGGTGGGCCGCCTGGTGCCGGTCTTGCTGGCATCATCTGCTCGGCGCATGGGTCCAGCTCGCGCACGGGTACGTTGTCGGCGGGTAACACGCTGACGCGCGCCGGCAGCCGGCACACGGCCGTCAGCAGCGTCGATTACGCGGTGCCGCATCATTTGCATCAGCATCATCTGCATCACGCCGCTTACGTTGAGTATCATCATCAGACGCAGCTGAGCTTTTCGGACGATGATAGCAGCTCGGAGCCGGGCTATGCCACAGGTAACGGCGCACGTTCTTCCAAATTTCGCAGTGCATATACTTTTGAAAATCTCCTGTTTTTATCACGTTACTCCTTCTTCTTCTTGCGGCCAATTGGCTCACGTCCGATCTCCCGACCTTCGCGCTTTCGGGCCAGTGGGGACGGTGCCAAAAAATCCGGGAGCGCCGCTGGAAAATCGAACATTTGTGTTTTCGCAAAACGCACCCCCACGACGCCGCCTTTCTTCATTTATTTCGCGCGTAACAATTCATGCACGTTTAATTTATTCACGTGTTTTCTTAAGTTTATAAACGGACTGACCTTTTGCGCCGTCAACCCGCTTCAGAGCCACGCGTTACCTTCACACTTCTCCGCCCCGTGCTGGCATTCCACGTGACGGTTTTATTTTTGAATCGTACAACCACAGCGATATGACATCTTCGTATCGCGCCACATCTCTCTGCATTTATTTATGTTTCCGACTCGTTGCGCAAACTGGGAATAAATTTGATTTTGTCATAAGTTTACGTTTATTTTTAGCTATACTAATGCTTGCAATAAACGCGCATTTTACTGTCTTTTTAAAGGGGAAAGCAGGAGGAGAAAAAAAAAACGTTGCCAATTACACGTGCGTGCCGTGTGATGACAGTCGGCGAGTTTATTTAAATCGCGGTGGAGAAACAAAAGTAGCAGAAGAAAGTGTCGCACTATGTCGAAAAAATCGCGTGCCGCGAGCAAATTAATCTATTAAACTCGCTCGGTGTTGTGTTGCCCCTTTTTTTTTTGTTCTCTTCGCTCGTACGAGTCGGGCGCGCCTTTTCGCAGCCGAGTGCACATAAAACACGCCGGCCTACAATCGCTCCGCAAACAAACCGAACGTCGTGCAACCAGAAAAACGCAACGCGAAAAGCACGGATTTGTTTAGTCTAAAACCGGCGACCTGTTTCGTGTTTACAGGTACATGCTAGACCACCCGTAGCAAAAGCGTAGTGTGGTGCTTCGGAGGCGCATGAATGCAATATTAAATTAACGAAATTCGCCGCCCGTTTCGGGAGTTTCGCCGCCGAAATGAGGTCGCCGTATGCCAATATTAATCATTGACCACACTCTCTGTCCCAGCTGCATTATTTCGTCACTGCAGGGATGGCGCGTCACGAATTAAATATTAATTGCCGCCAAGCACCGGAACGAAACTTTGGCCCGCGACGCAGCTGCGAAGGGGACAGCAACAAACAAACAAAAAAAAAACACGGTCGCAAACTTGCCAAACTCGCGACTTGTTTGTTGTGTGCTGTGTGTTTTTTTTTCTGCACAGCCGGGTTATGGGACAAGTTGAAAACTTGCGTCCGAAACACATTCCGACTGTGGGGGGCGATGTATAAAGAGATTACGCGACACGCTCGGGGTAGTTTTTGCTTGATTAAAAAGTTTGCGCACAGGTGTAGTTCGGATTCGCGGAATTGGCGTATTTCGCGCCGGTCGACATTGACAGCATGCGCGTCCATCTATTTTCTCTTGAATACACAATATGTGCATTAGTGCTTCATCCCCTTTGGTTCATGGACGCGGCGCATGCATGATGTTCCATTGTTGCGGGGTTTTAACTGGGCCATGTCATTGCAAGCATTTTTAATCTTTCGGTGGAGTAAATTTTTTTGAAATGAGGTCATGATAACAAAAATTCAACGTGTACGCTCACAGCGGCGCGTTTATTTTATTCGATTTAACGCCGGCTTTCAAACAGTTTTTTGCATTTCTTTCAAAAACTATTGAATAAAACTGCATAAAAAATAGCCACTGCGCTAGATCAGGAACTAATACATTGTCTCACAAATTTTTAAAATTGAGTTTTGCATGGTTTCGAAGATAAACGCCCTTAAAAAGAGGCAATAAAAAATATACTGCCGGCCCATTTGGATATTTTTTCCACCACGTGTGTTTCTTTCAGTTCGTGCTGTAGCTTCAGTCAACAAATTGCGCTCTTATCGCAAACCCGCGCGCAATAAATACCGACGCGCACGGCGCGTAGATAAAACTTTATCACGATATCTCTATTGTGGGCAAGTGCGTGTGATTTTCGTCGCTGGTTTTTACACTTTTTTTCGGTGCGCCCACATAATGTAATGTAGGACGGCGCACTGGCGGCGTGCTTCGCGATATCTAGGATACTCTACTCCACATTTTCGATACTTTGATCGCTATTAATAACCGCGAGGAGCGGGCTAGGTGAGAGGCTTATCAGATTATCGCGATGTACCGCGCGCACTATCACAATTATTAATCAGCGCGCCGAAGGGATGGGAGAGTTGTTGACGAGCGCGGCTCGCGAACGTGTCGAAGGTGTGATGTGATAGATTTGCTCATCATCTCATCTCTGGAGCGCAATTTCGAAAATTTGTGGTGTCGGAAGAAAACACGCCACCCGTGCCGCAGCCCCACCAGTGTGCGACACAGGAGATACCTAGATACATTCTGTTTGTTTATTTTGGAGCACTTAACGGCGGCGTTCATTACGTGATAAGCGCGGCGCAATGTCGATATGGAACGACTTGTGGACGTATTCCTGGGTGCAGTCGAATGCGTTCAATTGTGACCCGTCTGGATTAGTGTTGGGCGTTGCTTTGCACCGAGGTAGAGATCTTCGCGCACCTTCATTGTGCTCGCGTTTGTTGTGTGCGTGGTTCATTCATGCGCGTCTGGAAGTGCGATCGGTGGCTCAGTTTGATCGCGATGCGATAACGTGAAACAATGCATGCGCGCGTTTTGTCATTGAGAAATCATTTTTGAGATATAATGCATGTTTGAGTGAGTCACACGACTGCAAATGTGATCTAATCAATCATTGAAACTTTCCCAGCGAAGATAAAGATGACTTAATACCGGACAAATTGCTTCGTTAAATCATCGGATTTGAAGGATTCATGAGACCGCACGCACTTCTGGAGTTAATTTTAATTTTATTTCGATCGAATGCCCATTTCGCTCATTTGTTAAGTCTGAAATATTTCTTGTGTCCGCGTGTGTGTGTGGGTTGTTGCGATTTTTCACCGAAAATCGCATTGTCCTCATAATAAATTTGCGGCCTGTTTGTCCCCGGCTCGACGTTAATATCGTTTTTGTTCGTTGCAGTGTTTCCCAACGTGCCGTCGCAGCCAGGAATGCCATGCCAAGGAGAGGACCGTAAGTACACGCTCATTCATTCTCAAAGACCTAAGTCTAATCTAATCCGGCCGCGCGAATGCCAAGAAACGCCAAGGAATCAAATAAAAGGAGCAATAAGCATTAACGGCGCGCCGGCCGACAATGCCGCCATTGAAATTGCGAAGACGCGAAGAAAAGCGGTGGCGGCGCGCGCGCGCGCCCGTTCTTCGTGACGCAAATAAATCCATTTATGCTTTATAGTCTTTGTCGAAGCGCGCATTATGAAATTTCCTCCGCGCAAAATGAAATCGTCAAATCGCCGATTTCCACCACACAAAAAGCACGGAAGAAAAAAATAAACGCTACCGCGCACTACCTCTGCGATTGTACCGACGGAACAAAAACATGAAACGTGACGGATTGATTAAACTGACCTTAGCGAAACCTTGCTAATTGTATGAACAATCGCATGAAGAGTGAAAACACATCGGGATTAATCAATGCCTGGGAGTGTCCGAGTGTCGCGGATTTTGCTCCATTTTTTTTTCTTCTCTATGCTTTTATTTCCGCCCGCACACGCGGAAAAACTTTGCGGTTACTTTGCGCAACTTTGTGGCTGAGGCGAAACGTGAGGGGAATCGCTTATGCAAATGAACACGCGCGCGCGTGCTACTCACTTCCACTATGAGTTATCACCGCAGTTTTACACAAAACTCAATTTCAGAAGTAGAAGTATATTATTAATAACTTTCTTGTGTGTAATAATTTAAGACAATCGTATTGTCACATATCCCATGGACCAAACAAGCTAAATTCTTATAGAAAAACGTATTTATATTGCGAATCTTTATTAATTAATATTATTAATAACTTTTTCTTATCGGAAATTGAAAACAATTGTATTGTTTCTTATCCTATCGGTCAAACAAGCTTCTTTTTATATATAAATGCGTTATTATTGCGTTTTTAACAAATGCGCAATACATTTCGAGCACTATATTGACAATTTTGTGAATCATTAACGTTGATTCCCACCAAAGCAATGTTCGTGTGTATATTATTAATAACGCGTGTTTATTGATAGAGATAATTGAAGTAAACTGTTAGTTTGTTCATTGTTTGGCAATAGGCTAATAGAACATTTTAGATAAGTAACAAATTTGTTTGGTTTCCGATTGGCTGACTCGAATTCCCATTAGTTGTCATTGCCATCGCGCTGCATAAATTTTTTTTGTTAGCAATATCTGTTTCGCTCACGGCCAAACTGATTAGTCACATTGAAGCGCCAATTAAACGCAAGAAAACGCTCGCGCGCACATCGTTACCAGATCAATTCCCCCCGTGATTCATTATTGCGTTTCCATTCGTCTCTCAATGGTATTTTTGCGCTTCCTGCACGCCGCGCCGTTTCCGAAAGATGCGATTGAACACAATGCGAGTGATAACAATGCCGCACGCACGATAAGGCGCATTGAAATCGTATAGAGTTGGGGTGTGTGCGCAGCGCAGCACGTTCACCTCGGCGATTTTTATTATTGCAATACACAAGGAAGTATTCTATTCCAAAGATGTAATCGAGCGAGTGTGTGTGGCGCGGTTTGCTGGACTCATTTGCTCTCCTGTTTGTTTGTGAATTTAACTCTTGTTTACCGCTGCTTTGCACATTGCTCACAACAATGTGTACGAGTGGTTGCGTTCGATTGTTAATTGAAGTTCGGTTTCCTAGACAATGAGTGATATCGAGATGGCTTTAATAGGGTTGCTTGCCCAACTAGGTTAGCGATGATAAGCTGCTCTTGCCGAATGATTCACGCTGCGAATGTGCATATATTGACGCTTGCTGTTGCAGGAAGCATCTATCGGCGCGGCGCACGACGTTGGAGGAAATTGTACCGTGTCAACGGACATATTTTCCAGGCTAAACGCTTTAATAGAGTAAGTGTGCCCCGATTGATTGAATTCTGCTGACTTAAATATAAATTAATTTGCTGTTTTTGTCACAGCGGGCATTCTGCGCGTTCTGCGAGGATCGCATTTGGGGTCTGGGCAGACAAGGCTTCAAATGCATCCAATGTAAGTTACTGGTGCACAAGAAGTGCCACAAGGCTGTAAAGAAAGCCTGCAACAACGAAGTGGTTGACCCTGTGACGCGTGATGGGCACCACAATGGCGAGAATATCCTGCAACAGATACAACACCAGCAGATGCCGTCGGAGGCCGCTAATCAGGAATTGGTTAGCGATTACATGCCAGACATCACCGGCGATTCGGTGCCTGTGGAAGACCCCACCTCCGATGACTTGGAGCCTGGTTCACAGCGGCAGTACTCGCTTAAAGACTTCGAGCTCATTCGAGTGATCGGACGTGGTAGCTACGCCAAGGTACTAATGGTGGAACTGCGCAAAACGCGCCGTATTTACGCGATGAAAGTGATCAAGAAGGCGCTCGTCACCGACGACGAGGACATCGACTGGGTGCAGACTGAGAAACATGTCTTTGAGACGGCGTCGAATCACCCATTCCTCGTCGGGCTGCACTCGTGCTTCCAGACGCCATCACGGCTTTTCTTCGTCATTGAATTCGTACGCGGCGGTGACCTAATGTTTCACATGCAGCGCCAGCGCCGCCTGCCCGAGGAACACGCGCGTTTCTACGCCGCCGAAATTTCACTGGCGCTAAACTTCTTGCATAGCAAGGGAATCATCTATCGTGACCTGAAGCTTGACAATGTTCTGTTGGATCATGAGGGTCATATTAAACTGACAGATTATGGTATGTGTAAGGAGGGTATTCGATCAGGGGACACCACGTCGACGTTCTGTGGTACACCTAATTACATTGCTCCTGAGATTCTGCGCGGAGAAGATTATGGTTTCTCAGTGGACTGGTGGGCGCTTGGTGTCTTACTCTACGAAATGCTTGCGGGTCGCTCACCGTTCGACATTGCTGGTGCGTCTGAAAATCCCGATCAGAATACGGAGGACTACCTCTTCCAGGTGATCCTCGAGAAAACAATTCGTATTCCGCGTTCGTTGAGCGTGAAGGCAGCGAATGTCCTCAAGGGTTTCCTCAATAAAAACCCAGCGGATCGTTTGGGCTGCCATAGTGCGGATTCCTTCGCAGAGATACAGGGACATCAATTTTTCAAGAGCATCGATTGGGAACTGGTAAGTTACGGTGTTGTTTTCCTCTCAATTTCAGAAAACGTTGTTTGCGGCTCTTGAAAAGAATAAAATCTGGGTTTTTAATGCAAATATTTGTTCCGGTAGTTGTTTGCGCGTCAAATAACAGCGCCGTTTCTGCCGCAAACACAAAACGTGATTGAGAACTTCGACGAGCAGTTTACGCTGGAGTCTGTGTCTTTCACACTTGACAACAAGTAACCTGAGACTTTTGTTTGTGATAGGCGCTAGTTGAGTAGTTACTAAGTAAGCTAGTAATGTTGTATGTATTTCTAGTTGGAGCAGAAGCAAGTGCCACCGCCTTACAAGCCTCGTTTAGATTCGGATCGCGATCTGGCCAACTTCCCACCGGAATTCACTGATGAACCCGTACATTTGACTCCTGACGATGCGTACGTTCATTTCTTTCACATTCGCTTCATAATGCTTTTTTTTTTCATTATCGATTTGTTGTGGATAATGTTGTATAATTGTATTTTTTGTGTTTTAATAGGCGTATTATCGAGAAAATCGATCAGTCTGAATTCGAGGGCTTCGAATACGTGAACCCGCTGCTGATGTCGCTGGAGGATTGTGTGTGACCCGACCCGCTGCCTCCGCAGTGCCGCCTACATCCGAACAACAACTCTTACACTTTCGACCTGGATCACCTGAACCTGACGCACCTCAAACACCTGAAGTTGCACACCACCTACCTGTCGTCGCTACCGATGCATCCGCTACCGCCGTTGCCACCGTTACCGCCACCGCCTAGCCGCTATCCGCCTCCGTTGTTTCCGCCACCGCCTCCGCCGCTCGACGCCGACTACTACGAGTACTACGACCTGCCCGTTCATCCGGAGGCGGGCGACGGCAGCACGGCCACGCACCAGCTGCCTGCGCAATCGGTGCCGGTGGCTGTCGACGCCAGCGATGCTGACAAACGGCTGGACGCCATGCGCCCTTCCAAATCCATTCTGCAGAACATCTTTTGCCTGCCGCTCAACTAATTCTTCCGCGGCGCAAATATGAAAATAATAATTAATTAAAGAAAAATACAAAAAAATGATAGCGAAGCTCATGCTGATCATGCTGATGCCATGATGATAAAGCAAAACAAATGAATTGATTATAAATTACTAGGCTCTTATTCGTCAAACTAACAATGTGCATCTTTTAAAATGAGCAGTTTGAATACTAAACACTAACTAAAGCAGGTTGCACACTACGGCAGCATTTTAGAAAGGATGAAAAATTAACAATTCAACGGCACTGATAAATTAATTAACAAGAAAATATATATATACATAAATATATATATATATATATATAATTACTATACATATAGGTACATATTGATTATATTATTGTAAGGAAATTATAAACAAAAATCAACCTAAGTATCGACGATTGATTGAATTTATAATGTTAGAGGATTATTTATTGATTAGGCACAGTTTTTTAATGAAAGCGTCGGAGAAAAACCACTTACTAAGCATAAAAGCATAAAATTATTAATATTGTTAAGTATATATACCTATTTATTATGGTGAAATTAAACATTTATGTAGTTGCTATACGCGGACAAGAACGATGTCATCGGCGAGAACAAACCTGGAAGAGACAAGTATTAATTCGCATTCCAATTTCTAGATTAATTCAAAATATTTAAATAATTGTTAAGTATTTTTACGATTGATTCATGAATAATTCGCATTTATATTATTACTGTTTCTTCATATATATTATTTTGTTTTGATTAAACTGTTTCTGAGACTTGACAATGAAAGCATGTATTACTTAGTAGTAACGACAAATCATTCCGATTGGCTACGGTTGAAGTTGGTAATTGTAAAGGTTTAGAAATGTTTTACGAATCGTACGACGAAAGCCGTTGCTCATTCAGTTGACTCTGTTGATGAAGACACTCAATATATATATATATATTACTGTTTGCTTCGAGATTGCGCCGACACAATCGATTTGATTGATTCCCCAGCGGGCCCTGTAGATGATGATTTGATTGTTTTGCAGTTATATATTCTATATATTTATGATGTTTGATGTGAAAAAAATACAAACTTAAATGGGGCGGTAAACGTGTCGGTCGATTGCGACTGTGTATGAATTCTAAATGAGTGTAATTTGTCCTATTGATACAGAAAAAACGAAAAATGTAAAAAATATTATCCGTATACAAATGAGACAAATGAATATTATGTTGATTTGTAATAAATTTCACTTATTACGCATTTATTCTCTACTTTCTTATCCTGTTTGGTTTTGAATTGCTGCCTGCTGGTTTGTTTTGACTGCCCGCTACCCGACTTTGACTGTCCGCCAGGCTGCCTAGACTGTTTGTTTTGCGGCGCAGTTTTGCGAGATTTTTGCACCTAATTAGATCATTAATTGTTTTATTCTGTTGCATAATAACATCAAACAGCAAATAAACGGAAATTTAATTAAATTATCGTGCAAAAACGATGCGCAACTGTGAAAACATCATTGTTTTTGTAAACTCTGCAATCTTCCTGTGTTCGGACAACATCGTTACGATTCGGATCACGCATTCAAACCACGCATTCTTGTCGTATGAGACTTCGCTGCTCAGCCGTTTAACGGTCGCCGCTGTGTTTTGATCACGTTCTTTATAACCGCCACGGAGGTGGTTTCTCCAAGTGCACGTTATAAAACCTCATCAACATACAAAACATTTAGCATCGGATCCATCAACAAAATGTCAGGAATGTCTGTGAATCATTCAGTGAAATGTGGAACAAAGGACAACTCAATGTACGAGTTCGATCGTGCAGTGCGCGATTTAAAATTGAATCGTTCAGATAAAACCTGCGCTGCCGTCAATAGACACCTAAAGGTAATGCATTTTTGTTTCCTAACTCTCATTCTGAACACTTTCATTCATCACTTTACATTTTAGTTTCTCAGCAATGCAACAGACACGTCCACATTCGACCCAAACACTGCTGTCACCTCCGAATTTTTCTCAAACCTAATCGAACTCTTTACCATTCTCGATCCACCATCGCCAGTGCTATGGAACTGTGTGAACGTCCTCAAAACCGCTTGCAAAAACCAGGCGACTCATTCGGCTTTAATCTCCACCTATCAATTTGTCCCATACTTGTCTCAAATGCTAGGTGATCACTTGCAACCAGCTGAAAAGATTTCCCTCCTAGGAGTCTTACAAGACCTAACATGTGGAATCAACAAGAACTGCTTTGTTCCCAATCTTCACCACATGATCACCACACTCTGCAGATGGATTCAGGCCAAGGAATCAGACCAGATTGTATTGCTATCATTGGGAGTAATTGTAAATGTCTGTCTGAACAATCAACCGGCGCAGTACATCTTCGCGAATGCGATGGATGTGCGAACATTGTCGAGATATTTACTCACATTAACCGATCACAAGATTGTTACGTGTGTGGCAAAGATGTTCATCATTCTGGACCAGATGCACGGCGTAGTTCCGCAGAAAACTTTAGGTCAATTATTGGATTGTACGCTGCGAAGCATAAATGATGCTATTATCGTGAAGGACCATCTTGACCTGCGCCAACACATCGAATTCTACCTCAACTTGAAGTCTGATAGTGATGATGTACGGCGTATTATTGCTACATTCGCCGATTTTCCCGAATTGATCAAAGATTTACTCTGTACGATGAATCGGTGCAAAGAAAGCAGTAACGATGAAGGAATGTCGGAATGTACAAGCCTTGTGTTCCGTTTTTTCTGTTCGATTCTTGAGTGTAACTTGCCTTGTATTGATGATTTGTATAAAGTTATGGCGAAATTAGCATTGGACTGGATCCGGCATGAATCCGTCGCGCCTGACGCGCTTTGTTTGCTCAAAACAGTACTGTTAACGTCAACAGACTCTTCCAAGTTAATTACCGAGATGATCATGCCTGAAATATATAACTTTACGCCGGATTTTCACCTGGTTAATGCACGAATGAGTATTGTTATGTGTACAATGTACTATCACGTGTTTGATTTGTTGAAAATCTTTTTACGGGGAAATTCAAGCAGGACGCAAGTATTGGAACACCTCAAAAAGGAACACTTCGAGAAGATGTTTGAAACAATTGTGAATAATACGAATGAATCGGGCGATGTGAGCAAATTTAGTCCTCAAGCTTTAGATATGTATATCAACGCAATGAGTGTTATCAGTGTCGTTGGGTTGTCTTGCAATGATTGGGGGCAGTTCTTACATGTGTTGTTTGAGCAGAAACCAGTGCAGACCGTGCTGGCGCTTGGGTTGACAACGGGTGACCAACAAAGACGAATCAATGCTTTAGAAGTGATCAGCCGGAATAATGTACAACTTTCTAAATCTGTCGGTGATATTCTCAATGAAATTTCTCAACCAACGCCAGTGGTACAGAGCAATCATATAAAATTTAGTCCTATATTAAATAGTAACACATCCGCAAATACTGTTAAATTTGATGAAATCATGCGTGTTCTCACAGAAATGAAAGCTGGAAAACAGTTGAGTGTGGATGTATGTGATGTGATGGATTTATACGAATATAGACTGAGTATTAGTGCACAATCCCAGCAGACATTGACTGCGTATGCGGAGGCGGCGGCTACTTATAGTAATCAATTACAACAACAAATCACGCAGTTGAATGAAGTACAGCAACGCACACAACAAATGCATTTACGCTCGGAACACATGCGGAAAGATGCAAAGAAGAAAATTGACGCGCTTGAAGCACAGATAAGAGAATTACGAATTGAGCGTAAGCTGCGCGCACAATTACAAGCTGAGCAGCAGGAGATGGAGGCAGAGATGCAGAAAAGAAACAAGCAGATCACTGAGTTGATTGCCAAACAGGAGGAGGTCGTTGCCGAGCGTGATAATGCGTTGTTCAAGGTAATTCCGCACCTGAAAGAGTCACTTATGAAGAGGGAGAAAGTTAGTCAAAGGCAGGAGGATAACATCAAAGCGCTGCAATCTGAAGTCAATGCGGCTAAGAGGGTAATCATATTTGTTTAAACTATTTCATTAGGTTTCCTATTAATTGTTTGTTTGATTTATTATAGAATCTGCAAGAAAAGGAGCTGGAACTGAAGAGTACCGAAGAAGAACTTCGCGCAGCGCATGATGATCTCAATCGGGCAAAAGATCTTTCTGAAGAAAGAGGTACATTGCTTGATGCTATAATGAAGCTTACAAATGCTAAGAAGTAGATACTTAGTTTAACGCTTTCAATATTTTGAGACTTATTTTATTTACAATGTATATTTATTTAAAAGACGTGCAAGAAACCTGAAGCCATTTAGCAAATTAAATCTTGCTGTTTTTATTTTCCAATACAGCTTTCTTTAATCAATATTTTCCTTGATCATGGAAGGAAATACCACTTTGCCTGGAAAACACACCATATATTTTGTACCAATGGAGCAAATCATATCTTGTGCTCATATGATACTTAAGAGTTCCTTAATAGCTTACGCATCATCCCAACCCTTTCAACCATCTACAAGTGTTCTAAAAACGGCTTACAAATCGACATTATTTTCGTATTTCAAAAAGTTGGCTTAGATAACAGCCTAAATGTTAATTGACAATATGTATTGCATACAAAAGTAGAAACACGTGGAAACATTAATTATTGATTAATTGTTGATAATAGTCTGAATTATGGGACTAGTATCTGTCGCATTTCATAGATGGCACTAGGATGCACTAAAAATCATAAAATCGAGTTATAAGGCTTATTTTTATATTTATCGACAAACGTGGGCACGAGAATAGTTTTGTATACAATGCTTTTTATCGCATGTGTCTCCGCGCGCTGTCTCCTCTCGCCGCATCTACTTCGTTGCATGCAGCGTAAGCCTAGTTCGGTTTTGTTCGCATGTATCGTGCTCACAAGGTCGCATGCCGTCGACTCGCCGGCTTTGCGCACCTCTTGCATTCTTATCATATACTGTCCCGTCGTTGTTTACGCAGTTTCGGCATGCACTATCGGTCGGTTGCAGCCAGTTTCAAGCCGGTTGCTAGTTAATTCAGTCGTGCTTTGAGAGACTTATATCGTTTATTCGGACTTCAATATTCTAAATTTGTGTTATACTCGAAGATCAATCGACTAATTATTTGTACTTTGCGACTATAGTAATTTGTTTAATGTTCGGAAATGCCGGTTTTTGATCGCGTTTGTTATGTATATTACAAGTCACGTGATAGTGGATTTGATAACATTCTTCACTCGGCGTTGTGTTTGGTGTCGGCTACTAAATTAATCAGATATATATCGCCCCAATGTTGATTCTCATCTTTAAGAATGCTCCATCAGGCTCGTGTAAGTATCTTTTAACTAAACAGCACAGATTGTTTATTTTGTATTGATTGTTAATTATAACATAATTCAATTGTATGAAATATTTTTGTTTCAATTTATGTTTACGTTTAGGTACTGCACTCGTTGTGCCTGGCAGTCCGATAAGCTGTACACTGGCAAGTTTATAATTCAATTATATTTTTCGAACATTTACATTTGTTGTTTATAAACAAGTTTTCTATTTATTACGTACTACCTACTTGAGACACAAATTAGACGGACACAATTAGGAGATATTCGCAATTCAAAAAAGGGCAAAAAAGGTAAAATTGCACTTTTAGTTACGTTTTTAGTCCTTTTATCCCCCGAAATTAAATTATTTTAAATTCGTATCTAATGCAAAATTTTCCAATCTTTCATAACTTTCAATCCGTTGGTCGCTATCGCTTTTAGTTTAAAAGATATGCACTCTTTTAGTTTACGAGATATTCGCGATTGAATAAAATGGGCAAAAATTGCAAAATGTCACTTTTTAGCACTTTTGGTCGCGTTTTTCGACTTTTTACTATTGGAAATATAGTTATTTTATATTTTTATCTGATAGAGAATTTTCCAATCTTTCATAATCAGCAATTCGTTGGTTGATATCGCGTTTAGTTTAAGAGATATGAATTTTTAAAAATCGTCGAAAAAAAGTATCAAGCACCCCCCCTTGGCAATTTTTTTCTTAAGAATGAAAATTTCATCTCTCAGATTTCCGTTTTAACTATCCTATCTGATAGAGAATAGTCCGTAGATTAAAACGCTGCGATCAGATCTTAATTATCTCTTTTAGTTTACGAGATATTCGCGATTGAATAAAATAGGCAAAAATTGCAAAATGTCACTTTTTAGCACTTTTAGTCGCGTTTTTCGACCTTTTACTATTGGAAATATAGTTATTTTATATTTTTATCTGATAGAGAATTTTCCAATCTTTCATAATCAGCAATTCGTTGGTTGCTATCGCTTTTAGTTTAAGAGATATTAATTATTGAAAATCGTCGATAAAAAGTATCAAGCACCCCCCTTTGGCAATTTTTTTCTTAAGAATGAAAATTTCATCTCTCAGATTTCCGTTTTAACTATCCTATCTGATAGAGATTAGTCCGTAGATTAAGACGCTGCGATCAGATCTTAATTATCTCTCTTAGTTTACGAGATATTCGCGATTGAATAAAATGGGCAAAAATTGCAAAATGTCACTTTTTAGCACTTTTAGTCGCGTTTTTCGACGTTTTACTATTGGAAATATAGTTATTTTATATTTTTATCTGATAGAGAATTTTCCAATCTTTCATAATCAGCTATTCGTTGGTTGCTATCGCTTTTAGTTTAAGAGATATGAATTTTTAAAAATCGTCGAAAAAAAGTATCAAGCACCCCCCCTTGGCAATTTTTTTCTTAAGAATGAAAATTTCATCTCTCAGATTTCCGTTTTAACTATCCTATCTGATAGAGATAAGTCCGTAGATTAAGACGCTGCGATCAGATCTTAATTATCTCTTTTAGTTTACGAGATATTCGCGATTAAAGAAAATTGGCAAAAATTGAAAAATGTCACTTTTTAGCACTTTTAGCCGCGTTTTTCGATCCTTTCCTATTGAAAATATTATTATTTTATATTTTTATCTGATAGAGAATTTTCCAATCTTTCATAATCAGCAATTCGTTGGTTGATATCGCGTTTAGTTTAAGAGATATGAATTTTTAAAAATCGTCGAAAAAAAGTATCAAGCACCCCCCCTTGGCAATTTTTTTCTTAAGAATGAAAATTTCATCTCTCAGATTTCCGTTTTAACTATCCTATCTGATAGAGAATAGTCCGTAGATTAAAACGCTGCGATCAGATCTTAATTATCTCTCTTAGTTTACGAGATATTCGCGATTGAATAAAATAGGCAAAAATTGCAAAATGTCACTTTTTAGCACTTTTAGTCGCGTTTTTCGACCTTTTACTATTGGAAATATAATTATTTTATATTTTTATCTGATAGAGAATTTTCCAATCTTTCATAATCAGCAATTCGTTGGTTGCTATCGCTTTTGGTTTAAGAGATATTAATTATTGAAAATCGTCGATAAAAATTATCAAGCACCCCCCCTTGGCAATTTTTTTCTTAAGAATGAAAATTTCATCTCTCAGATTTCCGTTTTAACTATCCTATCTGATAGAGATTAGTCCGTAGATTAAGACGCTGCGATCAGATCTTAATTATCTCTTTTAGTTTACGAGATATTCGCGATTGAATAAAATGGACAAAAATTGCAAAATGTCACTTTTTAGCACTTTTAGTCGCGTTTTTCGACCTTTTACTATTGGAAATATAATTATTTTATATTTTTATCTGATAGAGAATTTTCCAATCTTTCATAATCAGCAATTCGTTGGTTGCTATCGCTTTTAGTTTAAGAGATATGAATTTTGAAAATCGTCGAAAAAAAGTATCAAGCACCCCCTTGGCAATTTTTTCTTAAGAATGAAAATTTCATCTCTCAGATTTCCGTTTTAACTATCCTATCTGATAGAGATAAGTCCGTAGATTAAGACGCTGCGATCAGATCTTAATTATCTCTTTTAGTTTACGAGATATTCGCGATTGAAAAAAATGAGCAAAAATTGAAAAATGTCACTTTTTAGCACTTTTAGTCGCGTTTTTCGACCTTTTACTATTGGAAATATAATTATTTTATATTTTTATCTGATAGAGAATTTTCCAATCTTTCATAATCAGCAATTCGTTGGTTGCTATCGCTTTTAGTTTAAGAGATATGAATTATTGAAAATCGTCGAAAAAAAGTATCAAGCACCCCCCCTTGGCAATTTTTTCTTAAGAATGAAAATTTCATCTCTCAGATTTCCGTTTTAACTATCCTATCTGATAGAGAATAGTCCGTAGATTAAGACGCTGCGATCAGATCTTAATTATCTCTTTTAGTTTACGAGATATTCGCGATTGAATAAAATGGGCAAAAATTGCAAAATGTCACTTTTTAGCACTTTTAGTCGCGTTTTTCGACCTTTTACTATTGGAAATATAATTATTTTATATTTTTATCTGATAGAGAATTTTCCAATCTTTAATAATCAGCAAGTCGTTCGTTACTATTGCTTTGAGTTTAAGAGATATTAATTATTGAAAATCGTTGAAAAAAAGTATCAAGCACCCCCCCTTGGCAATTTTTTCTTAAGAATCAAAATTTTATCTCTCAGATTTCCGTTTTAACTATCCTATCTTATAGAGAATAGTCCGTAGATTAAGACGCTGCGATCAGATCTTAATTATCTCTTTTAGTTTACGAGATATTCGCGATTGAATAAAATGGGCAAAAATTGCAAAATGTCACTTTTTAGCACTTTTAGTCGCGTTTTTCGACCTTTTACTATTGGAAATATAATTATTTTATATTTTTATCTGATAGAGAATTTTCCAATCTTTCATAATCAGCAATTCGTTGGTTGCTATCGCTTTTAGTTTAAGAGATATGAATTTTTAAAAATCGTCGAAAAAAAGTATCAAGCACCCCCCCTTGGCAATTTTTTCTTAAGAATGAAAATTTCATCTCTCAGATTTCCGTTTTAACTATCCTATCTGATAGAGAATAGTCCGTAGATTAAGACGCTGCGATCAGATCTTAATTATCTCTTTTAGTTTACGAGATATTCGCGATTGAATAAAATGGGCAAAAATTGCAAAATGTCACTTTTTAGCACTTTTAGTCGCGTTTTTCGACCTTTTACTATTGGAAATATAATTATTTTATATTTTTATCTGATAGAGAATTTTCCAATCTTTCATAATCAGCAATTCGTTGGTTGCTATCGCTTTTAGTTTAAGAGATATTAATTATTGAAAATCGTCGAAAAAAAGTATCAAGCACCCCCCCTTGGCAATTTTTTCTTAAGAATGAAAATTTCATCTCTCAGATTTCCGTTTTAACTATCCTATCTGATAGAGAATAGTCCGTAGATTAAGACGCTGCGATCAGATCTTAATTATCTCTTTTAGTTTACGAGATATTCGCGATTGAAAAAAATGAGCAAAAATTGAAAAATGTCACTTTTTAGCACTTTTAGTCGCGTTTTTCGACCTTTTACTATTGGAAATATAATTATTTTATATTTTTATCTGATAGAGAATTTTCCAATCTTTCATAATCAGCAATTCGTTGGTTGCTATCGCTTTTAGTTTAAGAGATATTAATTATTGAAAATCGTCGAAAAAAAGTATCAAGCACCCCCCCTTGGCAATTTTTTCTTAAGAATGAAAATTTCATCTCTCAGATTTCCGTTTTAACTATCCTATCTGATAGAGATAAGTCCGTAGATTAAGACGCTGCGATGAGATCTTAATTATCTCTCTTAGTTTACGAGATATTCGCGATTGAATAAAATGGGCAAAAATTGCAAAATCTCACTTTTTAGCACTTTTAGTCGCGTTTTTCGACCTTTTACTATTGGAAATATAATTATTTTATATTTTTATCTGATAGAGAATTTTCCAATCTTTAATAATCAGCAAGTCGTTCGTTACTATTGCTTTGAGTTTAAGAGATATTAATTATTGAAAATCGTTGAAAAAAAGTATCAAGCACCCCCCCTTGGCAATTTTTTCTTAAGAATCAAAATTTTATCTCTCAGATTTCCGTTTTAACTACCCTATCATGTTGAGAATAGTCCATAGATTAAGACGCTGCGATCAGATCTTAATTATCTCTTTTAGTTTACGAGATATTCGCGATTGAAAAAAATGAGCAAAAATTGAAAAATGTCACTTTTTAGCACTTTTAGTCGCGTTTTTCGACCTTTTACTATTGGAAATATAATTATTTTATATTTTTATCTGATAGAGAATTTTCCAATCTTTCATAATCAGCAATTCGTTGGTTGCTATCGCTTTTAGTTTAAGAGATATGAATTTTTGAAAATCGTCGAAAAAAAGTATCAAGCACCCCCCCTTGGCAATTTTTTCTTAAGAATGAAAATTTCATCTCTCAGATTTCCGTTTTAACTATCCTATCTGATAGAGATTAGTCCGTAGATTAAGACGCTGCGATCAGATCTTAATTATCTCTTTTAGTTTACGAGATATTCGCGATTGAATAAAATGGGCAAAAATTGCAAAATGTCACTTTTTAGCACTTTTAGTCGCGTTTTTCGACCTTTTACTATTGGAAATATAATTATTTTATATTTTTATCTGATAGAGAATTTTCCAATCTTTCATAATCAGCAATTCGTTGGTTGCTATCGCTTTTAGTTTAAGAGATATGAATTTTTAAAATCGTCGAAAAAAGTATCAAGCACCCCCTTGGCAATTTTTTTCTTAAGAATGAAAATTTCATCTCTCAGATTTCCGTTTTAACTATCCTATCTGATAGAGAATAGTCCGTAGATTAAGACGCTGCGATCAGATCTTAATTATCTCTTTTAGTTTACGAGATATTCGCGATTGAATAAAATAGGCAAAAATTGCAAAATGTCACTTTTTAGCACTTTTAGTCGCGTTTTTCGACCTTTTACTATTGGAAATATAGTTATTTTATATTTTTCTCTGATAGAGAATTTTCCAATCTTTCATAATCAGCAATTCGTTGGTTGCTATCGCTTTTAGTTTAAGAGATATTAATTATTGAAAATCGTCGATAAAAAGTATCAAGCACCCCCCCTTGGCAATTTTTTTCTTAAGAATGAAAATTTCATCTCTCAGATTTCCGTTTTAACTATCCTATCTGATAGAGAATAGTCCGTAGATTAAGACGCTGCGATCAGATCCTATTTATCTCTTTTAGTTTACGAGATATTCGCGATTCAATAAAATGGGCGTTGCGCTAGGAATTGTAGTTTGTTTGTGACAACTCGCGAACGCGGTGTTACAATTAGTTCGAAATAATTTTCCCAGATGTTGAATTTAATTCTGTATCCCCCTGTATCGAAATTTATTGCAAGAAATTTCTGTAACGCAAGTTATATTGAAAGTTGTGTGTGTGCACCGTAGTACTCGTTGCGCTAGGAATTATAGTTTGTTTGTTATAACTCGCGAACGCGGTGCTACAATTAGTTCGAAATAATTTTTCTAGATGGTGAATTTAATTCTGTATCCTCCTGTATAGAAATTTATTGCAAGAAAATTCCGTATCGCGAGTTATATTGAAAGATGGGTGAGTGCGCCGTCGTACTCGTTGCGCGAGTAATTGTAGTTTGTTTGTTATAACTCGCGAACGCGGTGTTACAATTAGTTCGAATTGATTTTCCTAGATGCTGAATTTAATTCTGTATCCCCCTGTATAGAAATTTGTTGCAAGAAAATTTCGTAACGCGAGTTATATTGAAAGTTGTGTGTGTGCGCAGTAGTACCCGTTGCGCTAGGAATTGTAGTTTTATTACGCAGCTTTAAATTTGAACATCACGACTAATATAGGTTTGATTCTAGGAGTCTCTACTACCGCCACCTTCGTACGGTGCCTTGAATGGGAGTCACTACAGTCGCTGCCTTCGTACGGTGCCCTAAATGGGACTTTTTATGGATCCTGTAAGTATAATTAATTTAATTTATGTATATGTATATTTCATTTACATATATACCTATTTTCCAGTTGGATGAAGCATTGGCAATTCCTGAGATGCCCAAGTTTATCAATAAGGAGCAAGTTGAGAGATTCCGTGGTACTGGTAGAGTGCGTATTGAGGATGATGTTTTGACTACTGAAAATGGATGTGTCAACTGGACATTTTAGTCCAGTGGGTATTTTAACCCAGAACGTATGTTATATGTTGGCAATTTATAATATTTTATATTTTACTATTCTGTTATTCTTCCTGATTTATAGTGTCCACGAAATTGAAGATTGGATTGCCGGTGTTGATGATGATTCCAAACACGATTGAATGAATTTACAACATTTTGAAGCTGATATTGATATCATATTATGTATCTAGTTAAATGGTATAAAAGGGCATTATATAATTGCATATTATTATCCTGTTTTCATGCATGTATTGTTAAAAATGCTGTATATATTGAGGAATTGAGTTTGTGATTCTACATGTTTGAATAAAATTGTTGTTTTATATTTTTGACTATAAATTTTTATTGTTTTATTTGTTCCAAACGGAGAACATAGCTGGCAACATCGTTACTCTACATATAAGAAATAGTTCAAAATCAATTTTATATTTTATCAATATTAATTTAAAAACGGTATCACTAGTGTCATCTATCCACGAGTAACTAAACTACGCCGCTATTCAAGATTGCAGGAGATTCTACCTACTGCACTTTCTGCGATCCTAATATTCAAAAGAATTTTGTTAACAATTTCAATGGATTTCTCGACAAAATTTGTCGAGAAATTTGCTGAAATGTTGCTGCTCATCAGTCTGTGGTATTAGGAACGCAGAAAGTGGACATAGGCAGTTCCCGCCAAATTATTATATATATTATTTCAATTTGTTTCGGTACATATTCAATTTGTTCTATAAAATTGCAAATAGGGCCTAAGCAGTTAATGCTTGTAAAAAAGTTACTAAAATAATTGTTGTAGAATTAAATTGTTTATCAGAATTCGAAAACTGAATTCAAAAAATCCAACTTTCAATTTTCATCATAAAAAAGAGAAATCTTTTGCCTTTTTTATAACAAAATCTTTTTCTTAAAAATTTTTTGTGCCATTTTGATGATTTTTCAATAATGATGCCACCTTGTAGAGAATTTTTCAAGGATCAAGATTATGTAGTTCATAATTTTCTAGCCCTCTTAGTTGTCGAGATCCTCCAGAATTCGAAAACCAAATTTGCTGAATAAAGATTTTTAAACATTCATTTTACCCGCCATTACTAGCTACCGCCTCTTTTATTTACATACCTCCTCACCCTTTCTGCTATCCGAATACCAAAACCCGAGTTTCGACTGTTTCGAGTCCAAATTTTGTGTCATTTTGCCTCCCAGAGTCGACAAAATAAAGATTGAATATTAGGAACGCAGAAAGTTGAGGAGGCTGATAAAGTTTTGGAGGTAACTAGTAATATGCTGCCTCCAGTGGCGACGGGCCAAAGCTCAAAACTTTCGGTTGTTGTAGTTTCTTATTGATAGATGGCACTAGCATGCACTTTTCAAAATAAATGGTTTAAGGGAAAGTTAAATATGTGATCAGTTAGAAATAAGAGAATTAATTATAATTAGAAAAACTTAAAAATATTCTTTATTAAAGAAAACACACAAGCATACATTTTGGGAGTCAATTTGTGTAATAATAACAAAAGTTATTCAAAATAATGATAAGGAAATTTAATACTAACAATCTGATGCAAGAATGGTCCTTCTATGATGTCAGATTCTGGTGCAAAGTCCCTAAAACAAGCAAAAATTAGTCCTGCGAACATAAAAATTCGATTTTGAGGTTCAATTCGTGAGATAATCAGAAAAATTATTTAGGAAAATGATAAAAAAATTAATTACTTACAATCTGATGCAAGAATGGTCCTCCTACGATATAAGACTCAGGTGCAAAATCCCTAAAACAAGCAAAAATTAGTCCTTCGAAACACAAAAATGCAATTCTAGGGGTTCATTCGTGAGATAATCAAAATATTTATTTAGGAGAATGATAGAGAAATTTATTACTTACAATTTGCTGTAAGAATGGTTCTTCTACGATATCGGACTCATGTGGAAAATCCCTAAAACAATCAAAAATTAGTCCTTCGCATCACAAAAATGCAATTTTAAGGGTTAATTCGTGAGATAATCACGAAATTTATTGATGAAAACGATAGAGAAATTTAATACTTACTATCTGCTGAAAGAATGGTTCTTCTACGATATCGGACTCAGGTGGAAAATCCCTAAAACCATCAAAAATTAGTCCTTCGCAACACAAAAATGCAATTTTAAGGGTTAATTCGTGAGATAATCACGAAATTTATTGATGAAAACGATAGAGAAATGAAATATTTACCATCTGCTGAAAGAATGGTTCTTCTACGATAACGGACTCAGGTGGAAAATCCCTAAAACCATCAAAAATTAGTCCTTCGCAACACAAAAATGCAATTTTAAGGGTTAATTCGTGAGATAATCACGAAATTTATTGATGAAAACGATAGAGAAATTTAATACTTACTATCTGCTGAAAGAATGGTTCTTCTACGATATCGGACTCAGGTGGAAAATCCCTAAAACCATCAAAAATTAGTCCTTCGCAACACAAAAATGCAATTTTAAGGGTTAATTCGCGAGATAATCAAAACATTTATTTAGGAGAATGATAGAGAAATTTAATACTTACAATCTAATGCAAGAATGGTTCGTCTACGGTATCGGATTCAGGTGGAAAATCCCTAAAACAATAAAAAATTAGTGTTTCGAATCACAAAATTGACATTTTTGTTAGTTTCTCTGAAAATATTTGTCGAGATTATTTGAATAAGCTCTTTGCTTCTTGAAATTAGATCTTAAAGTAAAACCTAGTGGTTATATTTCCCACTGTTAACAATAAACTGCTTCGAAAGCTACAACTACAGCCTAATTAAATCAAAGAAAAAGTTACACAACAAATTTTATTTTCAGCGTGATATCACAGAGTAAAAAACCGAAATTAAACTAATCATAGCCATTTAGATACATGACTATTGGTAAACAAAAAAAAATTGTATTTATTCCCACTTTGCCTTGACTCGCTCGCTGTACGAATCGGTTTCGGCTTCAACCGGCTCTTCAGGTTGCGCGGGTACGTCATCCACTGCGGTTTCAACCTTAGGCTTGTTGGGAGCCAACAATTGATGTAGGGTCACCACGGCGACCACAATGGACATAATGAACGAAATTCTGTAAATCGAGACCACGCCGTACACCAATACAAGAACCGCTGCCAAATACACGACATAAGAGATCAGCCGGAAGTATTTCCTCTCAACTCGTGGAAACTCTAGTTGCCATAGCGGTGCTGCACAAGCACTTAAGATCAATGCCGGCAGGAATACTGGATCTGGTATCAATGATTTATTATACCTGAAAATTTCCAAATTCAATTGCAATGTTGCTATGACATAAAGAAGTGCACAACTTACTTGTAGTTTCTAGCCCAGGTTAATACCGATGGGATGTTCAATACTGCAACTGAAAGGTAAAGCAGAAACATGGTGAAATGAAAGAAGATTTCATTGTTCTCCATGGCTTCTTTAATCCATCCAATCCCAAAACTCAATTTGTCGGCAAACGACTGCTCGTCAACAGAGCTATCCCTGTCGGTGGTGCTGCCATCCTGATTGGCGTTCTCAGACATTTGATTGTTGAGCAGCTCGACTAATTTATTACCGTCCATCTTGGTCACTTTTTCTGGTTCTCCTGGCGTCAGAACTTCAAACTCCATTGGTTTCTCGAAACCGTCGTCGTCATCCTCTGTTTCTTCTAGGAGAACTTCTGGTTGATCACCAGACGAACCAGCATTCGCTCCCGATGTTCCCGGTTCTACCTGATCTTCAGAAGAAGGCAGAGCTAATTTTTCGTCAGTTTCAATACTCAAAGCTCCTTGATTTGCTGGCTGCTTCTTTTTAAACCAGCGTTCTTTAACTTTTCGCCAAATCCTATCCCTTAGCTTGTACGCAATTGATTTAGCCACGCCCTTAACAAGATCCTCAATCAAATCTTGAGCCATTTGCGTCAACTTCAGAAAATAGAAAATCGTTGCCAAACAAATAGCCAATCCCCCACAAGTCGAATAGCTCATCGCAATCAGCACGCAAGCGACAACGCCAGGAATCTTATCAAAAGCTTTGAGCAAATGATCCGTCCAACCAATACGACCTGCAAACGTCTTGGTGAAGAATTTTACACCAAGTTTGTGAAACGTCGACTCGAAGCAGATCAAAGAGATGGACAGCCCAAGTGCGAGCAACCAAACAATGCCAACACTGACCGAGTACATTACTAGTGGAAGCAGGAGAATATCGATGTTCTCATCGACAAGGATATGACTGTCGGAGGGTCCAATGATTGGAGCATCGAATGCGAGCAGACGCGAGAGGATCTTCACACTCGTCACCACATAATACGGCTTGACGCCCTCTTTCAGCGCGGTGAAAATGAACGAGCAGCGTTCTTTCGTCTCGATATTGCTCAATTGGCCACGCAACGTCAACAGAATCACAGCGGCTACGTTCGCAATCAACATTGGCATGTAAAAACGTGCCATCATGCCGTAGTCATAATTATTTGTCATGGAGATTTTATAACGGCAGGTGGGATCCAACGTCAGCCGCAGGGAAGCATACTCAACTTCATCTGGTGGACGAGGTTTGTACAGCTTGAAAGTCATTGGTTTCTTCAGCGCATCACTAAAATAGCAAAAGTAATTAGCAAAATTAGCAAAAATCTTGAAACTTCATGACGAACTTACGTGTAAAATTGGTGAAGATCGTGATGATTCCATGGAACTTCCAAAGACACAGTAGCATGATGTCCTTGTCCTGTACAAGTTGCCTCCAAATACAAGGTATACGATTGTATCAACTGCGTTAGCTGCGGTAACATGATGTCATAGTGCACAGCTTTTTCCACGGTTAAAGGCAAAACTTCCTTAGGTCCGAAAGAGAAGAATGAAGGGCCATAGTTGAAAATCAAGTGTCGGGTGTCGGGATCATTGATGTCAATGTGCAATGCAGCATAGTCCGAGGTGGGCATAACACGTACAGCAACGTGTGTTGCTGTGGTGTGGTTCATCTTCAAATCGTGCATGTTTATACGCAGCGTGCGGCGCTTATAACGCACTGATGGAGATATCTCGGACAGGTGGGTAAGATGATGTCCGTTTTCGCTGAAAGCAATAAAATATTCATGAAAATTATTTAGGCAAGATAATATCTTTGGATTTTCTTACCAAAATCTCTGATCATTTCGGACACTACTCGCCGCGCACACATAAACCCAATCGACAGCTTTCATGTTCACCCCGACCAAAGTAAGATGTTCGTGTTGGGGCTTCATGACCAAGGGGATAATATACCAGCGCGTCTCGCGAGTGCCTTTCGGTAAACGCACCGAAAATTGCCGGTACACACCTTCGTTCCAGTCACCACCGTGTGCCAGCTGAACTTCCTTCCCGTAACGATCCAACTCGTGAATGTTTGTACCACTGTGGCGTACAAGATGATGACGGAACACGGCGAGGACAGTATCACGATCTGTATATAGTTGCATGGTTCGTGGATCCACAGACTCAAACAACGCACGATTGTTAGCCAAAATCAGCTGCTTACACCACACAACTGAAAGGTGGTCGGTGGAGACCCAACTTTTGGGAACCTGTGTTGCTGCCACGTGGATGTGACCACCTTCAGTAAGGTATGGTGGAACTAAGAAGTCGTTGAAGCCCCCGGCAACGGTAATAAACGCGGTGGAATCAGGCGGTTGGAAATGGTCGTTCATTCTCGAATAGAAGCGCTCGAAGAAATAATCGAGTGAAAGAACTGGACGGGTTAAAGGCGCTGAGAGTGCGATTACGATAGGGACGAGGTTGGAATTGGATGGAAGTTGAGAAATGACTGCCTTTGCCAATACTCCACCCTATAAAAACACAGATTTAAATAAAAATAAATGCAAGAAGGCTAAAAAGAATTTACCATTGAATGACCAATGAGTATAACACTTTTGGGAGGAGCCCGGTTCTCAGAGTAGAGCTCCAGCACCCGCTGGATTGATGCAATGACATAGTCGAATTGATCCTGTAGAAGAGCTCCATTCAATCCGCTTAGTTCGTTGTTCAGGTCAACCGAAAAGTAGTCGAAGTGAAAGCGCGTACGAGAGTTTTGCGCCTTTCGCAGAGCAATTGATGCAAACGAGCGACATTGCCGGTAAGAGCCGCCGCTTCCAGGGATAAAAAGTACTGGAATGCCATCAAATACCATACTCCTAGCCTTTTCAGTCAGCTGGCCCTCGCTATAAGCGTACAGGCCGTACTTTTTATACTTCAGGTCCACATCATGCGAAACGCGCTGCAAATGAACAATTTTTTAAAAATAACGCAGTTATTTTTAGCTATCTGCTCATATCAAAGGAGACACGTATCAAGTTGATTATGAAATAGTAAAGGTGTGTCAACTGCACGTTATCTAATCCAGATCGGATTATCCAACGCTTAATTAAGGGAACCGGCACAGGCAATTATCTAGGATTTAACCTTACCACAAACTGCGGATATTCAAACATGTACGTCATCTCACATTTCCCCGTTTCGTAGTCGGTGAGGAAAGAAACAAGGCCGGCGAGGAAGACGACGGTGAATGCCAAGGAGAGAAGAATAGGACCGTTCACGGGCGTCATTGCGATGTGATGCACTTGAACTTACAAAACTCTACTCATTTTCCGACGCAAACGCGCCGAACGTGTCGAACTCGCCACTGCGCTCGTTCGAATGATTCGGTTTGGAATTGTTTGTTTGACAACTGCGGCCTGCAGCGCTGCAACGTGCGATTGTCTCGCGCCTGCGCAGTACTAAATGCGCAGAAATAATAAATAAACAATAACATCAATAACAACAATGTTAAATGAGTTGCAGCCTTTAAATATTAAAATTATGATTAAAACTTATCAATATTTCTAGAAATATGCTTTTTAAAAACTTAATGTCTACGTGGATTAGTTTTTCATTCAATTTTCATTTGATAAAAATAACGCAATGAGTAACTACTACGCAAGTAATTAATGAGTTTTTCCTGGTGAGTATTGGCAACAGCATCATGCTCGTTTGATTCACGGCTGTTTCAGTTTCTAAGCGATCGTTGACGATGTCTGATGTTTATATTTTACATATCTTGTTCATTTTGATCACTTTGCCATTTACGTAGCGGTTTAATAATAGTTTCCATTGGCGTAGAACGCTGCAATGATACTGCAAATCATCATATTTAAGTTGAAACTTATCCAAGTATCTGTCAAGCTTTAAAATGTCTCCATATATGTATTTTATTTCTTCAAACTATTTACTATCTCAACTTTCTTTTACCTCATAGATGGCACGATGTGTTGCATACGCTTCATAAAAAAGTGAATTTGCGCAAAACGCGCTTTTATCAGCAATATTCGCAAATAAATTCACGCCGGTGATATCCAGTTAATTCTAAATATAATAATTCAACACAACACATGCGCACACGATCCCACTGATGGAAAGGCAGTAAAATCATCGCCGGCTTCCAATCGACGGTACAAACGTGTTTATTACATAAATAAAATAAATACGATCTATACGAGTGCGCCGGCTGGCGCGACGCGGAATGTCATATGATGTAATAATATCATTTATTATCCACCAGAATAGTGTTCGCCTTATAGTCTTATACAAAGTACACAATGATAATAATAGCTATAATACAATAAATTCTCGAGCAGAGTGAGCGAGCGAGCGAGCGCTGGGCACCAAACTTACCTCCTGTTTCACAAGGCGATATGGAGATTACGTTGCCGTCGGGGAGAATAAAAATAGATACTCTACCAGTGCTACCAAAACGACACAACACGTACATAAGCGCATAGTATTGGTCTCTTAAGTAGTAGACTTCAAGAAGCGTCCATGAAGGTGTGATACACAAGATTAAAATGGCTACAGTACTATGTACAAGTGTTACAAGTCGTTTATTGATGATTGAGGAATGGAGTGCGCCACAATCTGGATCTTTCCGCGACGCCGGATACCAGCGCCGGCTGGAATACTGCAGAGCTTGTGCACGTTCTCGTCCGTTCAACAGATCTTTTGATTTTTTTGATTAGAATGGTTGCCTCAACGAAAGATGATGATTTCAAATCGACCGTCCAATTCGCCACCGTGTCCCCCTGCGTTTCCCTCCCCAACAGGCTTCAATTCGAAACATGTACCACGTGCGAAACGCCAATTACAAATAGTATAAATTTGCCTAAATGTTTATAAGATTTAGTTTAAGTTTAGCGTGTAGATAGGATTTGGATGCGTGACAACGCCGATGGTGCCGCGCGTGTGTCTTCACAGCGTGAAATGCCGTCATGAATTGGCTGCGGTGAGCTTCTCGAGTCGCTGGCTCAGGTCCTGCTCGGGTCCGCCGGCGCCGTCGGCGGGCGGCTGCCGGGAGCGGCTGTTCGGGTCGGGTTCTTTATCTTCGCTTAGGCACGCGCCAATCCAGCGGGCTTTTCCGCTCGAATGCGACTAAAATAATGAAATGGACAATAATAAAATTAATCAAATTATGTGTGGGATGAGTGGTTCGTACCATGGTGAGATCCCGCTTCCAGACAGCACCGCAGTGGCCATCACATTCGGGGCATGGTCGCTCCATGGCGTAACCGCCGCATTCGGAGCAGTCGAGCGAGACGTGGCGGTCATTCCAGGAGACGCCGCAGGTGAAACAGCTCGAGAGCTGGTGGCGGAGCTGTTCGATAGTCATCACCTGTTCGACAGAGGAACTCCAACTTGATACGTCGTCCAGACTGTGGCTGAGCGTTAAGGAACTGCAAAAAAAAAAATAGTAATGCACGATGTGTAATTTGGGCACACCCCGCTAAAACTGACAGTTGTGCTGTTTGTTGTTGATTTTTTTTCGGCGCTTTTATGTTTCAATGCCTACTTGGACGAATAGCGCATGCCAAGAATTATATAAAACAAGTAAAAATAAAATTGCAGCGAGCGTGCGACGCGCAGAGATCATGAGCAAGGCCGAACGCGTCGTTAAAACGTACTCGCGCGTGAAAAAAAAAATATAAAGCCATTCAAAAACAATGATGATAAATGAGATGTTTTTCGACGTGCGATGTGCGAGAGCTGGCTCGGCTTTGAAGTGAGCATGAGCAGGAACTGAGCGTTTGAGATAATGCGGATTTTCGAGTTTTGTCCACAACCAATTGGAAAATTCAATCCGCATCGTCATCATCGTCAAGAGTAGCCCAGTAAGTGTACAAAACACATTAATCAGAGTTAAAACCCCCGAATCGATTGTGAACTTGCTCTGCACGTGGACGTCGTTGGGAAAATAGGTGCACACGTGTGCCGTATTGGAAAATTGCTCGTATCCCGTGTATTATTCAAGCTCCGCGCACATATTCATACACACACATCCACATCATCATAATGTACAGTACTTTATTCTGTTTACCAGCGCCTCGAACCAATATTGCCCCGGATGTGCCGGTGCTGGTACTTTACAGAACTTTGTTTTTCGTTTATCGCGTTTTTCGTTGTTTTCGCCCGCCGGTATGTGAACTTTGATTAAAGCGATAACAATGTGAAAAAACACGTATTCAGAGTCCAAAAATACGCGCGCTTCTTAAACGGTCGTTAAGGCAAGTTGAAAGGCAATCGGTGAACATGCGACATGTTATAAACGGTTGTAAAATGCAAAAAAAAAGAAAAACACAAAGCCGTACCAGTTACACCACCGATTGACATTGCATTGATTGCATTGTTGCAGTAAACATTGTTTTTTTTGTTTCGAGAAGAAATAAATGACTAAAAAGACCTTAAACAGCATAAATCATAACATTATATTTACCTGTGACTGGAATGAATATCGACTGGATGCACGCTGGCCAGTGACATTTTGCTGGGCACTAGAATAAAGAGAAGAAGCCGAAATTAGCAACCAATTACATCGTACTCACATAACACGCTAAACATTGCAAAAGTTTGTAATTTCGGTGTAATTAGATACTATTGCAATACGCCGACTATTGTTGGACGGTCGTTCAACGTCTATTTACATAGTAAAAAGTTCGCAATTTTCGCCAATAAAAATTTGGCAACTTGTCGGGCAAAACTTGTGACTAGACGACGTCGTTAACGTGCATTACACTAAGCATGCATGAAAGAATAAAAAAAAAACAACATCGTACGTGTATTTAGTCAGTGCATTGAATTAAAAGTTCCACCAAAGAAATTGATTGTGGGTTTTGCGTCATTGAAGGCGAACGACGTCGACGAGTAATTGTTACTTACGCTACAATCGCCGGCCGAGTGACGCGTGAGGACTTAATAACAGGGTGTGAAAATACCGCACAAAAGGACGCAGAGAATAGACTCGTTAAAATTGGATATCCGACGTTGTTGTTGGAGAAAAAATGCGAACGCGTCTCCCCGCGTCCGATTGGCCTAGATCTAGAAACTCGTGTATCGCGTGTTTTGATCGAAATCCTGACCCGGGTTATTAGCGGCGGCGTTACGCATGCAACGAGACGTCCTGCGACTGTCGCGAGACTCAAACAACTGACTGAACAGGAACACGGTGAGCATTGAGCAGTGACTCGATAAATTTTATGTTGAGCGATAAACTCAGGTGGGGAGGGGAATAATGCAAACAAGTCGAAATTAATTTTAAAATTACGGAGAAGTGTTTAGGAGTTGGTTGCACCCTGTTGAGAGGTGTTAAGTGATGGCTGGAAGCAACACGTCCGTGCGGGATGCATTTATGCAGGCTGCAACGCGCCAGACAGGAATGCGACGACGAAACGAGGACGTACTTGTTGGCGGCACGCGCGCCTCCGCCACGAATTTATTGATTTTTCGCAATGGGAAGTGAACCGAACTTGGCGGCACGCACTGCAATGTACACTTGCAGTGGAAATAATGTCAAGCAAATCATCACAAACAAACCGCCTGATTTCAATCAATAACAAATCCAACAATCGCTCACTTTCAACACACGATTCACCGGCAATAATTGTGTATATAATTAATATTCTTACAGTTTAAGTAGTCGGGGCAAGAGAATGGGTTGGTCCAAACACCAGAATCACCGCTGGTCGAACAAGTTGACGATTCGCGATAGTATTATGTTGATTTGACGATTGTTTTCGTGGTTTTGCCAAGGTTTCGTTGCGGTCACCGTCCGTGCGCGTTTTTCAACCGGAGAGCAGTCGCGATGCAAACACGACGATGATTACAAGCGTACTGAGGCGGTCGACATGCACGCTGGTGGGAGCTGGCGCGGTTTTGCCGCCGACGACCGTGGGTGGTAGTGGTGGTGGTGGTGGTGGAGGAGCGAGCGCACGAGCGACCGTAAGCTCGATATCGAATCGCACGAGACGCGCGACTCTCTCTGTGACGAGCTTTAATTCGTTTATAGCGCCGACTGCGAAAGTTTTCCAAGCCGGAAACGTCCAGGAGACACGACAGTGTGCCAAATTTGCACTTGAATTCCACACCTGATTACCCGCGACTGCAAACCACTTTGTGTCTTTGTTGATTGTATTCACACGCGCTGCATTCAGTAGAAGAGAGGTTTTGTTTTCAAACACGTATGGTCTGGCGTTTAATTAATTGACTTTAACAAAAACCGATGCAAACCAAATCGAACGGGTCGTCGCTCGTTACGCGCGCGCCGTCCGTCGGCCGTGGATTTGCTCTCCGTGCTCCACAACTTTACGCCTAATCTAATAATAATTGAGTTGCGTTATGAATTGCGCCGCAAAAACCATTACATCGCAATAAACGCACAGCATGGGCGCTCGCGTGTGCGATCAGATCGCGTGCGGCTGATGTATCTCATTCAGGAATGATTCTCAGCGTGTTTTATTCGATTTTTTTCTCTCCTCGTGCGTCTAGAAGCCACGTTTTCTTCGGCGCGCACTTCCGCGTTTCTTAAAAATTGCGACACACGCGCCCAAATCACACACAAAGAAAAAACCTTATAAACAACGATTGTGTTTTATCGACAATGAATAACACAAATATGTGATTTGGCTTGTTATCAGCCGAATTAGCAATTACTAATTTATGCGTCCGAAGTTATCGGAGCATTGTGTGCGCGGCAATTATTCCAATTCACGCGTAAATTACTTGCTCCAGGGCATTATGAAAAATGAGAAACAAGAACAGTGCGTAGGCAATTGTTGCCATAATAATGTCGAGAGCTTGCACCGTTGCATAATACACAAAACAAGCTCCCGAATGCTATAAAAAGCGGGCGTCATTTCATATCAGAATTTAATCAAAACTGCGCTCGGTTATTGTGTCACAAACAAATACAAAAAAAAAACACGTTATAACAAACAGTTACGTCGGTGCAATTATACGTCAGCGCGGCAATTCTTAGAATCGCAATTGTCATTGTTATTATGTGCATATTTGCACTAATGAATGTTAATTGCATCGACAAGATGAATTGCAATTGTAGAAATAATTTAATTAACCTAGGTCCTCCTAGGATTCACTAGAATCGCACGAATACATTAGATTTATTATACTTTTAGAATTTGCAATGACAAATTGTAATTGCAAAAGTAATTTTTAACACTGCGTGCTACCAAGATACCGTAAAATTAATTATTTTTTGCTTTTGCCGGTGTTTTTCGACGAGGGGGGCACGTGAACTTTGATCAAAGCGATAAGCGCAAATAAACAGCTTAAATCCTAATTGTAACAAACAAAATTCTGTTGCAAAACTTCGTCTTTACGATCAAAACATTCTCACAAATAATCGAAAATAGATTTTCCAGTTTCGCGAAGATGTAGTTTGTAATTTGTGCGAAACACTCAAATTAGCATCTAACTAATACGCGAGTGGTTAAAAAATGATTCAAGCCGAATGAGTGTAGGTGTTAACTAATTGTTGACCTAATCTTCGTGATGCGAATATTTCCACTGATATCATCCGAGCGTGACTTGGGACTTGAGTCAGCCGTCTGGAGGTCTTGAGCATTGTTGGCGCACCTTATCAGAATTTCAAACGGCCATACACACGCGTCCACGGCGCGTTTCAATCGTTCAAAGTCGAAACAATCGATGACCCGACCGACCCGTGCGCATCTATCCGCTGCTGACACTAGCCGACGACGGAATGCCATTATGATGACAATGCAGCATTTTTCCATATTTATCTATTTACTTGTGCTCAAATTATTCGCAGACACTTTTTAGTAGCTCCAGACGCATTGCGCATTCCATGCGCCGCTCGTAAATGCATAAATAACGAATTTTGATCCGACTGGGTGGCGATAACGCGCGTACTCGTTTGAATTTCCCGCTTGGGCTGGGAAACGAAAAACAACATTGGACCGTGAAACATGTTGATACGATCGCGGCGATAACAGCGTTATCGAAGCGTTTTTCCAGTTTCAAGGTTCCGTACATTGCAAATCAACGCATTAAAAATAACGAAAAAAAAAACAACAATACATAAAATAAAAACATATTACAATGCCGGCGATAGCCGTTATCACAGTGCGCCTAATGCTAATTCTTGTATTAGTGTTATCGATGCGGTTTCGGCGTTGCGTAAATGGGAAATAATATATTTATGAAGTTTTCTAAGTGATATGCAACGTCATCACGTGTATTGTGTATATACTCGGAACTTCATACAAATTTTCACATTCAAAGCATTTCACACATGCTTATCGGCGGTTTTTAATGAATTTTGTACGTGAATTTTTTACGTAAAGCTACGTAAATTTAGCCGCTTTCGCATTGAACTTGTGTGAAGCGCGGCGCCGCGTTTCACAAAACACAATACGTATAAATAAACGCCTTGTAAATTAACAAAAATGTATAAATAAACACTGCACGGAGACGCGCGCGACGACAAGACAGGCCTAAATTTAGTAACAGGCCCGAATAGCTGAGCCCCGAGTCGACGAGTGCGAAAACGTTGTGTTTGTCGCGCGCAAAAAGACCAGCGTCCCATTGAGATGTTCATTGGACATTCCGATTGTGATCGGAGCGCGAGAAACGCCGGATGTTGTGCAGATGGTGGCGAAAATTGAGTCCGAAGATTATCTTGGTAAATGTCGAAACCGCAGAGTTAGATGCACGACAACGAATCATGAATGCATTTTATTTGTCGTGCAGGACCGCACAGAGATGTAAACAAATCAGAAATCGCTGGCGATGAGTCGGAGCGTGACTTTTTCACGAGAAACGCCGATGGCGAAAACGTGCTGGATCCAATTACGATCGTCACATGTTCAAACCGCAATAGCATTCAAGTAATAAGATAATCATACAGTTATTATATGCTAAAACAATGTTTTAATGTGTTTTAGTTTGTTATATAATGATGGTGTATCATGTGATTGGCATAATTGTTAAACGAATGCACTTTGCGACGATTTTTTTGAGGTGAATTGCGGGTCTGGCGCTGGGGCAAGGACGCGGCGGACATCGGAGACACTCAGACTTGACCGGCTAGTGTAAGCCGGTTGATGTATTTCGTTATTCGTAGCTAATGATGCGCAGATAATTTTAATTGCAAAACTAAACCGCAGAGTACTTGAACTTTTTAACACTCGAGCCACGGAACGAGTGGATGACAGTGATTGTTTTGCGTGATCACTGGGATTTATCGGAATCATTCAAGTGTCAATCGAGAATTGTGAATTCCCATGAATACGAAAAAATAATTCCTTACAATAAATAGTATGCAACTTATTCTACAAATAAAAAAATCGGAAAATAAATACAGAATCTGTCATAATTTCGTTACGATTCTCCATCTAAATTCTGAAGTTTTCATACCACGCTAATCGTAATCATTCCCATCACTTCCTACCAAAGTGAACATTCCTGCAAGGTAGTTGATTTTGATAGTTGGTGGTTTCATGATGATCGCCCCACCGACGAAAACATTAATTAAGAAAATCGCCTCCCGCACCGTTCAAATCTTCCCGATGCTCCTGGCGATTTCGGACAATGCCGCCCAGAATTTCGCTGCACTACCCGATCTACGCGACCTCAACCATGGACACAACCCATATGTTAGCGAGCATAAATACTGGACCACCAGGAGCACATCCGAGGTCATCGACATGGCTGACCGAGCTTACAAAGAGGAACAATACCTGGACGTCTACGAACTTCTCAATCGGTTCAAACACAGCGATAACATAGAAGTGCAATGGAGGATTGCCAGGTCCCTGTACAAACTCTCCCAGGAAGAGCACACCTACCCCACCCATATACGCAAAGAGATGATCACAGAAGCGTACGATCTGCTTTTTACCGCGAATGATTTCGAACCCAATCCGAATATCTACAAGTGGATGGCTATCGTGCTAGACACCAAGAGTGGTTTCGATGGTTTGGACAAGCGAGTCTTGGCATACCCGCAAGTGAAAATCCTTCTGAAGAAAGCCATCAAGATGAATCCGGACGATTCCACCTGTTATTATATCCTTGGGAAGTGGTGCTTTGACATGAGTCATATGAACTGGGTGCAGAGAATGTTCACGAAGGTCATGTTTGGCCCAGTTCCGGATACCTCATTGCAGGAGGCATATGATTACCTGCTGAGGTCCTATCAGATAAAACAGGACAACTACTACATTCCGATTATGTACATGCTCGGGGAGATCTGCTACAGATTGAAGCAGTATTTCCGCGCTGAGTTTTATCTAAAGAGCGCCACAGTTCTACCTCCACGGACCAAATTTGAATATGAATGCATGTACAAATCGAAACGTCTGCTGGATAAACTGGAACTCTACAACCTGGCCAAGGAGGCAGTTCTATTCGAATATCCCTTCAATATAACACCAAATACCCCGAATGATTAACCGATAAACAAATACCAACACTTTCGAATAAAGCGTTCGACCACTGCCACCTCCATCTTTCAATCTCCTCTGCTAAACATTCGATAATCACGTTCTAATGCGTAGTGCGCATTCGAACACCTCACACCTCAAAGCTGGCAAGGTGAAAGGTAAACATATGCACGAGGTAAGTAAGTTAGTAAGTTCGAGCGGACGGAAAGAAATTGATCAAAACACCGTGGAACTGTCGTTAGGCCGCCGCGCGATGGGAGAGGCCTTGAATGTGTTTTGTTGGGTGACAGCGAACGACGGGGCGGCGGTGAATTCGCTGCGAATCCGGCATCGCGCGCGATTCCAAAGTCCGGCCGAGGCGGCAAACAGATTTTCCGCTAAATGACTTTAAACGCTCGGCAAATATTTAGGGACGCACGTGACGCGCGCGCGCGGTAATTTGGGGGAGCGTCGTTTTTATTTCGCTGTCAAACGTTCGCTCATTTACACTTGGATTATAATTTAGCTATTTTGATCCTATTACAACAACAAGAGCGCACTCGGGCATTTATTAGCTCCGCACTAAAACTCCTCCTATCATCGACGGTAATCTATCCGCAGCTCGTCAATTATACACAGTGTATTTATTAAAGTATTATCGCTATCTCAATGGGGCGTTCAACGAAATTGCCAATTGTTTTAAAACGAAATTTAATGAGGCACGTCGTACATATAAACAATACCATCAAGTAAACAAAAAAAAAGTGGTTCTTGTAACGGAATTAAAAATACCATCAAATATTTATGCAATATTGACCCTGGGTGCCGCAGTATTATTAGAGTTAACATTAGCCAATATTACGAGAGCGAGTTCGAATATGAATACATAAGCATACACGCTCCTTCTCGGCGTATCTCTCTCTTCGCGCACCAAAATAATCCGAATGTGCATGCATATTCAGCGGCAAGTGAGGCAATTTACGGGCACGGCGCGACGACCGCGCGACAATGCACATTTATGCAAATCGCGCATATATTCACGATCTTAATTACATAAGTGCTGATTAATGCACGATCACTCGAAGACTAAACAAAGAGTGTCCGTATTGGACGAGATTTCTCTGAGGTTGGTGAGAGACGCGTATGTTAAATCTCAAATTCGCGTGAATTCGAGCTTCGTGCGCAATCAGCTCGTAAAATTCACGTGGATTTTTTTATAGCCGCGCGACGTAAGGCTTCTGATCCACATTCGCGACACCGCAATCACAATAAAATTGTGTTCATAATGGCGCGATCGGTCTTTGTTCTGATTCCCACGACGTGAGCAAAAAAAAAAAAGAAGTGCGACCGGCTCGGATTAAATTATTTATTAATTATTTTTATGACGTGGAAACGGCCGCGGGGCAAGGCGGCCAAATCAAATCGGACTTTTCCGCGAATTGAATTTCAAGGTTTCAAACACGCGTCCAACCTGCGTTCAACAGCACAACTCGATTACCCTTGGTATTTGAGCAATGCTCGAAATTGATTGGATTAAAAAAATAAAAAGTTTACCTTTGAGGAAAATGGGTACCGATAGTGGCATGCTTATGGGTGTGACATGCGGGTGATCCAGATCGTCGTCGCCGAAGTCCGGATCGTCCTCGTCGAAGTGAATATCTTCTTCGTACTCGGTGAAGCCTGGGACACCGCTGCCGTTGTTGTGCACTCGCAACATCGCACGCGTGTGCGCTCGGATTTCTATCGGTATAAATTAGAGCACCGTACGCAATCAGTACTTATTGTGCACATTGAATGCACAATATGGAATACTAGGCTACCACATCCATACAAGCATATCACATCAGTCAAATCAGCATATCAGCAATAAAAAAATCTTAATTTATATTTCAACTACACACTGACTGCACAATATTCGATTGCTGCGTAGTGATTGATTGATTGATTGATGAAATGCAGAAAAGTTTAAAGACAGGTTGACACGTGTCAAATAAATAATATGCACTGGGATGTTTGGTAAAAGCATCGGTGAGTGTTGGGTAAACATCAGACGCGTTAAGAAATGTTTGAAAACATTCGAAGGAAACTTGGGCAATAGGTCCGGTGTGATTGCCCGCACTTTAAGTCCGGCCCTGACCCGTGCTTGCGTCAACCCATGGAGCGCACCTCCAAAGCGTTTGAATGCATTTTCGAAAGTTTGCATGAGGGAACACACACACAAGGGGACTACTCGCCGTTCGTCGCTGTGTGCGCTCGAATGTTTGGAATGGAAGCGGCGCAGATCAGCTGTTCAGCAAAACACAACAACCGCACACACGCTGGGCGAGGTGAACTGAGGTGAATGCATTGCTTTGAAATGAATAGGATATATATTGATAAGAAAGGCAGTAGGCTACAATGGTGTCTCTGTAAGGTCCCGTGTAAATTTCCGTCGTGCTATCATGCTGACATGCATCCACAAATAAACTCCATCGACTTACCGTCAAAGCTCGGCATTGCTGCAACAATACCAAAAGTATGGACAATCAGAGCGTGGCTTTTGTTTCTTCGAGGAGTTTTCTTCTTGTAGGGTGGTTTTGTTCAGTCTTGTTGGTAAGTCTTCATCAGCCAGGCCCAATCGCGACTATCGACCACAGGATCCGGCCGTGATCAGCCGCGCGCGCGTCTTTGAGTTCACTGTACTTGGCCACGCCGCGTCTGCGGACAAGAAGAAGACGCGGGCCCGGGTCTCGCGACGGCACAGGCCGAATCCGAACGCGTGTGCGATGTGTGTGCCGTGTGCGCCGCACTGCACGCGGTTCGCGGATGGATGGATGGATGGTTGTGTCGCGTTGTTGTGCGATCGTGGGTCGTGCCATTCGCCGCTGCCGCTTTTACCGTGGTGCGGTGTGGATACGCGGTGAACGGTGAGAGCGCGCAAAACAACACAGCTGTCGATGTCACGACTGCGGCGGCGAGCGTGCAGCAGCGTGGTAACGTCAACAAGCGGGCGCCTACGACGCTCTCGCGGGTCTCCCACGCCGGAGGAGATCCCACGATCCCAGTAGCGGATTAAAGTAGCAGCGATTGTACTGCGCTGCCGGCGTGTTGCACCCGAGTGGCTTGCCTCTCGAGTGGGTACCACTCGTTACACTCGAAATGCTAGATAACCTTTTGTAAAGTTAGCATTTTAAAATATTCCGATAAGCGTTGATAAGCACCGAATTTCAATTTCAAATAGGAGTTTGAAGAGAGCACCAATCTGGACATACCAGATACTTACAAGATAATATTGCTTTATTTAACTGCTTGCATACACTTGCAATTGTTGCATTCTAGTGTCTTCCACTCTTGAAACAAACTCCTCTACCCTATTATCGCGGATATTATCAAAATCATCACACCTTAGTAACTTCCCTATACTGATCTGATGGTTCAAGTTCTCCTGGTACAGAAACACGCATGCCAGAAGGTCCCAGATTGAAAAATCCGGCCATAACACCTTGCGGAACATCACGTTTGTGTTCCATGTTTGCCAGAGAAGAAAATCACTGAATCGGACCTCCCCGGAAGTCCTGATAAGTACCTCCGGTCGGGAACTTCTTCCGCTATACATGCATCTTCCTATCAGAGCTTCATTAACGTCCTCTGTGAAAATTTCTTTTCGTGCAATTCCTTCTTTGATCATCTGTAAAGAATTCGTCATTTCGTCTTGTGAGGTGTAAGCGAATGCGATGTTCAAAAATGCGTCCGTGTTGTTTCTGGTAAGCAAAACTGACTTAGCAATGTGTCCCTTTAGTCTATCTGGTATTAAATCCAAATTCCCTATTAATCTAATACAGATTCCCTTGGCATGTAAATCATTTACTTCTCCGAGGAGTTTTTCAAACTTTTCGCATGCGAGTGCAAACAGAGCGTCTACTTCTTCATTGCTTCGGTTGAAATTCTCTATACTGAAAGCGTAGACTGTGACTTCCTTGATTCCCAGCTCTCGACACCAAACCAATGTTTCCGTTAACTTTTCAAAACCTTTTATGTGACCCATTGTGGTAGGCAATGTTTCTTTTTTGGCGTATCGCCGATTACCGTCCATAATAATGGCGATGTGTTTGGGAATTGGGCCTGATTTTAATACGCGAATGCAGAACTTGTGGTACCATGATAAAGTGTTCTGGAGAAGCCACGACATGTTTGGTAAACATTTGTTACACTGCTTTTGTGATCACTAGCAGTGCGATATAAAAAAGTTCACTTTTGTGTTGATCGCGTGTGTTTAACAAGTGACGAAATTAAATATTTAAGGTTTGCTGGGCTACCAACCGCGGCTTGCAACATTTTTAGTTTATGTTTGGCTACTTATAAATTACACTTGTTTAACTTAACGAAAATTTAAATACATTGTGTAACGTGTATGTGTGGTTGCCTAACTTAATTTTTAAAAATATTATCATCAAAATATAGAAAAAAATGTTTTAGTTTTGATTAATATTTGTTGTTTTATTAACTTTTAGAAGGATTTGTAGTTTAATTGATTTCGAATCATGTGGATTTAGTGTATATCTGATTGCCTAGCTGCGTGCAAGTGTACGAGAGGAAATAATGATCTGGCGCTGATTCAACACGTTTCACAAGTATGCTCAACAACAGTCGCTGCTTGACTGCCGACAATGGCTGATAATGTGAAAAAACCAAAAGCAAGACGAAAATTACCAAGAGTCGAGCGCAAGGACTTCAGCAACACGCACAAGTTGGTCAAACGGCCGCCTGCGAAACTCGAGAAAGCCGAGAACGTGATTTACGTGACAGCATTCACCAATATAAAAGTAAGCATTGACAATTCAGTAACCTCAATTTTGCGTTCAGCTTGCTCGCTGAAAATGCGCACATTGCAACAATATGATTGTATCTAGGCATTTGAGGAGCGTTGTTCCAAACTCATCTACGAGGGCGTCAACGAGATCACCATCTATGCCCTAGGGGCGACGATCAAGAAGGCAATCCTGTTGGCCTTGCAAGTTGCTGCCAAGCATCTTGTCTTTCAAATCTCTGCTAATACTTTCACTACTGATATCATAGGTAATAGACATGAACTGGTTTTTAACTGATAAAAATGAAATTGGTCATCACATTGATTTATGGTTTCAAATTAAGTGAAGTTGTCATGATTCAGACAGTTTGCTTTCATAAAGTTGATTCACTGAGTGGAAAACAAGCATAACCAGACGAGAAACAAAGTACAGTTCACTCTTGAGTCATATTATCTCCTTTTAGTCATTCTAGTGATAAATATCTTGTTTTTGTTTTGTTTCTGAAGATGATCTGGAGCCGGCAACAGATGAATTAGATTATGCGATCCAAATCCGCGCGAATTCAGCGCTTCGCATCGTGTTGACACGCGGCATGTAAAGATGTTCTTCACCATCGAGGAGATCGTCAAGTGGCTGGGCCTGACCGTCTTCGAAATATGGACGAATCTGATTGCCCTGCTGCTGTTCACCGTGACATTCGTGTGCAAGTACAACCCGGACAACTACAGCAATGTGTGGTGGACGATATTCTTACCACTGTTTGCTGGCGACGCGCTCAACGCCTACTTCTGCATCATTGTCTTCATTCGCATGCTGCTGGAGATGTCGTTGAAGACGGCATTGTTGCGCTTCTGCTGGTCTAGCACGTTCCTCTTCATGACGTTTCTCTTCAAATTCCTGCTCTGCAAGCGTCTCACCGGCAATCTCACACTCGATTATAACGAGATCTTCGCGCCTCTTTTCATCCTGCTGCAGTTAATCGCGGTGCGCGCCTGCCAGCAAAGTTAACATCTTGTGTGCCCGCAATGCGTCGCTCGCTTCTTGCTGGTTAACGTAAGTGACTTATGCATAGTATATGGATAAAGTTGAGGACAAGCTGACCACTTCATGGAAAATAAAGGGAATATATTTGTGTACAAGTGATTGGTCATTCGTCGATATTTCTATGCAAAATTTAAACACGTGCATGCTTTTTTTTTGTTTGTTTGAAATAATTACTTTTGCATTCACTTAAGTTTTGAGAAATCGGCAATTGTATTTTCGTACGCCGGCTTTAATTAAAATTTAATCATGCATGTAATACAATTGCGAGTCAATCAAAAGATAACAAAAAGACGTTGGAAGACCAACATAAGAAACAACATTTATTGTCTTTTTACGCACACATCTCCACGTTAATAGATAATTCCTGATTCGATTCGTGCACTTATTCTCTAGACGTTTATCATCAAGTGTAAAATGTTGTTGTGTCAAGTCATTGTCACAAACTAGTGTGCGGTTTGTAAACAGGAAGTGAGGATTTTGCATCAGTATCACAGCATGAAATAACTCTCTCAAGGCTTTAATGAAAATATCCATATAATCTTCGTAGTTATAGTTCGTTCATGCATGCTTACAAATATTGACGACTTAATCTCGCGCATTACAACATTTTACGATTGATGATAATAACGCGAACCGAATAATAAAATTAATAATTCAACAAAACAAGAAGCCAACAAAACGTAAAAACTTTGAGAATTTTCCAATGAAATAACAGAGCTGCGCCTGCGATAATCGAACAACTATTTATTTATACAAAATGCGGTTGGTTTTGTGAAAACAAAAATGCGTTTTGCAATGGTGTCTCGAGCCGGCTCGAACGCACCAATCTCCGCAGATAGCAACTTGCAATTATTTACAAACCCACGATAAATATCAAATGTGTGTACACTGTGTATGCACCGATATCGCACCGATACAGGAGCCTAATTTAAAAAAGAACGATGCCACCCGACGCACACTCTCAGAGCACCATCGTTACAGGATCCTCCAGATATTGGCGGAATGCTTGCAGCCATCTCGCACCGACGACGCCGTCCACCACTCGGTGGTCGCAGCTGAGTGTCACCATCATCGTGTTTGTCGTCCTGAATCTGAACAAGCAAATAATGCTCATAAACATGTTCGATTTGGGTGTGAAATTTAATCATGTTTACCCATTAGGCGCATTTGGATCTTCAACGAGTTTATCCATGCCGGTGCCGACCGCAAGGATGATACTCTGGGGCGGATTAATAATGGCGGTGAAGAACTTCACGTCGAACATACCCAGATTGGAAACAGTGACGGTGCCACCTTGGTAATCCTGCGGCTGCAGTTTACCCTCGCGGGCGCGCTTAGCCAACGACTTAACCTCCTTACTAATCTCAAGAACACCCTTACGGTTGGCCTCAAAGACAATTGGCGTGATCAGCCCGCTCTCGGTCGCCACCGCTACGCTGACGTCCACATTCGCGAACCTAATCAATACGAACGGAATATTACTAGTACACTCAATTGATAACAACCGGCCACATTTTTTATTACGTCGTTTCACGTTCGTTGGCGTGATAAAAAAAAAACTTAAAATTTCACTTACTGCCGAATAGCGGAGTCCATCCAATAGGAATTGGCTTCGGGAACGGCTACGTTGGACATGGCAGTGGCTTTGACGACGAAGTCGTTGACACTCAGACGGACACCCTCCTTCTCTTTCTGCTTGTTGATTTTTTTACGCAGTTTATTGATGGTGTCCAGACTCACCTCGGCGGAGATATAAAAGTGCGGAATCATTGACTTGGATTGTGTAAGGCGTTTGGCAATGGTAGCTAGAAACAAAACAGGGGTTTATATAAAGGAAGAAATGCGTTGATAAGAATTTACCTCTCATGTTTGAGTTAGGAATATCAATGTAGGAATTTCCCGCGGTTGTTTGAATCCGAGGCGCCCCCATCGAAGGTGGTCCCGCTGCCGGCGCCGCCGCTCCTCCTGCTGGCATTTGATCAAGATCAGATGATGTTATCGAACCAAACAGACCTGTACCTTTTCCTAAAAAAAAATCAGTTAGTATTAATTAGTTATTAATATGATTTACGGCGTAGAAGCCCAAAAGCAAGATGCGTTTTGTATAATTTTCCAATGCAAAAGCGCAATTACACTCGATGATGTATGATTTCTATGCAAAAGCGTAATTTTGATGTTGTTTAGTGTCGCCTGCCAATAGCACGTAAATATTTATGTGGCGTGCGTGCGTGCGTCGTGATATTGCCAAAAAAATAATTTCTAACGGAGATTACATAAAGCGTTTCCAATTTACCTTGTAAACGAATCTGTCTTTGCTCGGCAAGGCGTTTCGCCATGGGGCTCGCGTAAACGCGTGTACCTTGAGCGGACGCCTCCTTGGGGGCGGCTGGAGGCGGCGCTTGCTGCACTGGCGCAGGTGGCGGTGGTGGTGGAGGCGCGGCTGGTGCTGCCGGAGCCTCCGTGGGCGTTGCGGCGGCGGTGGCGGCTTTCGCCGGTGCTGGAGAGTCATCTTTGAAGTCCTTGAACGCTGCCACGTCGGCCTCGTTCTCTACAATAATACACACCAGCTTGCCGATCGGAACGCCCTTGGACCCAGCAGGAATTAGTATCTTGGCGAGATAACCTTCCTCGGGGGTCTCAAACGCCATGGTGGCCTTGTCCGTTTCGATTTCGGCGAGGAGGTCACCCTCGTTGAGCTTGTCGCCCTCTTTCTTGGCCCAACTAATGAGTGTGCCCTCCTCCATGGTGGGACTGAGTGCCGGCAGCACCACTTTGGTGTGCGCTGGGTATGACGAGGAATAGTAGCGGTGTGAATTGTTTGCGGGCCATATTTGCGAATCGTTCGCTCTTGTTGATCTAAAAATTGGTCGTGCGTTGAGTGAAAGAAGCGTGCGTTGACAGAGTGTGGAATAGTTACGTGACTAGCAGCGAGCGGCGATAGCTCTGCAGCATGAATGTGCGGAAGCCGTTGATGAAGAGCCGACGGCGCTGCTGTGGGGCTTGTCGCGCCAGGAGGCCTCGGACGACGAGCGTGCGGAACATCCTGTGGCGCCTGTTGCACTGGGTGGTGGTGGTGCGCGCTGGCGGAAGACGACGTCTGCGACGAGAGGGCCGACCACGTTGACGGGTTTCCTGCGGGCCGATTAGAGGGCGACTTATTTTGACCGAGCCGCTGAGGTCATTTGGAAGACTTACGTCGCGCGGAGAGCAGGAACCGGCCCACGCGATAGTCGCACGGAGCGCGTTTGCCTGGTGTGCCTGCTAGGCTGTATGTGCACACGGTGCTGGCGTGTGACGGTGCGTGGTGTTTGATGACGCGCGTGAACCATGTGATCGCGACGCGCTCAGTAGGTCGCTCCTTTCCTCCTGCTGCGTGTATGATGGAGTGTTACGGCACGCGCGTTGCACGCATTTGCGCACGTTGCAAAGCGCAATCGACGAATTCCAATTCACCGAAGGCGCAATGCTTAGATATATGAAACGAACTCGGAATGAACGGAAAATTTGCTACTGTTCGGTTTCAGAAAGAAGGATTTAGCGCATTGTTACGTTTGGTGTAAAAACACCCGTAACAGAGAATTAATTTAAAGAGGAATTTCGACGCAAATTGGACAAAAACATACATTACGAATACATATAATTTTTGAAACACTGAAATATAAATGATGTGACACTTTTGCTTTTGTTTAAAATTATATGTATGATTAGGCAACCAAACATACACCATGCACATGTAATATATGCTGACGCTGACTTGATTCGGTGATTGTGCTGTGTGCGGTTGTATATTTCTCGTCGGTCGCTATTTCCTTTATGATTTTGAGCCCATTCATTTATTTTTTCCGAAATCAAGTTCCTTTATCAACGGCTAATAATGTTTGCGATTATCTTAAACTATAAATTCGGAAGTATTCTTACGGTAAATATTTTTTGTGCGTACTTTTAGGTTAATTCGATTCTCTTCCAACTCTTTAAAAATGGTTAATGTTATGAAAGGCATTCTTGTTAAATGGTGAGCTATCCATAACATTACCCTAGTTATTTATATTTATTTCACCAACTAATAATTTTCTTTTGTGTCAGTGATCCTGCATTGAAACAATTTCTGCTTCATTTGGATGAAACATTGAAACTTGGTAGAAAGTTTATCATACAAGACCTGGATGAAGAATATGTTTTTATCTCTGAGGATATCATGGATGTCTTACAAGCCAAGATCGACGACTTGCTTGATCAGATAGCATTTCCAATTGTTGACAAGCACACATAACCTTCCAACTGATTTATTTGTGGAGAGTTTTGGCAGATTGTTGAAAAATGGCGCATGGCAAATCGCGTGGTTCAGCGCGACTTAAAGAGTCCGAACGTATACGAATCATCGATGATTCTTCACGTAAACGTCTGATGCGCAAATTCCACGAATTATTGGAGGCTGACAATCATCATGAGGATCCATATGCAGATCTGGTGATGAGCAAGAAGGCGCCCAAGTTCGACGATTCGTTTGAAGCACGCCCGCGTAAAAAGAAGGAGCGCACTGCCGAACAGTACCAGATCAAGTATCGCAAGACATTGCTGCAGAACATCGAAGATGACAAGAAGGAGGCGGCGGCATCGAAGCGACCATCTTATGCAAACATTGCGGCGCCGCCGTGTAAATATCCGCCATTTCATCTTTGCGCAGTGTGCGGCTACCAAAGTATTTACAATTGCATCTCGTGCGGGGTGAGACTTTGTCATTCGAAGTGCTTCGAAATGCATTTCGAGACACGTTGTATGAAGTGGATGGGATGAACTGTTTTCGATAATCATGTCAAATTGATTGTGTACGGGACAATTTCGATATTTTTCTATTCAGATATTTTCTTTTTAAATTTAGTGTTAATTTCTTTGTATGGCATGTCTCAGTACAATTTCTGTATTATTCTTATTAATTTTTACGTAGTACAAAATTCTTGTGTGCTTATTTATATGATGGAATGTTTAAAATTGATTTGTAGACAATTTACATGTAATACACTTAAATAAAACTTGTACTCGCAGTATGTTAATATGTACATTCATGGTAGGCAACCCACAGTACACCAGACCATGTGCTTTTGTATCAACCGCACAATTCACAGTAAACAACTGTTTCAAATCACACTTTTTTTCTGATAATTCTAATAATCGTACGCAATGGAAGTGAAAATTGACGATTTAGTGCTACCTGGTGATATATTTACTCCCAACAAGCCCCCGAAGAACGTAATCGTCCTTGGACCCGGTTTAAGGAGGTTCGAGGAAACCAACGAACTTCTGATAACAAAGTCCGGTTTCCTCAAACATAAACAACCCAGCATCTACTGGATCGACTGCAACCAAAGCAAGTACATTCCCAAGAGAGGCGACTTCGTCGTTGGTATTGTCTCCCGCAAAGCGGGCGAAATCTTCAAAGTGGACATTGGTTCAGCTGAACAAGCATCACTCTCAGTATATGCCTTTGAAGGAGCCACCAAGAGACAGAAACCTGACATTCGCATTGGCGATGCGGTCTTTGCAAGGGTTCTCAGCGCGCGTAAGGAGATGGAGCCGGACCTCGTGTGTGTCGACAGACAAATGAAATCGCGAAGCGTCGGCAAATTGCCGGCGGGTGGTTTAATTGTAACAATACCGATGAGTTTAGCATATCGGTTGCTCTCCGGCGAAAACGAGCTGCTGCAGACGATGGGCAAGAAGAACGCCTTTGAGGTGGCGATCGGCGTCAACGGGCGAATATGGATCAACGCGCGGACGCCCAGCCTGGTGCTGCGGATCATGAATGCGCTTGCCAGCGTTGACGGGCAGTCAAACAAGTCTATAAATGATTTATGTAGGCGACAAAAATGACGTAACATGATACTACCATAGCTAATAAACGATATCACGTTATATTTGATTATGTACTGATAATGACGTTTCTGCGTTCCTGCTGATTCATTGTGATGTCAGAATTAAATTGAACTCGTCGGCCGACGTCCGCTCCTTTCCCGTTGGTTGCAATTGCTTGTTACATAGGTCGACTTTCAGGTTATACGCTGCTCGGTTGGGAATAAGTGACGGTGGAAGCATTATTTCATTTCAATGCCTGAAGAAATGGAAAATGCCGCTGTGAATGGACAAGATGGTGAGTGGTATACTTTCCTATTAATTCTCATGAATCTTTATGTAATAATGTGCGAAATTTTAGCTAACAAGGTGATATCAACCATGAAATATCAAGAGATTACTATTCCAGTGCCTTGGGGCCACATTTCAGGTAAAATCTTAAGAAATTTATTATTATTTATCATTACTAATGAGTGAAAATCATTAAATTTCAGGCAAATGGTGGGGTCCTACTGACAAACAACCAATTCTTGCAATTCATGGCTGGCAAGACAATGCTGGTACCTTTGACATGCTTGCTCCTCTCATAGCTGTAGAGGGAATACCTGTGTTATGTGTAGATCTTCCTGGGCATGGCCACAGCTCACCATTCCCAACTGGCATGTATTACTACCTCTTCTGGGATGGCCTGCAGATTGTCAGCAGAATCAAGACGCATTACAAGTGGTCGAAGTTACGATTTATCGGCCACTCGTTGGGCGGAATCATTTCTTTTATGTACGCATCCTCATTCCCTGATGAAGTGGAGTCCTTCACTTGTATAGATATAGCTTCGCCTGCGGTAGTTTCACCCAGCAGTGTGGTGGACAAAATCGGCCGCACCGTTTCGCAATTCCTCAAGTACGAGACGCTTCCGAAGGAATTGCAGCCTTCTTATGACTACGAGGAAATGGTGAACACTGCAGTTGCTGGTTATAATGGTTCTTGCACTCGTGAGGCTGTCGAGATATTGTTGAAACGCGGAATGCGGCCGGTGGCAGGTAACAAGTATGTGTTTACAAGAGATCTTCGCCTGAAGGCCATGGGACTCGCGATGATTGGCATTGATGAGGCAATGGCTATGGCAAAACGGATCACCTGCCGGGTGTTGAACATCCGCTGCGAACCAGGCATGAAACTCGCGAATCCAGAGTATTACGAAATGGTTATGGAAGAATTGGCGAAGAATGCGACGCTCGAGCGTCACACTGTTCCAGGCATGCATCACTTGCATCTCAATGATGCAGCCAGCATCGCACCGATTGTAATTGATTTCCTGCAGGCCGGGAAATAATTCGGCGCGTGGATAGTTAATTAGGCGAAATTTCACACATTTTCCAATATTTTTTATTAGTTTCGGTTACTTATTCCGTTAGGTATTAGCTGAATTAATTTATTGCAATTATTTTATTGAACAATTGACTATTGTGATACGTTCAGGTTGATTTTGAGGAAATTGAACGAGTGGTGTGGTTTTGCACAAATTGTTACAATCTTAGGATATTCTTTGTTATATTTATACATTAGACTACTGGTAAATCATGTTTGTATGTAGATTAACTTAAATAAAATTTATATATTTACTTTGTCATTTGCAATGCGACGAATCTAAATATTGAACAAAAAATTCAGACGTAAATTGCATTGTGACATTTGTATGTTGTCACAGGCATGGATCGCACTTGATTGTAATTCTGGTAAATTCTTTGCCACTGCATCTCGGATGGGCTGAAGATCGCTTTCGATCGGAGATTAGCCTTTGCATTTTCTAATTCTAACAGGATTTGTTTGTTTCTAGCTCGCACATCTTCAATCTTGATGCTGGTTTTCTTTTGAGGCTCAGTTTCAACGACTGGATCATCGTCTTTTTGTCTGGAAGGATGGAAGTTTGATGAATTGTTTGTAAATAGAATCCTATGTAATATTAACATACTTTACACTCAATAAATGTTCGATTTTTACTTCGTTTTGTTTATATTTATTGAAAATTTCTTCAATTTCAGCGATGGGCATTGTGCAGGCAGGATTTACTGTTTGTATTGAACATGTTTGATGTGGTTGCTAGGTAAAGTGGTCGAGTGTTGTCAATTTGCATATAACTGAGTGTTTAAAACATTAATTAAAAATGTGGAGCGCGTAGGAGTTATTTGAAATCAAAAGCAAACAAAAGCGCGTACGTGCAGATAATCCTCTTGCGCAATAACACGCACACCACGCTTCAATTCGGTGGAGAGAAATAAAAACTAATTATGCAACGCCGTCTTCCAGATAAACGTACCGATAACGAATAAAACTACATAAATATTCAAGCGCGACTGCTGTTTGGGTATATTTGTGTTGTTTTATTTTGAATTTTTATTTCGACACTTGTTTGGTGGTCGGCAGAGGTAAAAATGAGGTGCATGCCGAAATAGCGGGCAATACATGATATTATGTGTAAACTGATAAGTGGCACTTGTTCATACATTTCAAATGGTAATTTCATGATAGCTACCTCAATTATGTTGTGCGTTTTTAAATATTTCTGTATGCAAGCGTGTCATTAAAACTAATCCTCAATTTCAATTTAAAGTTGAAGCATTGCAATTAGAATTTGTCTTATATCAAAATAGAACAGAAATATGTCATCAATGTTTGCATTTTCCTGTAAACTTTTTATGTTCTTATAGAGAACAAATGCTGATAATCAAAATTTACACAATATATGGTGATTAGTATCTGAACAATCACTCTGATAACAAAAGTTTACTAAGATAAAGTGTTCAGAATCACGGTATCTTGAACATTCTGCAATAAAAAGTGTAAATTTCAAATGTTCAATTTTTCCATAAGAAAAGTGGCAGAAGATTGATAATTCAGTTTTTTGGGCTTTTCTTGAACTTACATACTAACATATGTAATCAAAAACTATTTTCAGATTCCGCTGCAGGGAGGCATTCTATATTATATAGTACTTTAGATTTTTCAGTTTGCGGCACTTACGTAATTATTGAAAATGGTCAATAACTCAAAAACTAATTAAGATAGGAAAACAAAACCAAGGTTAATGGACTTTTTGCATGATTCTACACCATGTTAGAAAGTTTCGTGGAAATCTGAGTTGTGGTTCAATTTGGTGTGTTTCGATTTTCACCAAGTTTTTTTGAACTAATGGCGATGTCGAAAAACTGACAGGATATCTTTCATCCCCTTGCAATTCTCTATCAATTGGCGTTTTCCATTTTCTTATAGCTTCAAAAATAATTTTTGGGCCTTGAAATAGTTAAGTGTAACCTCTTGACTAATTTCGAGTGGTGTTTGGTCAACTTTTTAGAATCAAAGAACTAAATCTGCCATTTTATAGCGCCTTATCGTGTCATGAAGAAAATGCAAACACATTTGCTGTAGCGCTCATAGTTTCCACGGAAATCGCGGTGGAAAATTGTTTTTCATTGGCTTAAAAATGAGAATTTTAAAATCTTATCTGACGTAGAATATTATGCTGAACATAATGCAGTTTTCCGTTTTTGATTATCATTATTTGTTCCTGAGATAACCGGTACTGAAGTGTTGCGGAAAGTACTCGTTTTACTTAAATGCGTCTACAGGGTAAACGGTAAGTAATAATAAGTAAAACATCATATTCTTAAAGTAATTAAGAGTTCCCCTATACAATGGTATTATTAGTTTTTAATAAACATTCGAAATACTAATTAAAATGTCAGGCGCCTCCGCCACATTTTAGTTAATTATTTGCATTTTTTATGAATTAAAAAAAATTACATTTTTATTTCAGATTATGAATAAAAACAATTATCTCAATGAAATATTTTAGTACAGTATTTTAATTAGAAGTTTGGCTTAGAAGTTATACTCATAAACTAGTGTTTTACCAATACTGGCGTCAATAGGGCCTTAAATAATGGTTGTAGAACAAAAGTGGGCTAAAATAAAGGATTTATAATGTTCTGTTTCACCATGATCTAAAAGAAAAACTTTAAAATTGATAATTTTAATTTATGCCATAAAAACCATGCGAAGAAGCATCTAAAAGATTTCGTCATAAAAAAGGCAAAAGATAGGAATTTTCAAATTTTGATTTCGGATTATGATAAATAATTTAATTCTGCATCGAATATTTAAGTAACATTTTTTAATAACATTGACCGTTTAAGCCCTATTTTCAATTTTAATTAAATAGTCGAACTTCGCATGTGGTTCGAACAAAATGCAATATTTAAATTAAAAATTAAAATGGGGCTTAAACGATTGATATTAGACAAAATTTTTACTTAAATAATCGATCTAGAATAGCATAATCTCTCTGAATCCGAAATCAGAATTTAAAAATTCCAACATTTAATTTTCAACATAAAAGATGAAAATGTGCCGTTTTTATCATTTTTTAATTAAAATGCCATCTTGTAGAGAATTTTTCAAGGACCAAGAATGTGATGTTGTTTCTTTTCTAGCCCTCTTAGTTGACGAGATTATTACTATTTTAATCTTTTAAATTAGGCTATTCCAACCGCATGCACATGTTTCATTAATATTGCTAATAGGGCCTAAACGGTTAACATTAACAAAAAAAGTTACTAAAATAATCGATGTAGACATAAATTGTCTATCAGAATCTATAAACAGAATTTTCCTTATCTTACCGGTTTCCGATTCCGAATTTAATCTACGTTCAGAATCCGAAATCAGAATTTAAAAATTCCAATTATTTCAAAAGTGCCATTTGCTGAAATAAAAGATTTCGACATAAAAAAGGCAGAACATTTCTTTTTTTTTATGTCGAATGCAGTATTCATATAAATTGCAAATAGGACCTAAACGGTTAACGTCAGCAAAAAAATTTACTAAAATAATCGATCTAGAATTAAATTATCAATCAGAATCCGAAAACAGAATTAAAAAATTCCAACTTTTAATTTGCAACATAAAAAAGAGAAATCTTATTATCTTGAGAACTAAAAGAGCTAGAAAAAGAAGAACTGGATAACCTTGATCCTTAAAAAATTCTCTACAGGATGGCATCCTAACTGAGAAATAATAAAAGTGGCACAAAAAAATTTTAAAGAAAAGATTTTGTTATTAAAAAGGCAAAAGATTTCTCTTTTTTATGTTGAAAATTAAAAGCTGGAATTTTTCAATTCTGTTTTGGGTTTCTGATTGATAATTTATTTTTACGTTGATTATTTAAGTAAATTTTTTTCATACCAGTGATTTTTTAGGCCCTATTTGCAATTTTTATTTTTTGTTTAAGAACTGATGGAGAAATCGAGTGATTTAGTTTTTTTTCACTTTTCTCGGAAACCGATGGAGATTAACGAAAATAGTTTTCAGATTTGACTGCAGGGAGGAATTCTATGATATATAGCACTTTAAAATTTTCAATTTGCAGCACTTACGTAATTATTGAAAATGGTCAATAACTCAAAAACTAATTAAGATAGGAAAACAAAACCAAGATTAATGGACTTTTTGCATGATTCTACACTATGTTAGAAAGTTTCGTGAAAATCTGAAGGGTGGTTCAATTTGGTGTGTTTCGATTTTCACCAGGTTTTTCCAAAATAATAGCGATATTGAAAAACTGACTGAATATCTTTCATCTCCTTGTAAATTTCTATCGATTGGCGTTTTCCATTTTTTTATAGCTTAAAAAATAATTTTTGAGCCATGAAATAGTTAAGTGTAACCTCTTGACTAATTTTGAGTGGTGTTTGGTCAACTTTTCAGAATCAAGAAACTAAATCTGCCATTTTATAGAGCCTTATCGTGTCATGAAGAAAATGCAAACATATTTGCGGCAGCACTTATAGTTTTCGAGAAAATCGCTCTGGAAAATTGTTTTTCACTGGCGTAAAAATAGAAATTTTAAAATCTCATCATGTGTAGAATTGTTTGTTGAACATAATGCAGTTTTCCGTTTTTGATTATTACTATTAGTTTATGAGATAATCGGTCTTTAAGTGCTGCTGGAAGTATACGTTACACTTAAATGCGTGTGCAGGGTAAACGGTAAGTACAAATGAGTAGAAAGTTATGTTTTTACTGTAATTAAGAGTTTCTTTATTCAATGGTATTATTAATTTTAAAAAAACAAGTAGAATCATTTGATAAAATGTCAGGCGCCTCCGCCATATTTTAATTTATTTTTTGCATTTTTTATAAATTTCAAAAACAGTAGATTTTTATTACAGATTATGAAAGAGGACAATTATCTCAGTGAAATATTTTCATACATTGTTTTAATTAGATGTTTGGTTTAGAAGATATATTCATAAAACTGTTAAATTTGGTTCAAATTCCTGGCGTCAATAGGGCCTTAAATAATGTTTGTAGAACAAAAGTTTACTAAAATAAAGTATTTCTAATGATCTGTTTCTATCATATTCCGAAAAAATTAATTCAAAAATCGCATTTTTAAATTATGTCATAAAAATCGTGCGAAGAATAGTGTGAAAAGATTTCGTCATAAAAAAGGCAAAAGATTTCTCTTTTTTATGTCAAAAATAAAAGTTGGAATTTTTAAATTCTGATTTCGGATTCTGATAGTTTGTTGAATTCTTATTAACTTATTTCAGAAGCATTTTGTTCCAACACTAATCGTTTAGGCCCTATTGACAATTTTAAGGAAAAATTTGAATTCGCACAGAAATGAATTGAGTAATGATGAAATAGTTCGACCCTGTGTTTCGACCGAAAATATTTTAAAGAAATAGTTCGACCCTGACTTTCAGCCAAAAATATTTTAACAAAAAAGTTCGACCCTTTCTTTCGACCCAAAATCATTTTAACAAAAAAGTTTGACCCTGTCTTTCGACACCAAAAAAAAATTTAACGGATAAGTTCGACCCTGTCTTTCGACACAAAATAATTTAAATTAAAAAGTTTGAGCCTGCCCTAAAATACAATGGCATTTTGTTCAGCTTTAAGGAATTCTTATAATTCAATTAGAGATTATTATAGAGGATATAAATACGCATCTTTTATCTTAGTTGTACTTTCCAATATCCTGTTTAATATATGAGTTATTCACAATTCAAGGTTTAGTGTTAATCGTCAAGGAAACTAAGATGGCGCGCTTGAAAAGGACTTAGGAATTTGATCCCCAAAGGGCTGCTCTACAAGAAAAAAAATATGCATTCAATATTAATAAGTGTTTAATTAATCTAACCCATTAAGATTGTCTTTAATTTGAAGATAGAGCTGACTAAATCGAATTAGTCACACTGAAATGTGATGTTTTTATTTAGAATTGCTACCGCTTCCACATTCTTCAATTTAATGATAATGTTTATTATTCCTAGAGCAATGCAAGCATGCTTTCATAGAGAAAAGACAGCATCAAAATATGCACGCAGTTTGTTTACACATTGCAGTCATAAGTGTAGCAAGTTCATGTCCAGCACAAGCGCATTCATGAATCAAACTATGTGTTTGTTTGGCGTGCATGTTTAGGATGCGACGGTGGGCCTCGCTCGGCGCGTTTGTTTAAAACAATCATCGGTGTACCTACACGTCTGTGCACCGTTCGCGTTTAATATTTTAAAATGTTATCACTTAGGCGATAAGCGCTTTATCACTCGCGCAAGTATATAGACCAGAACAGCGCCGGGCCCGATGTGCCCGTTTCACAAGCAGCACAAGTCGGCGGCGTGCTCTTGCCTTCCTTCTTCGACGCACTCGATGCAATTGTGTCGCCTGCTGTCGAACACGCCGGGCACCTGGTGCGCACCGCCGCACGAAGGAAGCCGCGATAGCGCGGCACCTATATAATCGAATGATAAGCGCTGAGAATTCGGAAAATGCCTTATTGTTTTTTCGAGCGTCGTGGCTGCTCGTAGGCAACGCAGCACAGTGCGGTTTAATCGTGTCGCGCACCTCGAGCCACAAGTCACTCGGATCGGCCACAATACGGTGAGTTTTATTATTTCAATTATCTCCCCATCGGGACGAAATCAACACGCCACACAGGAAACAGTCTGCGGGAGGTCCTGGAAAAGATTCACTTACTTGATCCCTGCGAATAAGTTCTTGATTGGAAGCAATTTGTTCGTGCGGCTCGAGTTAGTGAATGCTAGAGACTCGACGAGCGTCACCTGGATACCTACCATTCGGCCGACGTTGTTTTTTTGCAATTAAAAACGGCAACCGCAAGACAATCGAACTGAGCCTCCGCGCGCAGCAAAATTAAAAGCATGAATCCAACAATTGCACGATTAAATCGAGGACAATGAACAGGAACACACCGTTGGATTATTGAATACCACCAGCTCATTCATATTCAATATCTAAGTTGGTTATATTTCTTAATTACGTTATCAATACACATATACAACATTATTAATTAGTCAATATCAATATCGCTTAGTCGGTATTTTCGACGTGTGGCACATGTTTGAATTACAATAGTCAATATATATATAGTCAATACAAGTCAATGCTTGATTAATTCTCGTCAAAGTTCAAAATTCATCAGCATTCATTTTTTGTTTATAAAAATATGTTAACGTTAATGCACGTCTCGCTTCTGCTTTTGTGCGCTACCGAACGAGTGCCGAGATTTGGTTTATTCGTCAAACACCAGATAGACACCAGTGACGAAAGCCGAAATTACCGGCATTACCTGGCGTAGATTAAAAAAATATCAAACAAAGACTGGCTGGGCGCTTCAGCCGGCGCGGAAAAACAAATATTTGAATTTTATTTTACATTGTGCTACACTTGTTACTCCGGTACACGTATGCATGCGTCCACGTACATCGTTGAGCAACGCAGCAAGAAAACAGCGCGAATTGCAAACAAAAGATAATAATAATGCGAGACAAAGTTTTACCACTTTTTTCTGTTGTCGAATGCGAGTGAAAAATTTTCGTTTTCAATTTAAATCCGCGCCCAAAATATTTAATACATTTAAATAAACAGCATTAACAGTGCAAACAAATAATTTTACACAAATATTTTCGCATTAAAGGTAAATATTTTGGACACAAATTGTTTTCGACCAAAATATTATATGACTGGTACTTGATAAACCAAATCCAAGTGCACGTCCCACATTCTAGCTGCTGTATGCACAAATAATTCAATATATTAGGCTCTATAGAAAATGTTTCGGTTTTTTGTAATATGTCCAGTAATACGTAAACACCAGGCGCGCTCTAGAACGAATTAAATTTAAACAATCATTACTTGTTTAATGGTAATATATGCTGATATTGTCCTACAAAAAACTCAAGTCAACTTTATGGTAATAGCACGCCGATGATTTACAATATTACATTGTAATGTTATACTTTTACAATGTAACACGATTTCAAAGTTTCAATGTTCGGTGTAATTTTTAATTGCCTGTTTCGTGCGTCGTTTTCAAATATCGTTTGCATTCTTGAACACTTATCATTCAACGACTGCTTCTTTGCGTATTTGCTACAGTATTTACAAAAGGGATTTTTACATGTTTAATTACAGCATCTACGCTTCGATACACGTGAAATGATTTGATAGATTATCATACGGGGTGACAAAATAAAGTTTTCTCGTGGAAAAACATGATATGTATCCAATTTCCAACAGCATTGTTGATATTCTTTACAAATTTAAGTTTTACATGCTTTAGGACCATTTAAATAGCTTCCAGTTATAAATCGCAGTTATAAGAAAGTTCAGCGAGTACTACATGTTAGGTAAATAAGTTTTAGGTGGAAAGTCGAGTAAGATATAAGAGTATTTCTAATAATTAGCGTTTCTAATGTACATTATCATGATTTTAATTTCTAATTTCACTTGATTTCATGTTCATTTTTAAGTTGCGCACACGCGATATCATTTTTAGAATTCACCTGGATCACCCATGCACTGATTGTTGCTTCTTTTACAGTTAAATGTTTTATAAACAATAAGCACTGACTAAGAAATTGAAAATAAGTCAATGATAATTAAATCATTCTTATTGGATATGTTTATCTTCAGATCGAAGTAAATATTCATCAAGTGTGATTGTTTCAAAGAAGTGACTAATGTTTGCAAGCCGACAAGTATGACGTCCGAACTGAAATATTTTAAATAATTATGTACAGTTAACCGAAGTGAAATATTCGTACGCGTGCTGCACATTTTTCAAATTACTTTCCCCACTTTTTTCTAAATAAGTTAAATCACTATTTCATGGACGTTCACTTAATTACAATCTACTTAGTTTACTTATTTTAGCCTAGTTCTGTTTAGTTTACATGACTACCACTGTATGTAGGTATACATAAAGCCTCTGAGGCTTTCCTGATCATAACTTAAAATATATTTCAATATTTACAATATCAACTTATAAAATAAAACACACGATAGCCTCTCTGATAATGACGTAATTTATTAAGTTTTAATTACTTTTGGAAGGCTTGGATTTTCATTTTCAAAAAGTTCAGTTCCGTTTGTGTTTTTTGTAGTTTTTTTTTGTGTGTTAGGTGTTGGGTTTTTATCTTTGCTTAAATGTAAATTGAATGCGTAACCAAAAATTTTACTTGCAAAAAACTTCGAAGAATGGCATTATCGCAATGCTATGATTTTCCATCGTGCGACATTGAGTTTGGTGACGTGTATCTAATTTAAGTACACGAAAATGAATATTAATGCAAACGTCGTTATTATTACCATTTGTGTCTCTATTATTTGTCACATTTTGCGCATAGTTATTTCGTTCGGTCGGCGGAAAAAACGCCCGCCGTCGCGCGCATGTAAAATATTATCCATTTAATAGCCGATAGATAATAATGTTTCCACTTATTTTATTTATGCCGCGCACGACGACGACGTCGACAGCGGGCTTTGCGATCACGCTCAGCTCGCTCGAAAAACAATTTCACAATCGCAAACAACTTGCAATTGCATGCAAAAAGACGCGACGCAATTAAGCAAATACTTTCGGCGTTAGCTGTCGGTGTCGATGCTTGTTATTATGATGGCTCGTCGCAGCCCGACTTAAAGACGTTCATAAAAATACGACGAATGCAATGAATTTCCTTCAAAGCGACGATAACGCCCGCCCGCACGTGCAACCTACAAACAAGTAACAACGAGACAACGCCAACATAGATCGACAAGAAAACTGCTTCACCACGCGTCTCTTATTGGTATAATAGCTCGATTAATGGCGGATAGTCTCCCTCCATTGATGCTGATGACATCATACTCTCATATTATACCTCAATTCGCTGCCCTCCCAGATACTTAATGTCTCTGATAATCCTGCCTAACTCTTAATAATGTAGCTTAATATTTAGTTCCTTAATTTTTACTTTACAACATGTTGCCCGGTTCACTGCGGGTCGACGGGTGATACAGCTGTTTATGATGAGGGGATGGTGTGAAACTGCTCAACTGCGGGGATGGGCCACGCCAGGACATTCCTAAAAATACAATCGACGATAATGATTCGGCTGAATATGAGGTGAATAAAGAAGGCAGTAGGTAATGTAATAAGATAATTACCAGGAGGTCCGACACGTGCGTACACCGGCTGATTATTAGGCGACACCAAATCCGGCTGGTTAGCATTCTTTCTTTCCTTTTTCGAATGTCTCTTCAGCGTCTGCTGGTTGCTGTTATTCGGAGCAAAGTAGGAATCCGAGTAGACCTTACGATTATAGTAGCCTCCATTAGAAGCGGGATAAACGTCCTCGTCCAATGCGCTTGCAGTCGTGGAAATACCATGATTGTTATTGGGATTCCAAATCTGAACAAACGTTATTTTTATTTTTATTTGGTTAGAAATGTACCAACGGTTAGCAAAACTCATTTAAATCATATTAAATCATAATCAAAATATCGTTGCACTAACAATATAATTGCTTAAAAAGATATTAAGTGGAATATGAAATAGTGTATTCGTTACTTTAACTTACCATTGAATTTCCAATTCGTCGATTGCCAGTGACCAAAGTAGTGGTAGCATACGGTGCCGGTGAAACTGCCCCGCCATTAATTCCACTTAAATTCGTATCCACCTCGGCGTAATCTGCAATCGCGCCGTTGCGATTCTCAACGTTCGGACTTGCATATTCCTGCACAATCTGCATGTTGCCGTAATCCTTGCCACAATCATAATCCAACTGATTAGGCCGGCTGTACTTCTCCTGATGCAACGGATTCGTGTGCAAATTGATGCTCAAGCCATTTTTACCCTTGCCCTTCGGACCAACTCCATTCAAACTATTGTTGTAATAGTCCGGCTGTTGACTAAGTTTAGCGTAGCCGGGCAGGGTGCTGGTGTAATCTGGTAAATTGTCTTTATCCATCCACAGAGGCGGATCAAGCTTGCCATTGATTGGCGTAGTAAGAACTCCACCATTCGACCGACTTTGAGGTAAAGCCTTTTTGGAAAGCAATTGTCTTCGACGCACCAGCAGCATTGCAGCAAAGAGAAGTACCATCACAGTCACCATACTTATTAAAAGAGCCATAAACCATGTTTCAGTGATAAAGTCCACCGGTTCCAGATTGGAGTTGATGGGGCGTTGATGGTGGTCCAGAGCATTCGCCGGATCCAATCGAAGTGTTGCTGGTAGAGAGTAAGGTCCCAACCCAGCTCGTGTCAGAGCAGCTACACGAATATTATAAGAGACCCCTGATGTTAAATTGCCCAGGAGTAGAGTTGGAGCTGTACCAACAGTTGCTATACTGGAAGTTTCCGTACCATTGGAATGCACCTCTACTTTATAACCTTGTAGTTCTCCATTGAGAGTCGCCATTGGAGGACTTTTCCATCGCAAATTGACAGCACTCGCATTCAAGAGGATTGCTTCCATGTTGATTGGAGGTTTCGAAGGTACATCCTCCAAAGTACGAACAGTTCGAGAGTTTGATGGCTGTCCTTCAATGGTCTTATAAAAAGGCACGATAAAGAATTCATAACGCGACCATTTGTTCAGATTATTGACGGTAAATCCAGATGACGTTCCAGTGTGTAAAACAGTCAACATGCTATAACTTTTAGGAAGGTCAGGTGCACTATCTAGGGATATGTAGTAGATGTATAGTCCTTCCACATAAAGTGGATCAAGAATATCCCAGTTTAATTTGACTGCTGTTGATAAAACTGGTATGACTTCAACTAATCTGATTATACTTCCAGAGATTAGATTGGCGCGTGCTTCGCTGAGCTCAGTCACCTCTGGATTTCCCCAATTTTGAGCCGCGGCGTCATTGCCCACAAAAATCTGTTCAGATAAATCGGAAGCTGCACCCAATCCGTGCGCATTTTCGGCCCTCACAAGAAACGTGTAAGGAATTCCAGGGGTTAACAAATGTTGAGTAAAAGTAGGTCCCAGAACCCTACGCGCAACTATTGTCCAGGTAGGTATCACACCCTCTTCTCTTCCAAACAACTCAATTTGATAACCAAGCAAGCTGGATGAACCGATTCGATTACTTTGTCCCCAGGTTATAGTCACGCTTGTTTCAGATTGATTGAGCGCGTGTGGTCTACTGGGCGGGCCTGGCAACATCACAGCTTCAGGAGCTTTAAAAAAGTTGATATTTGGATTTTTCGGATTTTCAACCTTCAAATAACCGGTCCAGGTTGCTTTTCCACTTTTGGAGGAGGCCACACATGTGTACACTCCCGAATCTTCATTTGGATTCAGATGAGAAATCTCAAGATTCCCCGACTTTGTAAAGTTAATTCTCATTGAGCTTTGAACAGGTATTCCTTCCTTGTACCAGGAAATCACGGGTTCCGGATTTCCAATCACTTCACAGGTCAAAACCGCAACCGAATTAATAGGCAGTGTTTGATTGACAGGTCCACGGATTATCACCGGCGGTGGAAAACTTTCTTTGGAGGAAACAGTCAGTCTGGTTCTAGTTGAAACTGAACCAGCCGCATTTACCGCCGAGCATACGATAACCGTACCCGAATGGACCACTTGAGCATTTTTCAAAAGAAGCGTGGAATGACCTTCACTGGTAATAAACGCTTCATAGCTACCGGAGTTGGTACCAGGAAAGATTAAAGTACGATCGCCCTCAAAGGACCAGAAAATAAACGGTTTGGGACTACCATGTGCGTTGCAGTGAAATGATACCTCATGACCAACTTCTACAGTTTGGGCCAAGGGCCGAGTACTAAACGATGGTGACGCATGAACTGTCAGCGTCGCACTGGCAGACAGATCACCTGCTGCATTGTCCGCTTCGCAAATGTATTTGCCTTGATCTGAAAGGGTCACCCGTTCGAGACGAAGACTACGATCTTCTAAAACGCGTACACGGCCGAGAGGCATTGCCCCACCAGGAGCCTGACGCCTCCAGAGGACGTCCGGTAAAGGATCCCCACCAACTTCACAAGTGAATTCAACACTTGACCCAACCAAGGTGGTCAAGTCTTCAGGTGGTTTTATCAAAAATGGTTTTACTGTTAAGAAAAAATGATTTTGTAATCTGGATTTTCTGTTAGGAGATTAATTGACTTACCATGCACTTTGATGAATGCACTAGCAGACTCACGAACACCTGCAGTGTTCTTCGCAATGCATTGATATCGTCCATCATCGCTGCTACGTGCATCGGTGATCGCCAAGCTAGCGCCATCGACCAACTTAAGCCGTCCCTCGATTTCCAACGTGTGCCCATCTTTGCGCCACGTGACTGTTGGCTCCGGGGTTCCCTTTGGTGGTCCGCACTCCAACACAACGTCTTCGCCGGCGGCAATGCGCGCGTTCTGCGGTTCCAGACGAAAGTCATCCTTCAGAACTGCAACAAAAATATAACGTTCAAGTTTTGACTGGATGGGAAAACCACGCGTGCGTCGATGGAATACAGCTACAATTTAAATCTTATCGAGTTGGCGAACCACGTTCCGCGATATGAGGATGTTATTTATGTAAACAAGCAAAGTGATGCACATTTATGTAAAATACTATGGCGAGGAGTACGCGGAACGACTCCCAGACGTGCGATTCCTCGCTGATGCAGTGCAGAAGCGAAGTTGTGCAGCAGGTAAATGTTTTCCGATAAAACAGAGCCAACTCGGGGATGCACCAATGCCCGCCAGCAGCGACCCTAACTTTGCACTCTTCGAATTTAAATTCTCAAATTTTTAAATAAGCAAAAAGCATCACAAATCGGAAAAAACATAAACGTAGCGCGCATAAAAACCGAGAGAAACACATAAGTTCACGTAGAAGGGGGCCCTTGCAATACGGATGGATATGACGAGCGGCGAACGAAGAACATATTCGTCCTGAAATCGACGTGAGCTGGAGTTGGAAATCGGTTGGGGGTCGTTAAATCCAAACGCGTCTTATATTAAGCGCGCGGGGAGAGAAAAAAGCCGGCAAGAAATCGCAAGAAACATCGGCGAATGTGGCAATGCACAGCACGGGGGCGAAGTGGAGCTCGCCGAGGACTTTAAGCGGGATTTACACATTTAGATGTCACGCTGCATATTGACAAGGCGAAGATGAACGACAGCCGCCGCCATTGTTACCCAAGTTGCGTGCCGTGCGTGCGGTGCGCACGTGTATGTTGTTATAAACACGTACGTCGCGGGCACGTTCGCGCTATCAATTTGAAAAGTTTTGTCGTTTTCTTCATTTCTACTTTCCGTGAAAAAAAATCGAGGGTGCAAGAAAAACGAAGGGTGGTGCGTCGTTGGCGTCGTGATGGGATTCGGATTCTCGGCTTGGTTTCTTCGAATTCGTGGATTTAGATTTGAATTCAGGACGACGACGAATGGATGTGTCGCCGCGTCGCCCGAGCATCTTTTGTTTTCTTTTCGATATTGCTATTAAGATTCCCGACGTTTTTTAAATCGAAAAGGATTTACTTGTGGCGCAGACGGTGAGTAATGTGCACTTCGAAAGCTAGAAAAGTTGCATGTAACAGAATTCAATACCCATACAACGTTCATAATTAAGCGCGTGTTTTTTGAACCTGCGCCGGGGCATTATGCATCCGACTCAATCCGCTGAAATTGAGTCTATGCGAAAATTCTCACTTTTCCGACGGGATTCGAGCGGGCCGAGTTATAAATTTAAGGATAATAGACTTCGATATTAAAACTAGTGGAAGGTCGACGGGCGGCCTGGCTGCAGTAACTTGATGCACACCTCGTGGCGGTGGTCGGAGGCGGCTAACGAGTAGCGGGCGGGTCAGGCCGCCTCTCGCGTGCGCCGCGAAGTAGAGTTTTAATTAAAACTACATGCGCACACCGACGCGCCGAGAGCCAACACTAATGCAATTATCATTAACTCCCGACGAGCGATGCGGCCCGACGCCGTGTTCTTTCACATTCGCGAGCGCCGTGTGTATTTATGCAGCGCCGGCGTCCTCGTAGATTGAAAATAAACGATGAAAGATATTAATGAAAAGTAAATTGAGTCGCTTATAAAATATTAGCGATGCGCTATTATTGAAGCAAGCGCATGAACTTCCAGCGCCGTTGCCAACCTTTGTGCGAACAAGATCAAATAAATACAGCCGAAAAATATGCAGTGCAGTGAAATTATCATCGGTACGTTTCGATTGTGAGGCGAAAATCCCCGGAAGACGATTCGAAAGCGGCGCCGATGAAAGGATGTGACTACTTTATTAATCATTGCGAATTGGGAACAACGGCGACAGCAGTAAGCCCATAAAAGGCCTGAAAAGATGCGCGACAAAAGCTGGAATTTAATTCGTTCCATTAATTCCGCTGCGCGTTTCATTATTGAGAAATTTATTAATTAGAGACGCGCGGAGAATGTGTATTCAACATTTCAATTATTGTTCGCTCGTCGTACATTTTTGCTCTTTGCATAAACTGACAAATAAACTCGCGCGAAACTCGCCGTTGTTCAATAATGCACTAGTTTATTTCGTCACAACATGATTTATCTTGATTACTAGCCCTAGCTGGCGTTGTAAACAACCTAATCATTGTATAATGCGGTAATTTGGTTTGGCTGGCGTGTTTTTTTTTTTCGCCTGTAGCATCAACGAACTGACATAGTGTTTGATTGATATTCGCCAGCGACGCCACCGAAAACGTACATTACCGCCGGCTCGGGCGTACGCTAATCTGAGGCCCCGAGACTGATCGAGTGCCAAACCCTGCTTACACTCACATTTACACGCCGTGAACCAACCTCGATACTCGCTGGGCTTGTACTTGATTTGACATGATGCGATGGCTCGTCTCCGAGCAGTTACCCTGTCGCGGGCATGTCTTATCGGTTAAATCACTAATTTATTTACAATCTACAACCTTCCAATTGGGCGTAGTTTGCAGCGCTCGATAAAAGAGAGCAATTAAATTATTTTTGCATGTTGTGTATTACTCGCATGCTAATAACGCAAACAGTATTATGGCGTACGGTACCGTATCAGGGCGGATGGGCCTAGCTATTATCTATCTATTATCCGTCTCGATTGCCAACAATAGCGCGTATCGCCGTGGGCAACGCGTAATAACATTATGCGGAAATATGGTGCGCGATGGACCGACCGGTGCCTGCAAATTCCACGATACCGACCAGACCGGCGGTAAACAACAATCCGGCTCGCAGGGGGAGAGGATCGTAATGATATTAACAAATTGTATTTTAGTTAACTGAGTTACGCCGAGTACAAAACTGTAAAAACTGTAAAATACATCGCCGGAAAACATCAGTTACTCGACGGCTTTGTGCAGCAATCCAAATAGTCGGTGCGGTTAATGTTGAAACATTGTTTATGGAAATGTTTGCCTTTGATAGATGCAAAGCTTTGCTTTGCGTAATGCGCAATATTTCATCAAGGACTCCCATTGTAATAAACATTCCAAATCCTTTAATAAAGAGCTGGGATACATCATTGGAATCGTTTTTTGTCATCCTTGGCCGCGTCTGAGGGGCTGCTGCCCATTCCAGTTGTTTATATCTTATATCCCATCGTCCTATCAACCTATCCACGCCACTCGCCACTCACTGCCCTGCCATCCCCTTGTATCCATCCTTTTTTTCCTTTTTTGTCTTGTGGACTGTTGTTTTCCCTGGCGTTGTTGTGTTGCTTGTTTCGTCGTTTTTATTTCTATTCGAGACATTTATTTCTATCCCGCCTCTCCTTTATTTTCCATGTCGCGCGGGGCAAAGAGTTGTTTAGTTTGGTTTAGGACGTGCGCGTTCGTAAAGACGCCCGACACCGGCTCGTCCTTTATTTCCAAATTTACGATAACGCCGCACGCTGGATTCGGAGACAAACGCTCCCATTTCGGACATCACCTATAAATGTCGCGTCCCACGTCTCGGGGTGTTCGGGGCGCGCGATTCAAGATTTCGTGCGTTGCAGCCCGCTCTTCCCGCTCGATCACGATCACGGACGACGATTCCTGATCCTGATCCCTGTCTGGCGTTGAGGCAGGGGGATGAGAAGAGCCTGTAGGGCGGCTTCGTTATAGGGTAAATGCTGATATATTATCCGTGCACGCTCCGTTAGACATCGCTCTTAATAGTCTTAAATAAATTATATCACTTTTGTTTTATTTATTCGCCCATTTTTCTACCTGTGATCATTTATTTCGCGCGTGTGAAATAATAGCGCATTATACTGCATGATTCGCGATTGGTGATCAAATTATCCGCAAAGGGTTACTTAAAGCAAGCTTCTTAAACATTAATTAATGTAATTTAACTTTCGCATCAAAGACTTGTCAAAACTTCGAACATAAGCCGAACATTACTTGAATTATGTGCACCGCAGGCAGGTAAATGTGCAGGGTTACTTCATGAGACTTTAATTTTACTTAATATTAATTAAATTATAAATAAAAACTTTTTTATATCAAAATTATAAAATCAGTTTATTCAAATGTTTAACCAAAAAATGCAGTAAATATTTCTGTGAATCTTTTATTTTTGAGAAGTTATCTATCACATATTTAGATGCGGTGATAACTTTGGAAAAAAAAACTGAAAATGTGTTTATTTTTGCTCAGACATTTGCTCAGCCATATGTTCAGCCTTGCGCTTCTTGACTTGCTGTATAAATCGATTTGTAATAAAGAATGAGACGTCGATGAAGCGATCGACACAGTTCTTGAGGCAAGCCTCCGTGCGGCCATCAAGTTTACTCGCAGGTTTCTCTACGCACTTATCCCAACACATATCATTAAACTCATGAACCTAAGGAATATTAAATTTGATTTGATTGACGTATAAAATGTCATATTAATGGGGCCTTGAAAAATGTGTAATAAGGACTTACATTAGAGTTAAACTGGGCCTTTTGTTTCTCTAACATCATAAAGTCTTGCAGATCTTTGTCGGTGATCTGATCGGAAATATCACCAGGATAAGCCATTTCAGATAATATGGATCTTTGTAAAAATGTACAATAGAAATATGCGTAAAGCTGCAGGAGCAAAAGGCGACTGAATTGAGATTACAAAATCGTGCACAATGACACCTGTCAGACAAAAATTTCATAATATAATATTTATAATAATAATGCTCAATGACATGACTCATTGTGATAAAGTGTTGCGTGTGTAGACATGGATTAACAATTAAATTTTAAAACGACTGATCAATTTCCGGCGAGCCGCTGATTGTTAAAATGGCTAATGTGATTGATTCGCAATTAAACAAGAAAAACGTGGCGCGCTGGCAGGGCACCACCGGAAATGAATACGCACGGATGGTTGATTGACCTCCGCGTGCAATTTCCTTTTTAAATGTGCAACGCACGCCCCGCCAGCCCGCAGGGGGTCGCCTCACCTATTTTCATTTGCGCTGAATAACGGCACGGCATGCAAATGCGACGCGCGCGCGAAATATTCGAAGCTTTTTTTTATTGAGTCCGCACGCGCCGACCGATTGCGGACTAATTCAAGATAATTCCGATCGCGCCGTCCTCGCAGAGACATTAATTTTTATTTGTCGGGGAGGGTGGCGGAGCGCACTGCATGCGAGCGCCAAATCGCTTTTGGTCGACGATTTAAAAATCGTTTTTCGCAGCGCCGGCGAGCCGGAAATAACCAAACGTCGGAGGCAAACGCTTTTTTCGCCTGCATTCCCACGCGCGCGTTGGTGGCAGCGCGCAGTCAAGTTGTTGCACACGATGGGGTTGTTCGGTTTGTTAGTTTCAAATTGTACCATAGTTAGACGCACAGCGCGACCACAGATAGAGAAACGTCGGGGCTGGGAGTGGAATTGCGAATGGAGCGCTTTCAGCTCCGGCAAAACGCCGGAAAGCGTCCAGGGACGGGGAGCGATTCGATATGTTGGTGTTATTACATTTGCATTTAGTCGCCCTATGAGTTTTATTACCTTTTGCTTCGCGCCGTGCTGAATTTTTAGGGCTGCACAGGTAATTGGGGATTAATGAATATTTATTCTTGAAAAATCTACACTTGCACCGGCACTCCAGACGCGATTATACGCAAACATTTGAACATATCTAATTCGACTCGTAATGAACGGACGTTCACAAAACGAAATAAACGAATTCCGCCAAGCATGATATTAAAGCAAAACAAAAACTGCCATTACCATAATACCGCTACATATGTAATATACAACTGGATCGTTAAAAAATGAGAAAAAATATGAAAGATGTGAATTTGAACTGGATTGCTCCCGGGGCAAATCTGGCGCACTGGAGCAAAATTGAGTTGTAAATATTTAAGGAGGCGCATGCGACACACATCAAATTCGAAACACTTCAAACACGAATTAATAATGCGGTCATAACAAACCGAATTTAGAACTTCAAAATTGCGAAATTCAAATGTACTGTAAATATTACGGTTGCGGTCGCCCGCCAGCTTTCCTGCAGCGAAATTTCCGCGTCGCAATAAAAATAAATATTTGTCTTCACTGATAGAATATTTTTCCGCTTGCTTCGTGCGCTTCTTGTGCGCTCAGCATGCGCTCGGTAAATAAAAGAAGATAAATATTATCGAAGTAAGGCAGGTGAATTGATTCGATAATACAGAATGTGCACATTTTTTTGTTAGTTTAACAATAAACTGAACAAAACCCGCCATAGGTATGCTTATTATTAAAAATGTTAAAAATATTTTTTGTCATTTTTGCTGGCTACACATGTTGCTATTGTGAAAACAGTGTATTTCATGGCAATGCATTTAATTAAACAATGACTAATTGATGAAACGGAACAAAAGGACAATTTCGGAGTGAAACGCTAACTAAATTTAGCAAATGGACTGAACCGAAGCCTACTAACACGGATCCAATCGCGCCGGACATTTGTACCTTTAACATTCGATCCGGGCGGGAATGAATGCAGCGCACTTGTACACGCCATTCACGCACGTGTGTTCGTCCGGACGGTTTAAACGGACAACGCGATAAATGAATGTTCGATTCGACGTCAAATTGGCAATGCGATACAAAGCAAGACAACTCAATATTCCATTCAAGAATTCAATTCGCTTCGGTTGGCTATTGAACACCTTGTTAGCGAATAGAACGCAGTCAACCATCAAAGAGCTCGCACAAATAAAACCGGACACATCAATTAGTGATCTGTATTCGTAGATGTCGCCCGAATTGCTGATGCTGATGCAGGCAAGTCAAAGAATTGCGTCACCGTGTGTTCGATATGCGCGGTGATGTTTCGTGTGTGTCTATGTTTTGCGAAACTTAATAAAAGCGACGCGAGGCATGGACAGCGTCGAGGCTGATTAATCCTTGACCGGCGGGCGGATGCCCGATTGTTATGTGTTTAGTCCGGCCGCCGCTCCTAGTTAGCCCACCGCCGCTGCAGCCGCATGCGAATATGTTTCCGGCCGCCGATGCGACGCATCGTGTTCTATTGATTGAAGCCGAAAACTCGTTTAATCAACTAACTGCCAATGCGATTTTTTCTCTCTTTGTGCGAGGGAAACAACGTTTGCATTCGGTCGGCGTCCGCATCGACGTTTCCGGATATTTGCATTCGCGCTGCCGAACCGCCGGCGAGTTTTGTGTCCACTAAATATTAGATTAATTAATTAATCAAACCGAACCGCAAGAATGCGGTATCGGTGTGGCGTTGATCCAACTAACAATATCGGTAAATAACTGACAAATTTAACAAATGCGGTTGCATCCCGAGTCCGACCGTTGTTATCACAATCCCGGAAGCCTAGTGGTATTTGCCCGCCTGCAATTATATCGGCTGCCTTATGCGCAGAACAATATTAGTTCAATCGGCCGGCGGTGATGCAGAAGTGAGGGTGGCATTACGCGCGATTGTTGATTTATAGTTTCTCCCAGCAAAACGTGTACTTTTATTTCACTTGTTCAGCGCTGATCCGAGCGCGGTGTGTTGCGCTATCTGAAATCGCGCTTCGATAAGCGCTATTTGCCCCCCTGATGTCCCTCATTTTCCCCTTTAAAAAAGCAAACGCCGACGCACGAGTCGTTCGGAGGTATGTTCGACATAACAGCGGTACCTGCGATCGGGATTGTTTGTATTGAAAACCGAAAGCCGAAGACCGTGGGGACCCAACTAAACGCGACTAAACATCCTCCTCCCTTCGACCCGGGTGGAAATGCGCAACTGGCGACCCGATAGCGCAAGGAAGGGTCGAGAAAAACGTCGACGGTGCGTATCTACACATTGAATAAACGTGCGCACATGCAAGGTGCATTCATGAGGGTGAGTTTTGTTGCATCGCTGCTGATCTTTCGCTGATCGCCGAAGCGGAAAACTGGAAGGTATTCGTTAAATACGTTTTTGGATATGAGCGTTCCAAGGGTAGGAAGGCTGAGAAATAGACATCGGATATTTGTTTCCTTGTTAATGACCCTTATGTAAATACCTCCATACGATCGGTATTTATCGGAAGCCGCTGCGACGTGAACAAAGCCAGACAATCGAAAAATTGATTTCGGTGAGCTTTTTAATCAAGCGCAATAAAACCGCACTCGGAGTTGAAGCCGAGAGTCGGCAACCACATTTCCGCTTATCATATTTTATCCGGAATCCACTCGCACACGTTGCACGTTCGGAGTTTTCCGCTGGCATCACGTACGGACGTAAAATTTAAGCAAAGTTTAAAATTTAAAGCCGCTCTCTTTGCTCGCCACTCCGTGCGCGCAATATAGATACAAATAAATAAATCAGCGCATAAATAAACAGAAAATGCGGAAATGCGAAAATTACGAAGACGCATCGCGAGCGCTCTTTGCGAACGCAAAAGTACGTGAAATCCTTTGAGATGACGAACGAGCGTAATGACTGCGCCGCGCTGTATCCTTGTTAGACCGGCGCTAATTAAAAATTTATTTAAGGGCAAACTCGAGCGCTTTGCGTCCGTGCGCAATACTTTTCTGCGTCGACTTGGTAACATTCTCTGATTCGGCCCGGCTAACGTGCGGCCAACAAAAAAGATCACCACATATTTCTTTTTAACTCTAGTCAACTTCAACTCCGAACAGCTCCGGTACTCCAGCGTCTTGTACAGCGAAAGTAACGTTTTATAATTAGGAAAATGTCCATAAAAACAACTTTTGAGCTGTTTTACGGGCGTACTTTTTCCGCGCGCGCGCGATTTACGTTTACGCGCGCCGCCGGAATCGGGGATTATGTAAAATGAATATAGAGAGATGTTTAGAAAGAATATTATGCTAAAAGTTTTCGTGGAAATTCATCGAAACGTCGGATTTTCGTAAATCGATTACGCCCGTGAATGAAGCGGAGGCGGCGAGCAGGCGGGGCCGAACCTTAATGCCCACTTAGCCTCTTCTGTCTACTTTGTTTATTTCGGGCGTGCGATTTGATTCGAATTATTGCAAACGCCTAATGCCCATCTATGCCTTCAATGCATAAAAGCCAACCGGAGCAATTCTCCAGCGGCAAGCAAAAGCCAAATATCACTAATGTCATGCTTCAAATTCGCAAAACTTTCCTCATTATAACGCACCGGGTAGTTTTCCGTCTTTTTCCATTCACCCGTTCCTTTTATGCGGCTTTTAGCAAACCAGGAGGTTTCAAAAACGATCTCTTTCAAAGACCACGCTAATAATATCAAGGACTATCGTACAAACTATAATCTGCGAAAATTGATTGCTCGCAGAGCAGCAACTAAACTTTTCCCTCTCAACGACCAGTCATACCAGCTGTGGCTATACGCAGCGAAAGTGATTTTTCTTTCCATGTGTTATTTCAGAGCAAAGCAAAGATTCGGGAATCGTCAGTAGAATATCTCCGTGGCGGAGAAAAACGTAAGAAGTTTGCGGTGAGGGCATTAGTGCATTTCGGGCGATCCTTACGCGTCCTCGTCGCGAATGCGAGCGATACATCAAAGCCGAAAAGATCCGGGAGGCCCCCCGGAGGCGGCGCAGGCATCCGCCAGCGGGGCAACTAATACGCCAGGCGCAATACGTTAATTATTAATAGATATTATTTTCCGCCTGTCTAGTTTCTTCCCGCCTGCGCTCCGTTTTATTTAA